TGAGCTTGATCCTAATGCGCCCCGGCAGACCCGTAGCGGTCCACGATAACCAGTTACGGGCGGGGATAATAACCCACGGCCCCGCAAGCGTATTCGGCGAACTAATGTATAAATCGAACGAGACCGTATTCTGGCCGTAGTAAATCCTCTGGCTCCTCCTGCTCCTCCTAGCCCTTCTCCTTTACTACCCGGCTTCCGTTTACTATTTCGGCTTTTACTACCCCATAATCTTGGCCCGATGAATATTAAGTGCGAGGATTATGTGGCGAGGCACTAGATATTAGAGGTACTTACGGGTATAGGATAGAAGTTTGAGCTCTGTTATAAGAGGGGGGATGTGGTAATAGACAAGTTACGGGCGCCCCCGCCCTTTTTACGGGCGCTTTTCGAAGGGGATAATCCGCAAGCCCGTAGCTTTCATTAGAATATAAGGGCATATAACTCTATACTTGCTTTTACGTCCGTAAGCTATACTAAGGATACCCGTACTAACCTTTCTTGCGGTCTTTACTACTTTCAGATCTATAGGGAGCTGTTTTACTACCAGGGACCCTTAAAGCCAGGCTTGTAGTAGGTTCCGGCCTTTGCCTAGCTATTTTTTTATAATCCAGACTATATAACTAATCTCCGGTTATAGTACTGCCCGTAACTCGATCGAATTATTCTCTATAGCCTTTACGAGATACTTACGGACTGTGGTAATCCCTTTATACGGATCTATAAGACGGCCCGGGAGCAATTAGCTAGCCAAACGGGTCACTTTCGGATTTTTCTTAGCCCGTAGATATGCCTAATTCTCTAGTCTGGGGCAGATTATTGCCGCAAGAACCTTCCTATAGCCACAGAGCTAGTAGGAATCCTTCCGGACGAGTTTACGGACGAGAGTTAACATGATATTCTTCTTATGATCCGCGAGCCTGGCTATTAAGGTCCGTAACTTTACTAGGTAGCTATTACCCACATAGCATATATGTCACTTTATTACGTATTCCTCTTTCTATATAGCAAATACGGATAGTACTATAAAATGACCTTACGGGATGCCCGTTATACCTATTAACGGATCCGTTTGAAGTAGTGGCCCTTTTATAAGTTCCGTTTATATACCCGTATTCGCAAGGTATCTCTTCTCTTTTATGCTTGCCGGCTCTTTTAGTAATATATTATAGATACTTTTATTACCTATAAAACTATATTCCTTAATTAGCTTCGTTTATACTAAGACAAGATCCGTATGGATATATATAACGGTTTAGCAAATACCTTAATCCGCAAAGATATCTTACTGGCTAATCTGGGCCATTAATTTATTCTTTCTTCCTCTTTTATAGGCGGGAATCAGTTTATATAATAGCTTTTTCAGGACTTAATAGCTATTATTTATTATTTTGGAAAGCCTACCTTTTTTATTATTTTTATAGTAAACCCATAATAGCCAGAGATTATCCAGGAGCTAGATAGCTTATAACCTATAGACCGGCCAGATCTAATTACTTACGTATTTCGACTTAAGGTCCAGGAGCTTCTTACGGATCTAAAAAACCATATTTTCGGATAATATACAGGCTATATTTATATAATTGAGTACTAAAAGCAAGGGCTTCCGTATTTATACCTGCTTTTATTCTTATAAGTATCCGAAAAGTTTAATATACCTGAGTATATAGACAAGGTCATATATACTAAGCTACCGGATCCATTATAGGATCCTATAGGCGAGCTTCTGGCCTTGGTTACGAGTAATATATCCTATGGTCCGTATAGGAAGAACTATATACAGGCCCCGTATATAGTCTATAAAGAAGCTTATAGCCCGTTAGTATACTCCAAGAGGTTCCCAAAGGCTTTTACGGACCGTACCATAATTAATGAGGATAGCTATCCCGAGTACTACCGCCGGAATAACGGGCAAATATTTATAGTCTGTAAACCAGGCTTTCTAGGCCAGGAAGTTATCCGTAATAACTACTAGGTTATTCCGTATAATCCGTACTTCCTTTAAAAGTTCCGCTCGTATATTAATATCGAGGTTTATATATTTATATAAGTAATTAAGTATATTTATAAGTACGTATATAAAGGAGCGGACTATACTATAGTTATAGTTACGGCTACGGATAATGAGATTACCCGGTATATATATGCCTGTTACGTAAATCTATATAAGGCTATTTGGCAGCTATTCGAATTTTCTATGTATTAGGAGTTCCCTCCTATTTAGTATCTTATAGTTTATCTTAAGGAAAAGCAAACGGTTTACTTTTCGGATAATATCTCTCTTATAGCCCTGGCCGCAAAGACCGCAAATGCCCGTTTAATACTAATGGCTTTCTTTGAGTATAATGCCATATATAAGGATAGCCGGAAGTACTTATATTCCGAGTTTCCGGCCGAGTTTATATAGGTTCCAAAGACCCGGAAGTAGAAGCGTTACTAGCAGGGCAATAGCAAGCGGATCGGCCATATATATTACTATAGCCCTGTCTCAGGCGAGTAATACTACTTATGGCTCTTACTTATGGTTATTCGCGGCCTGCGGTTCTTTACGGATCTGTATTTAGTTAAGGGCATCCGTTACCTAATATACCAGGCTACCTGTATTACCTGCGGCTTGGCAGAAAATAACTAGGAGTAGTACTAGTATTTTAATAAGGCTATTCTGTTTATATCTATAGGTGGTTTACGGATATTATTCTTAACTAGCCTCTGCTAGCGGCTAATTACGGACCCGTTAGCGATCTGGAACCGGTATAAATACTACTTCTATAATAATCTCTAGTACTAGCTTACTCGTAATAGTGGTTTCCTACTTCTACTTCTTAACTTGTACTATAATTACGGCCTCTTTTTACTCGTATATAGGCTTACGGACTAGTAGTAGTCACTTGCGGACTATAGGCTCCCGTCTTTTATCTGGGATTAGACTAGTAGGTACCGTTTCTTATCCGTATTATATACTCTCGAGGACCAGGTATTACTTATAGTTATAATACGAGCCCAGCTTAATCCTAATTAGTAATTATACTTTATAGAGATTATTATGGCTATTGAATTAGATCCGCAAATAGCCCACTTCTATTTGCAAGGGCCAGGAGATATAGGCAAGACATTCTTATATAAGGCGCTTTATTATTACTTTTATAGGCAAGGGCAGATAGTTCTTTATATGGTATCTATAGGTATTATGGCTCTCTTACTACTAAATAGATATATGTCTTACTTCTAGTTTAAGATTCTAATTAAGCTTTACAAATCGTCTGTAAGTTCTATTATAAAGCAGAGCGCCCTTAAATAGATTCTCCGGTCTATAGATCTTATTATCTGGGACGAGGTACTAATATAGTATAAGTACTGCTTTGAGGTTATTTATTAGCTCTTAGTGAATTTATGGTCTATAGCGGATAATATTCTCTTTAGAGGGGTGCCCGTAATTCTCGGTAGGGACTTTGCCTAGATTCTTCTAGTTATACCGTATGGTTTACGGGCTAATATTATTACTATATACCTTTAATAATTATTTATTTGGCTATGGCTTAAGCAGCTTTACTTACGGACTAATATACGGGTCTATAAGGGCGAGAATAGCCAGGAGTTTGTCTGCTAGATTAGCGAATTGCCTAATAACCCAGACCCTAATATAATAGTAGTAATTCCGGACTATATAAACTAGCTAGTATTAATTACGGATCTGATTAGCCATATTTATCCCCTAGATCTTCTCTCTCGGGCCACTACGGATTCGTTAACCTTCTATAGGTAGTACCTCTTAACTATATTAAATATTACGGTCTTAGAGCTTAATACCTATATTCTTGGATATTTACCAGGCTAATTACGGATATACTAATCGGTAGATTCCCTGGATACGGACAAGTTTTCGAGTAATAACCTATATGAGCTATTTATAGAGTAGCTATAAAGCATTAATCTTCCTTCCTTATTGCTATCTTAGCTTACTCTCAAGATCGGGGCTCCGGTACTACTCTTATAGAACCTATATTCGTAAGAAGATTTATATAATAGGACCCGGATAGTAGTTATAAGCTTACGGGTATATTATATCGAGGCCCGCTTGCTTAGAGGGGATTTTAATAGCTAGTTACAGGTAATTCTACGGATCAAGCTATCTGCTATAAATACTAGCCTGGGAATTGCCCTCTCCCGGAAGTAGTTCCCGGTCCGTTTGTGCTTTATAATAACTATTAACAAGTTATAAGGTTAGTTCTTTTATACCGTTAGTTTGGACCTACAAATACCCGTATTTGCTTACGGGTAGTTTTATATAGGGGTTTCCCGTACGTTATCCGTAGAAGGCTTAAGTATTCTTCTACTATACGAGAACCTGTCTAGAATACTTAATATAACTTATCCTAAGGTCTTAGCTAATTTACTTTAGTACTTTATCTCTTGCGGGTATCTTACGGGTGCCAGGTGGCCTTACGGGTCGGTTTGAGGGGTTTGGGGGTCCGTAACTATCCGTAACTACCTATAAGTATCCGTATCTATCTGTAAGTAACTTGTAATTATTACTTCGAATATTTTAGGGCTCAAACGGACCGAGAATACCATGCTATTAGGTATTAAAAGTATATACCTCTCCTAGGTAATCCTTTATGGGATTTATAACTCCTCACTCTGCTCACCCTCCTCCCTCTCCTCCTCCCTCTCCTCCTCCCTCTCCTCCTCCTTCTCTCTCTCCTCCTCCTCCGTCTCCGGCACCGAGTAATTCGTCCTCTCCTCCTCCTCCTCTAGTACCTCCGCCTCTTCTTTATAAAGAGCCGCTAGCTTCCCATAGAGCTCAGCGAAACGGCGTGCCCTCTGAGAGGGAGTAAGTGGGCGGCGGCGGCGAGGGGCGGCGGGGCGGCGGGCTATTTACATGTTAGTTATAATCCGTAATAATCCATAGCGGATATATATATACGAAGATAATCTGCCGGGAGCGACCCGGTCACCTATACGACTACCGGGAGCGACCCGGCAAAGCGGACGTGGGTTGGCAGTAGCAGGGGCAGGAGCTGGAGCTAGAGCTGGAGGGGGAGGGGGAGCGGCGGCGGCGCCTATAAGTACCCGTTAGGTTAGTTACGGTCCGTAAAAGATCAGTAAACAGGTATAAAAAGCACTTACGGAAAGAATAACGGGCATCCTCACTGCCATAATAGCAGTTGGCATAGCTTCCTCTAAACTAACCAGCCACGACCACACATACCGTCCACACACCCGACCCGCCAGCACAATGTGTGCACCCGGCGGCATGAACTTGACTAACGAATTGGCCAAGCTCAGCCTCCAGGTTGGCAGGCCGGGCGGGGTTGGTGGTGCGGCCGGGCCGCAAAACAGGCACCCGCAGCGGAGCCAGCAAAGAGAGCGCCGTTATGGCGCGGGTTGGGCGGGCAGGCAGGGCAGGCAGGGCAGGCAGGGCAGGCAGGGCAGGTGCTGGTGCTGGTGCTGCTGCTGGTGCTACTGCTGCTGGTGCTGCTGCTATTGCTGCTGTTGCTGCTGCTGGTGCTGGTGGTGGTGGTGGTGGTGGTGGTGGTGGTGGTGCTGAAGCTGGAGCTGCAGCTGGGGCTGGTGCTGGTGCTGCTGAAGCAGCGGGAGCAGATGGTAGAGAAGACATTCTACGGACCGTAAGGAGCGTTACAGGCCAGGGGCAGGCCCGTAGCGGGTATGGGGGTTGACTTACGTGTGCGTGTGTGTGTATGTGTTTATTAAAAGAAAGAAGCTTTGGAATTCGAAATTAAAATCTACCTTATTTAGCTTACCTGGAGAATTTTTAGCCTTCAAAAAGTGAATTTTCAAAGTGAATTTAAAGTCAGTAAAGCTGATATCCCTTAAATAAGTGCCTGAGGCTTCCAATTAATCTCGTCCCTATACCACGCAACAAAGATCCACGGACTGCAAAAAGGTAGGTATGTCTTATAAGATCTTACAAGAGTTGTAAGAAGCCACAGGAAAGAATCTATATTAAATTATTAAGAAGTAAATGCTTAACGTGCCAAAATCGGCCACTTTTATCTCTGACAGGAGGAAGTTGTGAGGGGTTAGCGTGGTTTTAAGCGAAGCACTAGCCTAGACTGCCTATTTGACAATCACGTCCAAATCCATTAAGAACCAAGTACTCCTGCACCCCACATCTCCTCTTAAATCGACCAGGTGCAAGGTCTTGCCTCAAGCACTTCGCGTCTCTGTTCAGCAGTCTCGCCCTCGAGATCATCCTCCTAAACCCAAATTTCCTATCTTTCTACCCCAAACCCCTAGAGTTCGGTCCATCAATTGATCCCCCACGCAAACTCCTTATCCAAATGGCCGGTGCGCCGGGTTCCGGGAAAAGCACCCTTGCGAACCTGCTAGCACAATCTCTCAACGGAGTAGTCATCGACCACGATCTAATCCGCTCCTTCTTCCTCTCCACCTCGATCCCTTTCACTCAGTCCGCAAACTCTCATACAGCTTCCAATGGGTGCTCGCCTCCGATATACTTAAACAAGGACGTAGCGTTGTTATCGATAGTACTTGTAATTACGATGAGACGCTCAACCAAGGGATGGCGCTTGCGAAGCAGTGTGGGGTCGAGTATAAGTATGTGGAGTGTAGAGTTGAGGAGCCAGCGGTCTGGTGTGTGTCTTCCGCCGCCTGATGCTGATGCTGAGGGTGGGGGAAGCAACGAAGACTGCCATAAGCTCTTTGAGAGGTGGATTGAACACCCCTGTCGCCTGGAGAGCGATGCCATTATTGTGGATTCAGCGGCCAGCCCCGAGAAGTGTCTTGACTTCGTACTCAAGCAAGTTCTGCCTTCAGCTGGTGGCCAATCAGCTGAGTGTGTAGCTTCGAACTTTGCCGATAGCTGAGGCAGTATGAAGCTTCTCTCGGACAAATTTCGTAGACGTATCTCGTTGGGACGCGAGTGGAGCAGGGGCGAACATGGTATTGATGAATTCTGTTCACTTGGGATGAGAGTGGTTCTTCGGCCAGCCTAACCCTAGTCCTCGGGCGCAATGACGAGGTGAAAACTCGTAAAATGTGCTCGCACGACGGCAATGTACGTCAACTTCTTTGAGTCCAGAGGTGAATAAGGAAGCAGGCCTATTCGTGAAGCCCCTGAGTCCCGGAGCTGCGCCATTTTGATTGTTCGCCTGTATGCCCCAGCCAGTCGTTGGCAGAGCGGCATTTGCTGGCATGGGCTACTTCCATTCTTATCACTATCGACGATGTTTGGAGTATGATCTAGTGGGTTGGAATATTCGAAGGCTGCACCCTGCAGCCGAGAGGCCTCTCATCGGGTTTCTCTGCCTTGTGGTGAAACACCTGCATGACGAACCCTGCAGCAAGAAAGCGCCTCAAAAGACGAGGCTGTGAGGCCTCTCACTGCATCAAAGGAAACACGCAATTGGTCGACTCCTCTGCTGAGGCCGCTCACGCTAGTTTCGTGTTGGCATTTCGCGATTGGTATAAAGCACCCCGTTCCGAATTTTCAACCTTCTCTCCTTTCAGCAGTCAACACCTACTCTCGATTACAACAATCAAGGATTGTCTCCTGAGCCAACGCTCAAGGAGCTTTTCATTGCGCACCTTCAAACGCGGCCCGTCTGGGCTATCCAAACTAGACCGGCAGGACTCTTGTCACGACCATTGATCGTCGCTCAAGCCTCAAGGTGATCCTTCACCTCCCTCTTCTCGACAAGCGCGCGGAGCGATCCCTCCGCGCAGCAACCCATTTCAGGTCACCATGACTGGCAACTAAGAAACAATTGCGATTCCCAAGATTTCCCTTTCCCTCCCTCAAGTCAATTCGATTACGAGTTCTCTCTATTCCTGCATTCTCAGGGCAGCACGGAGCCCGAGAATCAGACTCGTCTGGATCCCTACCATGATATCGTCACTTTTGATGCCACACTATCCCAACTCTATGTCCCAGAATCCACTCTTCCTCCTCGAAATGTCCGCTGTGCCAGCCGAGAGCCACCACTAGTCAATGGCAACCCGCTCCAAGAACAGTACAGCCCTTCGGTTCCAAGAGCCGATTCAACCGACACTACATCATCTTCCCATCCCTCGACTGGACAGAGTACTCCTGATTCAAGTGCTCCAACGGGGTTGTCTTCTCCAGGCTCTTTCATCGGACCTCCAAGCTCCTCCGTCAACGACAACGGCCCCGGCTCTCGGGCCCCACGACGGCCCCAGTTCCGGTGTACTCAGTGTCCAAACCGTTCCCCTTTTCGGCTTCAGTCTCAACTTACGTGAGTACCCGAATATCCGCAATCTCTCATCAGCATGTCAACTAACCCAAGTAAGCCGCCATGCAAAGACTCACTCAAAACCATACGCGTGCCGCGTGCAGCCAAACTGCGGTTTCCGCTTCGCGGAGCAACGAGATCGACAACGACACGAAGCCGGGCATGGACTACAAGCACAGGGCATGGTGCAATATTTCTGCCCTCATGGCTGCGAGCGAAGTCCCACGGGAAACGAAGGCGGGTTTGGAGTCAGGGAAGACAATGCAAAGCGGCATATTCGAGGCAGACACGGTGGATCGGCAATGGTACCTATACGAATCATCACTTAATACGACTTGAAATCAACTTTGAGGGGAAATATCTTAGGAATCGCAATTTTCGGTCGCGATATCGAATGAGAGATGGTTCTTAGGCTTTGAGGTGAAATGAGTGAAACCGGAGACAGTTCTATGGTGGACTTAATATGGTTACTCGGCCAAGCCGCATCAGATTGTTTCTTTTGACCAATGCTCACGAGACCAAGAAGCCTGAGATTATTTCGACTCAGTTACGCAGCAGCAAGGCACTCGTCACGGATTGAACTCGATTCCATTTGTTTGTGCTGTAACGCCCTGCCTACTCTGTATGTCGTAGAACCCCTTGGTTTTACTGGAGGTGAGGACGGGTGAGCTATCACTGCTGCTGCTAACTAGATATCACGATACTCTGTTCGCCAGAAGACGAATTTCCTTTGTAAAGCTACGAGTTTTCTATGAAAAGGCTTCTCTGAAGTCGAAGGCCATACAAAAAAAAAAGACACTGGTGGCGCGAAGGGAAACTCAACTGTAGTCTGTCGACAAGCTGCGAGTTGCCTCTAGAGGCCGGAGGAAGTACTCGCAAACTTTCGAGACAGGGCTAAGATTCTTGATGGCCGGCCTATCAGGATCGAAACGCAATTGGAGTTGGGCATAGAGGGATGGTGTTGGAAAAGATAGGTATAGATCAAGATGAACGTAGTTGTTTCTTACAAAATCGGATCAAGAGTTCTGAGTTAAATGTATCACCATTTTCCTCGTGACGAAGCAGAAAGAATATTTTCATTCTCCCCTTTGCGGTCATTCAGCTCGTGCTCCCCCCTCCCTTTCCAGCAAGATCAACCTTCAAACGCCTCACTCCCGGGAACACATCCGTAGTTGCGAAACAAAGTGTCTTGTATTCTACGAGACAAAGAGAGTATTTAAATCCATATGTGATGTACTTAGCGTACGTAGCATGTGACCAAAAGTCACGTGCACTGGCTGCAGCTATACATCCACAACCCGTCCCTGATCCAAGTCCAAACAATATGCAGAAAGCCCCCGATCTCACCAGGAACTCATAAGCAATGACCTCGAGATGACCCCTGGAGCACTGTCCCAACTTCCTCTTGCCTATACATGACGATGTATCAATGACTTGACAGAAACTCTCCGAGGCGAGTCCCATTTTCAAGTATCGTTCTCACGAAGACGATCTCTCATCTTTGGAAGGCCTCTGAAGATGCTTTCACTTGGAGTCGCTTTTGTGTTTCTTCTCGAGAAATGGGATGAACGATCGTGTCCTTGAGAAGTAGTGGTGAGGCGCTGTACCGAGACTGAGGTACACTGACATATTGGAAGTGTTAGGGAGAAATCACCTCGGTCTCGTTCTTTTTGTCGATATTTGGACTCGAGATTCTTCATCGCTGGAGTTTTGTCGCTTGAGTGGGTTATTCGTGAAGGTTTCTGACATATTGGTCGGGTTCGTCGTTATATGCTCGGTAGAAGATGTGCTGGGGCTGGAGGTTATTGCCATAGTATCGATATCCATGGCTGTTGAATCGTGGCTTCCATTGATGGCGTCGGCGTCTGAAACCACTCGAAGGGGCAAGTCGCCGTGCTCTTCGGTTTGGGCAAAGTTGGAAAGAGCGGTTCTCGGAAGTTGCTCTATACTTGAAGCACCTTGGTGATTCTCTCTGAAAGAGAGTTGACAATCGGTGGTGTTTTGAATGGCCACTGCAATGTCTTGATATCCACATGCCAGAGCAGCGTCCTTTGGAGTTTGTCCTTGGTTATTTCTGTGCGAAGCCTGACACCCACATCTGAGCAAAGCCTCAACAGCGGGCTTGTTGCCAAGATAGCATGCCATGTGTAGAATTGTTTGATTATCCGCGAGTAAGACGTTGAGATCTGCCCGAGCATCTAAGAGCATCTCCATACCTCGTATGTTCCGACTTCGAATTGTCAGAGCAAGTGGCGTGAGTTGGTTGTCGTTGTGAATGTCGAGTTTGGGACCTGCTTTGAGTAAGAAGTTCAGCTTCGTCAAGGAATCTTCGTCGTGGTTGGTAGCGAGGATGTGAAGTATCGTGTTTCCGTTATGGTATTGATATGAGACTTGCATTCCTCGCTTGATCAGATAGACGAAGTTTGAAAGCAACCCTTCAGGTTTTGCCGCGAAGTAAAGAGCTTGGAGTTCTCGAGATATGCAGTCATCATCCTTTGTGCCAATGGAAAGGGTCAGAAGCTGGTCTTCACTGTCCGTAACAAATTCCCCGTCGTCATCGTCTCCACCCTCCTCTTCGGTGTTCTCCTCGAACACTCTGCCATTGGTCGAGCCGCGATCCCATTCATATCTTTGCTCGGCGAGAACAAATTCCAAAAGCTTTGGGGATTCCTGACTAACTGCAAATTCTAGCAGGTAATTCTCAGGCAAAAATTTGCCTTTATAGAGCTTCTCTGTCAAAAATCTCAAGACAGCTTCATTGTTCGATCTGATTGCGGTGCAGATAACCCTTTCGATAAGCTTGGGCGAGGTTTCAAAAGCTAATGTCTTGACTAACGCGTCCCAGAATAGTTGGAAAGTCTGAGGATCGAATCCTCTGGCTGCCAGCTCAATAGGCGTGATACCTTCTTTGTCAGGAAGAACCACACTTGCTCCATGAAATAGTAACACCCGAATGACTTCCTCTGATTCATCTTCGGGGAAGTGCTGACGAGAAACATAATGAAGGTACGTTTCACCAGAATCATCTACTCCGGTCACCCAGGAACACCGATGAGAAGCATCGAGGTCGTCGTTGAAATGGAGAAGAAACGACACGGTTGAATGGCTGAGAACGCGAACAGCTCCGGCGACCGAGCTCTGCAGACTCGAGATTGCTTCTTCGATGGTAGGGGCGCTATGTCGAACAGCTCTAGAAAGGACGTCCACCAACCTTCCCTGCGGGTCTCGTGACTCGTCCCGAATTATCTTATCCAAATCGGATCCCTTGCAACATGGAAACACCCTCGAAAATCTAATTTCAAAGAAATCTTGCAAATATGCTAGCGGCCAATCCTCAGCCACAACCTGTAGCATAAATGAGAAAAACGCAAACTCGGCACCCGGTAATAAACCTAGCGTTTCTCCTGTAGCTGTCTTAATCAAACGAGGAATAGAAACACCGCAGCATGTAGTATCGCGGGCCTCAGCCGGAGATCCGGGAAAAGGACTGTCTTGCCACGCTTTCTCAAGAACTACGAAATCTTCCGCTGAGAGTCTGGCCCCAGAATCAAGAAGCATGGTAACTAAGAATGGATCTTCAGCGAATTCTTCATCTTCAAGGGCAACGGTCAGCGCTTTAAATTGGCCTTCGGGATCTACCCCAATGTCGAGATCCAACCCGGTGTCGAGAAGTTGCCGGATGACTGACTGTCTTGCTGGTTGCATCCACAAACGGTCCTCGTGGATGGGTGCTAAACCATTCAATTTCGAATGCTTGAATATTGAATGTCGGGAAAGCATACCACAGTAAAGCGGGGTCCCAATGATGCTTTTCTGGGCAACACTTAATCCACGCTCAATAAAAATAGCGCACAATTTGTCAAGGGCGAAAACCGCGGCCCAGTGGAGAGCTGTTGGTGATGAAGACTTTTCGAAATACTTAGAGACAGGGGGATGATTGTCTTTCCCCCAAAACTGTGTTTGCAGCCACACAAGTTTCCAGAATTCGAATGCACTTTTTGTATCGAACAATCTCATAACGTTGTTCTCAATGCTCTCCCAGTCGCTCTTGTGAACATGGCCGCTCCAGTACTCGCAAGCATAATCGAAAAAGGGATAGTTGTTACCAAGTTCTAAAGATTCTTCGATCCATTGGTCAAAATCATTCCTGTTTCTAGGAAGAGGCAATCCGTCAAACTCTTGACAAAGGATAAAGTTGAGACACGCTTTTGCTAGTACTGTGTGGTCATCGCATAAGCGATATTGTTGAAAAAGAGGCCTCTGTGCGGGATTGATGGCTTCTAGGAACTCCTTTACGGTGAAATGAGCTAGTTCCAATTTTCCGGTTATAGTGCCTCTTCGCACCAGGCTGCTACACCAGTGCAGAATATCTTCCTCCGTCGTCATCGAATTCGAATCGAAGTGTCTCTCGTCACGGACGGCCAGTGCCTGAATTAATTTCTCCGTTCCAAAATATCCCCCGGCATAAACGATCCAGTGCAGTGTCTTCTTGACTAGCTCTTGGTTCTCTCTGCTGCTTCGATTCACTCTTTCCAAGATCCGTTCGTAGGAGCTCGGCAAGTCAGGGGGTAACTTCTTCAATGCCTCTCGACGGTCTCGGTCATTGTTACATTCGCACAGATAATCCATCTGGCACGCAACCCAGCGGAACCTACGCAAAAAGTCAGCAACTAAGTCCAATCATCCCCAAAAGCAAAAGGAGCCGGAACACATACATCCCATCAGCACCGTTAACAAGTGTTGTCATTATGTGGTCCTTCAAACTTGGGTCTCGTATTCGCAACTTCTTCTCCCTGGTCCTCCTTTCAATCTCGGAAGCAACGTAAAGCCTCAAGTCGGTACTCATTGCTGCAATAGAAACCTGGTTGAAGTATTCCAATTCATAACCAATATCAACCTCTGGTCGGCTCGCAAACAAGGTCTTGACCTGCCCGCCCTGTGTGTTGAGACTTCGGAGGAGTCTTGTCACATCAGCACGGTTGTTGGTAATCTCGTCCAGGCCGTCCACGACTATCATTGTCGTTTGAAAGTACATTGAGATTGTGCTGATCAGCTCGCAAAGTTCCTCGGGTGTGGGATCCCGATGGGTATGAGAGTCCGTAGTATGATCCTGGTAGAATTGGGTCAATTGAGTAAAGCAGCGTTCGTTCTGTAAGATAAGCTGCCTTGCTAACGCTCCCAATATAGTTGCAGGGCTGTGCGTTTCGGGATCTTTGTAGTCGCAGTAGAAAAACGCAAGCCCTGCTCATGCTATCAGAAAAGGCCAAAATGTGGGGGAGGAGATCTGCCCACCATGAGAACTCTCAATATTTTTCTCGATCTCCTGTATTATTGAAGATCTACCTCATATTAGCGCCACTCATGGTCTATAACAAAACAGTAATGAGATTTCGAGATTGCTCACATGAGTATGGTTTTCCCAGCGCCAGCTACAGACAAGTTTCAGCCAAGTCTCAAATTAGATTTCAAAAACCTACGAATCCCATTGATCCAAAGTTTTGAGTCGTTCGTCGATAACCAAGTTTTGAACTCGGCGCCATCGGTGAACCCTAGGTAACGCGGGAGTTAGCATTGCTAGATTAAGACTTTCTAGGGAGAGGACACTGTCTTGGGAGAAAATCATGAAACAGTCCGAAATAGGAAAGGGCTTCTCCCCCAGTACCTACAGACACCAGTGCCAGGCTGCCTGAGTCGAATATTTGAGTCTTGCCATTTTCGGGCATCGACTCTCCCTAATAGATCCAGCATCTTTCGTCGTTCTACACCTAGAGATTACTCGTCAATCAACACCCTGTCTGTTTGAAATAATGAGACAAACTTATCACTATTTTTCGCCTCTCGGCTCGATCAGCTTCGAGACTCAATCTAATGCCTTCCATTCCGCCTCGGATATCATCTTGTCCCGCCAAAACATGTAGCAAGGCGGTCCTGTCAAATATCAGCACGTCTATTGAGACTCCCCAGATTACAGATTAGAAGAACCCACCATTGCCTCGCGCTCATTGCCAAAGTCATCGTCGCTTTATGTCTTCCGATCTCAAGCAACAGCTCTTTGGTACGCTCCTTCTTCAGCGGCCATTTCAACCTGTCTCCTCTAGACATCGGCGTCGCAGGCATAGCCTCATCAAAATGATCCTGAATCTTTTTCAAAGTCTTATAACATGACTCAATATAGTGTATCTAAGTCGACGGATCAATATTTCCATCATCTTCCTCGAGTCGCTCGACGACATTGTTGAGGCTGTGAAGCACACCAGACAGGTTGTTGACCTCTTCCACGAGCTTCTCCGCGGAGTTCTCGGCGTCTTTCACATCCTTGATGAACTTGAATCCTTTTCGTACAATGGCGTCTGCGATTGTCACTAGCCCTTTCACACTATCAGCGACCCCGATGACTTCTGCCATTGCGTGGGCGGCGATAGATGGTCATTACTGCTGAGTTGGGGACACTTTCTTGAGGGTTTATTGCGATGCTGCAAGGCGCCCCATGTAGTAGTCTGCCTTGTCCGCCTCGCCAGCTCATTAGCTGCGCAAGAGGTCTCAGGCTGTTCGGTAGGCGTTCTGCATACTTGATACTGCCCCCCGGGCGTAAATATCAGACCGCTTTTTCAACCGACCTTGCCCCCAAAGAAACAATACCTTTCCCCAAGGTAAATGGATGGTGTGGGTTGTGAGGTCGATTCTCACTCTACACCTGTCTTCGATTTTCGCATTCGGAACAGAAAATGTCACAGCTTGAGCTGGCCTGTTACCTGTTAGCCATGGGAGTTATTCTGCCAGGACATCTTTATCTTTAGAGCAGCTGCGTTTGGATAATGGAGCATGCACGTCTCGACGACCCAGAAAAACTCTAAAATCAGGCCATTCTGCAAAGATCGCCGCTACGACATGCCAATCAAGGCCCCTGTTCTCACTGACCCAAGGGCATCCGAGCCCGGAGCTTCAACTGGCTCGCGTATGAAACACCCTGCAAAGCATGTGCTAAGCCTCAGAAATGGCCGAGATTTTGGAATCCCCACAACCACTCTCTCGGAATTCTGCAACGTCAATCAACAGCTTCGTAGCTGTGTCTCGAGGAGACTGCGAGGCTCGACGTCGCTCACTGTTCCCGTGAAGGAGACTACGAGGAGGGAATAGCATGCGCGATGGAGGCTCCTGGACCCTTGACCCCGCCTGCTCCGGAGGTCGCGGAAGAGGACAAAGATGAGGAGGAGGAGTTTGACGACGAGCCGCCATTTGATGAGTGGGATCTGCAGCACGAGGTGAGAGACTACGCAGTCGTAGTTGAGTGGAGTAGCTGACCCTATTCGCCGTGTGAAAGCATCGAGATGCAGACTCCGCTTATGGCGATGACACCGGTAGCAGGATGAACTACGGCTCCATAAGTGAGAGCATATACAACTTTCGCGAGGAGAATGGCAGGACTTATCATGCAGTACGTTTTCTTTCCGTGCTCTCTTCTCATGCGGTATGCACAAGACTGCTGCTAATAATGCTTCGCTGTAGTACCGCAATGGACGTAAGCCTCCATGAAGTCTGTGCTCGTGAATGTTCAAGCTGCTTATTTGCACTAGATTCTTACGTTCTCCCCAACGATTTGGTCCGTCAAAACCCCCCTTCCACGTGACCCATTTAAACAGCTAATGATATGAGCAGAGAGAACAATACAGGTAGCACTCTCTTTGTACATGAGAATGGTTCTGACGATCAGTCCGTAGAATGGACCTCGCGTACCACTCCATTTTGCGGATGTTTGACGGGAAGCCCTTTTTTGCACCCATAGAGAATCCCCAGAGGATTGTTGATATGGGCACTGGGACGGGTATCTGGGTCGTGGACGTTGGTGATCAGTACCCCTCCGCGCACGGTAAGCCTCAAAGTCAGGCATAGCTACAAGACATCTAGGCTCATACACATGACCGTAGTCTTGGGAATCGATATCAGTCCTATCCAGCCGAGTTGGTAAGTGGCTGAGTACCCCTAGCTTACTTCCCGTACGTGCATCTGACGTTAACACAGGGTCCCTCCAAACGTGGAAGTATGGATCGATACTCCGATACCTGGCTCACTTGCTAATGCGTGACAACCAAGTTCCGATACGATGATATCAACTTACCATGGGTGTACGAACAACCCATAGACCTTGTGCACAGCAGGATCTGCTCCGGACTTGCAATCCGCGACTGGCCAAAGTACCTTTCTGAGAGTTACCGCTGTCTGCGGCCAGGCGGCTGGGTCGAGGCCCAAGAGTTCTACATGGAAGCCAAAAGCGACGACGACTCATTTCCCCCAGACAGCGCGATCATCCAGTGGCACGAGGCGTGCAACAAAGGATTCTCGCTTGCTGGTTGCAATGTGCGCGTCTCGGCCCAGGATCTCAAGAGTTTAATGAAAGAAGCCGGGTTTGTGAATATTCAGATGCTGGAGATGAAGTGGCCGATGAGCCCATGGAATGAGGATGAGAAGCTGAGGGAGGCGGGCCTGTACATGATGGATAGTACATTGCGTGAGCTCCGTGGGATATCCTTGGAGGTCTTGACCAAAATTCAGGGATGGAAAATCGAGGATATGGACTTATTGCTCGCGAAGGTTAAGAAGGAATGGTTCCGAGAGGATATCCATGGATACTGGCCACTGTGAGTGTATTTCCCAGCCCCCATGAATATCGTGCTAACAATTTGACAGATTTGTCGTATACGGCCAGAAACCTTTAGATACCTGAGGGAAAGGGATGAGCATGTTTTGAACTCAGCGGACAGATCGTTACGAAATCATTTTTCGGACTTCTGTCTTCCGAACTTGACATCAAGCTTCGACGATCCGAGTGTAGCGGGAGATATTATGAGTGCGCGGGATAACGAGTGAGCGGAATGGTAACTCGAACTTCTTGACATTTAGATGGAAAGGGCGAGGAAAATCTATCGAGTCTGTTGAGAGCGCGAGGTTGTGACAAAAAAGGGGGAGAAACTGGACTCGGGCGCACTTCACTTGAATCACCATGCTTTTTCGAGATGAGCTGTTACAAATTTGAGACTAAACTTTTCTTCGATGAAGGCTTTGCGCAAATTAGATCAAGACTCTCTGAGCTTCTCCTCGACATCGCAACATTGAACGAGCCGGGTTCTAAGAAAATTTCTCACCCTGAACCGGCCTCCATCCAACTCCTCATGTTCATGCGGCATTTTCAATTTTCTTTTTTTTCCCTGACCCGGCCTCGCGCTCGTCCTTCAAAAAAGCAAAACCCCTCGAGACAGAAAAGCGTTGAGCTCTAGGCCCGGGCCTATATCCAGGGTCGGTATTGGTCCTACACAGCACGTGGCGTCCTGTGGCTTTCCTCAGGGACAATGGCGACAGCGGCTGGCACTGCCGCAACCACTTGCAGCGATTGGCAGGTCGCCTCGCAATTACACACAGCTATGACGCAGCTTATAGCTTGATTGGAACGCAGCACGTTTTTCTCGTCCACGTTCTCGATGTTGACATGCACGGGATGGAAAAGACTTTGCCCCACCCCCCTGATTCTTGGCGATAAGAACCCCGCAGCTCCCAGGGAGCTTTTCTGTGTCCTACGAATCACATGATAATATAAATATATCTCTAATCATCGATCATCATGGCTTCAACAGAAGAGACCACAGTCCCTGAAGCACGACCAATCGACAGCACCAGGTTCAAAGAATTCCAGATCTCGAAGGCCGGGCTCTCGGGCCTGCAGATCTCGTCTAAAGACCCCGCCTCCCCCCATTCTCAATTCTACATCGACACCTCGCTATTCCTCCCCTCGAAAAAGGACATCACGATCCACGCCGGCGCCTCCGCAAAAGGCAAAACCCTCGGCGACGTGGACCTGAAAAACTTCTCCGGACACTACATGATCGAACTAGGCGATCCGAATGTCGAGCCTGTTGTGCTTGAGGAGTTGGATCGAGTGAAAGGATGGAGCAGTAGACATCAGTTTGAGTTTGCGTTTGGCGGGAGGGAGAGGGATGTGTTTTTGTGGCGGCATAGAGGCCGGGATCTGGCCGAGAATAGAGATGATTTGGAGCTGCTTGTCGAGGACGAGGAGCGGGAGGAGGAGGATGAGGTGCTTGCTGTTTATGAGGCGAAGGGGGGTGAGCATGGGTGGAAGAGTAAGGGGAGGCTGTTGATTAAGGAGGGGGGTGGGGAGCAGTGGGAGTTGATGGTTATTTTGACGGCTATGGCGTTGATTGTTTCGAAGAGGAGGGAGCAATGAGCTGCTGTGTGGTGAGAGGGCTTCTAGGCGATGGCTTGCGAACCACTTCCATGCTCTTTTTGCTTGATATTGACATTGATTATATGGGTACCTTTCAAAAAAAGTTTTATTGTGTTCTCAAAAAGGATAAATCACTTAACATTTCATCGCGGATGTCATTTCAAGGCACAAAGACAGAACAAGACTTAATGAACTTCATTGGAAATTTACAATTTCAGACTCCAGCAATGCATAATCCAGATGCAACGCCATCAAAGCCAGTCCTCCCAAGCCCAAACACCAATCTATGCTCCACCCAATGCGGCCCCAACTCCATTCAAAATTCAAATGCCATCCACCCTCTCCCCAATAAATCAATACAACTCACAAACCACACTCCCCACCGCCGTCACCGCACCAAAATCCAACTCGTCATATACACCAAAAGTTCCCAGTGGGTACGTAGCCCCGGTATCACTGAACGCGTTGCAAACGACCTTAGTCAAATCAACCGTCGCATCGTTCGGTGTGATGGAGAGTTTGGTGGCTTGGCAAGGAGCAAAGCCGTTGTCACCGATGCAGACTTTCGTTTCGCCAATGACGACTTGGATGGCGTGGGAATCTTGGGTAGCTTCGGTCACGAAGACGTCAAGGTGTTGGGTGTCGCGAGCCACGGGGGTGAAGGCGGATGCCAGTGTGGCGACGGACATGAGGGCGGCGATGAGGGAGGAACGCATGATGAAGCGTGAAGTTTGTTTGACCAAAAGTACCAAGGTGGACTGAAGATGACTGGTAGAGAGAATTGATAGTATGAGATGCTTGGGTTGGAGAAGATGTGAGTGAATGTGGATGAGACCGAAAGCAAGTGAAATGAGCAGCAGAATATATACTTCTCACCGTATCCTTATTTAGACACTTCGCTGGTCAGTTGTCAGCGCAGTTTGTCGTATTATCACACAAACCTCAGGTGTGACGAGGCCGATTGTTAGCATAGCAAAATCGCAAGCAGTTCTGAGTGAGGCGCAGGTGATGACTTTCATCAACCGAGAGCTCAGCGTGCACGATCCTGGGGGTGGCGGCCGACCGACTCGAAATTTCGGCCCCAACACCGGCGTTACGGAAGAGACTGCCACGACGGAGTAAATACGAGGATCATTTAAGGTGAAGGCTGTGTACTCACGGATGAAGTCGGATTCCCCGCGTAGGGCTGATGCATGACATTTCTCTCCGGAATAATCGGCGTCAGCACGCGCCTCATCCGCAGCAAATGCCTCTGAGATCTGAGGCAACAGGACTTATAGATAATTATAGACTTCTGACAATTTGTCCTGTGAACTGAAGAACGGTGGCACTTAAAATAACATGCAGGAACGAGGCAATTGAAGAATGGAGTTGTGGTATTGCTCTGCTGCTTACAGTGATGCACGCTGATTCAACGCTGGGTATCTCCGCGGAACGTTCATGAATCGTGCCTATCCACCCATAAAGTCCAACATGAGAGTCGTGATGAAATATTCCTACAAGCAGCAGACAGGAAATTTTCATCGAGATGAAATGGAACCCGACGAGGTTTGCATGCGGCTACATGTCAAGTCGACAGACAAGCTCGAAATATGAAGTCGAGACGGTGATTGGCTGCTTGGTGATGCCGTGACTATGAGAGGAAGTCGAAGGCACATTGACATTTTCATAGCAACATGCTCAAGAAAATGATCTCAAACATACGGATCACTCAATAAAACAGAAGTGAGAGTGGAGAAGTGAGAGTGGAGAAGTGAGAGTGGAGAAGTGAGAGTGGAGAAGTGAGAGAGAAGTGAGAAACATGTTCAACTCTACATTAAGTCTCAGAGGCGACTTAAAATCCAGTGGCGATGTGGTCGAGGCGTCGAGTATAACGGCTTGAATGTGCAGCTGAGGCGACATTATCCGCTAGAAGAACGTACTAATCTGAACTATCCAAAGGCTGATTAGATAAAGTCAAGATCCAAATGCGAGATACATACCCGTGGCATTTTCCCAAAGTGGCGTTTTCCCTCAAGACGATAGTCCTTGTCAAACTCCTGATCGAATTCTATATCGTCGCTGGAGGTATGATCAACGGGTGGTGCAGACGACAGCTGTCTGACGCGGACTTTTGGAATTGAATACTCTGGAAACTTCTGACTGAAAAGCTCCAGGCATTTCTGCGTCCACCACCGGATCTTCTCTCCACAAATAGCCCGTAGTGTGCCGCGCTCCAGACGACAGAGGCGTTGGTCAGATGGTACCCGGATTCTGTCGGTCATATCATCAATTCTCAATTTGAGAACGATTGTCAGGACTTTCAAAGGAGGCAAACGCCGAAACCATTTAATGTCGTGACCATCGTCGATAAGAAGGTGCCACTGTTCCCAACTCATGGCTAGATTTTGGATGCCGTTGAATTGGGCGAGGAGTTGACGCAAAATGGGAACATCGAACTTTCCGTCTTTATTCTGATGAGTGGGAAAGTAATCGACCTCTTTTAGCAAGCTCAGGAAGTAGAAATCGGACATGCCTCTGAAGTAGACGTGGTCGAATGTTTTGTTGATATAAGCAGCTCCCCGAAGAGGGACATGAGTCTTGACGGCGGCCAGGGCCCAGGCGGTGTATTCTTTGAGGGCGACCAATCTTGCGTCCCGACAGGCCGTCAACAACTCGGGATTAGAGAACGCCACGCCTGGGCATACTCGCAGTTGTTGATTTAGCTTCGCGGAGATCGGCTCAGACTCAAGATCCTCTGGATCCGGAGCGACCCACAACACACGAGGAGAACTTGCTGGGATAACGACAGCCGCCCAAGACCATATGAGATTTCGAATCTCAGGAGGAAGCCTGGAGAAGCATGTGAAGGTGTTAGCTGGCTGGCTCGCCATCAATCTCGAAGTGTCTGTTGTGGTGGGTGAGTAATGAAGCTTCGAATATGTGAACTTGGACGCGATTACCTCTCTCTGATCTCGTCCGAACTACTAGTTGCGAATTGTTGATTTCCTCTCCTTCAACTACAGTCGATGGTGTTGTACGCATGGCCAGCTCAGATTGACCTCCGATCTTTCGTCTTTGAGGGACTGTTTTCTTCCTTGAACCGGCAGTCTTCGAGACTGGAGCTGGTCTAAGTTGAGCAGGTGGACGTCTCGTGGTGGGGAGCTCGTCGTCCTGGGCTTCGAGCTCATGGTGTCTATTGGTAGACTCCATTGGGGGCTCTTGACTCGAGGAGGATGAGTTAGGGAAGAGATCGAATTTTAGAGGAAGAGTTGTGGACAAAAGAAGTTCGCATGCGAGCGAGGTTGTGTATAATAGTCGGAGGGGGGTGGGAGGTGAATTAGGGCCGGAGAAACTGATCTGCACCTGCCGGCCCTAGAATTTCAGGGGCTCGCTAGCAACACAGGGGCAATGGCACCTTTTGCTTCCTTTGCATTTGTTGCATGGACCATAAAAGTATCTATCTATCACCTTTGTGCTGCAAGAAATACAGAAGATTGTTGCTCAAGAGCCAAGTGTCTTTTCCTCGATAATTTAAATCCACGCGACGAAGCATTCCTGAGTGAATACCAGAGCCATTTCACGTGACCCCCTTCCCCACATCACTCGCTGTCTGATTTCCCGAAGTCTTCATCCGCATTTCATCGTCCACACATCTCCCCACACGTCCACCTGTACTGTTACAGCGTCAGACCACATGTATTCTATTCTACAGTAGAGAAATACAGCCACTATATCCTCGTCCCTTCCCTTCCATTTTCTCTGTGACTCAATTGATCTAACAGCACAACAATCATGGCAGCTCCAGTCAACTCCGGCTACGTCCAAACGAGCGACCCCTCGAAACCACGCTCCGACGCTGCAGTCCCCTTCCGCGACCTCATACCTTCTCCTTCCCATCCTCGAATTGCCGGAATTGTAGATCACACTGCCCTCAGTTGGTGCGAATCGCGCAGACAGATCGAGGCCCCAGCGTGGCTGATCAATCGACTCGACGCGAAGAATTTGGAGAAACCATACAAAGGGTTCACGTCAGACGGGAAGGTAAGAGAGGGATTGTATAACTATGCAGAGGATGAGGGTGCGCCAACGGAGGAGGTGATGGCCCGGACGGCAGATTTATTCAAGATTCTTAGCGGCGAGCAGAAGGACCAGGTGCATTGTGGGGAGGTGACGGACGATGATTTCAGACTGTGGTCAAACCCTGAGCTCTACATGAACCCAGGTATGTCAAAGGCTGAATTGGGGTAGATATCGAACTGACTTCATTCTGCAGGCGGGCTGCGACTCGATGAATGCTCCGCCGAAGTACAGACCGCAATCCATACGATCCTCAAAGCTTCAAGCTCTCCCGAAGGCTACGAAAAGATCCTTGGCTGCTGCCTCACGAACGACTTCCTGGGACACCTTGTAAATGGCAAGAGGGTGCTGAATGAACACTCCTACAATTTCCGCCTCTTTGGCGTTCTCTCTACCTCTACACCATGGGGCTACACATTTTTCGGACATCATCTTTGTCTGGCAGTGGTCTTCCTTGGGAAGAGAATGGTGTTTGGGCCTACATTCATGGGTGCAGAGCCAGATAGGATTGATGAGGGCCCACACGCAGGATTGAGACTGTTCCGGGCAGAGGAGATGGAGAGCTTGAAATTGATGCAAAGTCTACCGAAGGAGCTGCAAGACAAGGCGACACTTAGTAAAGGAATGGATGGGAATAGTTTGGCTGCAGATAGGTGGAATCCGTTTGATGAGAGACATCTCGGAGGAGCGAGGCAAGATAACAGAATTGTACCATATGGTAAGGTATCCTCCTTTAAGGAAGAATTAAGCTAATAGTTATCACAGAGGGCTGCTTAGTCTCTGAATTCCCACCAGGCAAGCAAGAAATGATCATCAATCTATTCAAAGCTTTCAACGAATATTATCCAGCGCCGGTGTTGGAACATCGGCTCGCCCTTTTCAAGGAGCATTTGAACGAGACATATTTTGCGTGGATTGGTGAATTTGGAGACGAAGATCCGTATTACTATAGAATACATAGTCCAGTAGCGTTTATGGAGCTAGATTTCCATTGTGGGAGTAAGTTGCAAATATCAAGATCGGGTGTCAGCTGCTAACATCTTGATAGTTTTCTTGACAAATACAACTCCAGCGAGATGTCACATCCACACAGTAAATAGATTGCCTAACAGAGGAGACTACGGAAAAGCTTTGCTAGAACAGAACGGGCTTAAGTCTTGAATTCGGGGTATATATCAAATGAAAATCAGGCTTGGGTATCAAATTACGTGTGCCTCTCCGGAGTCCCGCCCAGGACTTTCTCCTCAGTATCATGAACAAAGCGCTCTTTTTCCAAGTATCGCTCGAGTCTGCTCGTTATATCCCTGGTTTGCTTTCCGCTTCTCATTCTTTCTTGAGTTTCGAAGTTTCGATCCGTCCCCACTCCCCACAAACCTCCTCCATGTCCCCACTCTGCGCTATCCCCACTTCAAGTCACGCCACCATCACGTGTCTTTCATAACTCGATCTCCTCTCTAACCCCCACCACCACCATCTCCTCCTCCGTCCCCGCCAGAATCTCCTCCCCCATGATGCCCCCCATAATCACCACCATAATGCCCCCCCTCATGCCCGCTTCCATAATCCCCTCCACTTCCATAATAGCCTCCCCCTCCAACATCCCCCACATATCCAACCCCATGCATTCCCCCATAAGACCCTCCATAACTATGGCTCGGAAAATCCCCCCAATACCCGTCTCTCCTCGCCATCGTTCCCTCCATCTGTTCCCTCTCCTTCCCCTTCCCTTTCCCCTGCGAACCGTGGAGTCTATCACCCGCAAGCACCTCCTCCAACTCCTCCCTCCTCTCCTGCCGAAAGTTCCTCACTACGGAGCTATCTCGCCTCTCCTCATCCCTTCTCTCACCGGTAACAGCAACACCGATTTCAGGTTCCTGCCCATATATTTGAGGGGAGGGAGAAGGCGAGGGGTGAGACGCTCTCAGCTCACTACTCCCGATCAACAATCCGCTATACTGCGGCCCCGGCAAATTCTCTAGGCCCAGTCTCGGGTCATATTCCCTCCCCTCCCCTCCTCCCCCATCATTAAAAGACGCACTGTAGTAATTATTGCCTGCCTCCACCCTTTCTCTCCTCTTCTCCAATATGGTCTTGATGATACTCTTTCTCCGCGCAGGCTTCGTCCCCGCTGCCCCATCCCTAGCTTGACTTTCTGTCTGTGTCTTTTGAGGTTCGGGGGGAGCAGGCGCAGGAGCGTGAGAGTTCCGCTTCTTAAGGGATGTTGGGCGGGCGGATTTTGTATTTGGGCGGGGAGACTTGCTAGGAGGAGGGGGCTCGTTGTTGTTTCCTGGTGTGATCGTGATTTGTGGGGGAAGTGGAGGGGGAATATTTGCATTTCCTGGGGAGACTCTTATTTCTGGAGGAAGGGGGTGAGGAAACTCAGGGTGAGGAGCGTCGGCATGTTCGGTTGCTGGAGTGAAGGTTGTAGGTGGTGAGGGTTTAGACTTTTTGGAGGGCTTTGTAGAGGGAGGAGCTGCTTGGGCGTTGTGGGATCTGTTGTACAATTAGTTTGGGACTGGGAAGATTAAGAGAGGGAGGGAGGGAGGGAGGGAGGGAAGGAAGGAGCTGAGGACTGGAGGGACGAAAAGGTGGTGCGTGCCTTTTTCTGAGCACCTTCCCCTTCTTGGGGGGGTTGAAGAGGGTCGCGAACAGCATGTCGATTGCAAAGCTGTTGTGCGGATATCAAAGGCTAGCACAAAATACGTTTTCTCTGGTTGTAGTTGGGAGAATTCATGATGTTATGGTGTCATGAGGTTCAAGACATGGAAGGATGAGGCTGTGTCGTTCCACTAGTATAACAAGCTAACTAAGGTGACTTCTTATTCGCTAGCGGTTGAAACAGCGCTGCTGACGTGGAGCAAACACCGAGATGTGATTTGGAATCGGATTGGCGGGTTGTTTGGGCTTGATTGCGAATCATCGTTGGTTGTTCCAGGTTTTTGGAGGCGGGGTAGGAGAGGTGGTGTCACCAGTGTGACACGAGGGGTCGTCACGTGAGGAGGGGTAGTGGAGCGAGAGACGTCAATGAGACTTATGGTAAACAGATTTCTTTCATATAACGAGGTGTCTGGCTCTAATGAAAGTCAGCGAGGACTTCGTGGGTTTCAGGCATGTTACTTTGGTGAAGTACGGTCGAGAACGAGCGGAGGTCAAGGTGGACTTCAATCAGATACTGAGATGTTCGGCTGACGGCCTCGCATTATGACTGGCGAGTCTGCTGCCTACTCTGAGGCCGCTCAATAACTACGATAAATCAAAGGGAGGATAATCACGGCAGACCATCCTATTTATCGCAGCACGCACTTTCTCCTACGTAATCTGATCAAGCGAGTGGGGAGGTGGAGGAGACTGTTGGCTGCTCTAGCCAGTGGTCGAGATCCGAGCCACTACAGACCTCATCGAGGTAGCACGAGCTTCCAAAATTGAGCAAGCACCTCTCTGTGGGAACTGTCGTGAGCTTAGATTTGATCCCCACAATGCAATAAAAACAGAACGCGATGGTTAATAGCATTTTATGCACTACAGGCTCAAGGATCAACTTCCACACTTGTCCAACCTCAAGCCACCTACCAAAAGAGGATGCAATTTGTGCGGATTCCTCGCGCAGGTAACCCGAAAACACATCTTGGACAGTACCTCGATTATAGCTGGATTCGAATGTGAACTTTTTGGCCAGGCTTCGCCGGTGACTATATTGAGTTAACATTAAACAAAATGCATATTGGGACAAAACACAATGACGATGATCGGCTTCCACAGTTTGTGACGGGCCGGATTGGAGTTGGAACTATTACTGAATCGCTCAGAATTGATGTGCAGGGCGAGGAGGGTTGGTGTTCCAGAATCTTGTCAATGATGTTGATAACTAATACGATACGTAGATTTTCTTTGCGGTTGTCCGGATTCAGACACCTTGTCTGAGAGGACTCTAAGTTTTGTAAGAGACAAAATCGAGCTTTACGTTCAAAATAATCAAATTAGACACGGTCATTGCTCTCAGCTAAGAGCTTCAATGGGCCTCTCCGGTTACTGGTAGTTGGTGACGGTAATTTCGTCCAGCTTATTGAGGATGATAGTCGATTTTTTCAGTACCCTGCCCTCAGGTACTGCTGGGGATCTTCCGATGCAATTGTATCTGCACGTACCCTAGCACCAAATCTAGGCTTCAACGTTTTACGTTATCTTTATTGCCACAGACTCTCCCGGATGGCATAATCGTAGCTCGACACCGTTCAGTCCCTTACATTTGGATCGACGCACACTGTATTTTCCAAGTTTCAAAGGAGGAGTGGGATAGAGAGGCGGCGAAGATGGTGAACACGCATATATCACCATTGTAGCGACTTCTGCAACATCAGCTGATGCAGGTTGCCTCTTCAAGCGGCCCTCGTATCATCGTTTAACTCTGACAAATGCCGGAAATGGTGAGCCCAGAAGGGTCCTGAACTTCTCATACCCGGAATACCGCAATAGCTGCTGTGATGTCAATGATTCCGTTTGGAACAGCCATGGCTGGACACTTTAGGAAAGGCTGCCATCAAGGCGACTCAACTTCTTCACCTGCCATGGAACTTGGTTTGAGTGCCGTGGGGCCCATCGGAGACACGGGTGAAGGATGGATAGCAATTACTGCCAGACCGCCATGAACGGCAATGCGGTGACAACCAAAACGGCTCCTAACGACGGAACCCAGACGACGAAGACACCCATCACGGTTGTCACGGCCATCTCATCCCCTGTCTTAACAGGTACAAAAAAAGGGAATGGTTCGGGTTCTGGGTTAAACATTTTAGACAAAATTGTACATGGATGTGGATTGGGCCCTGGATCGCCAGCTACGATTATCGCAAATTTCAATGTTTGAGGGCTTTTAGGACACCAACATAAAGTCAATGGAAAACATATGTTCGATACTCCTTCATCAGGCAAATTCCAGATGGAGGAAGTCAAAACAGTGGGTTCAGAATAAGTGCTGATTGCTTTTGTCATTAAGTGTACGAGTTCTTCAGAATTCTCTCAACAGATGTTACTTTCTCCTCGTGTCCCCATCAACAACTTCCGCATCATCAACAAACAGTACACGGCACGTCGGTAATCGCCTCGGCAATAGCATAATACGCAGGCTTCCGTTGCAACGTCTCATTATAGATATCCGCACCACCCTGTCCCGTAAACGCAGACGGAACCCACGAATACTTATCATCGAAATCCCAAACCGTAATACCCCTACACCGGCGTCCAACCTGCATACAACTCGCAACAGAATCATAATAATTCTGCGCCTGGGTAGCCTCGCCCGCGGCTGTATAATATGGCGCCGCAACAAACCTCACATCCAGTTCTGTGATCGCGACGTCGACACCGAGATCCAGGAATTCTTTCTTTGCAGTGACCTGGGCTGCAACGGATGGAGTGCCACCGACCTTGAAGTGCGATTCTAGACCAACGCCGTCGATTTGGATCTTCCGGGCCTGCAGTTCTTTGACCAAGTTGTAGGCGGCTGTTGTCTTGGTGCCAGGGCTCTCGAGCCCGTAGTCATTGTAGTAGAGCTTGATATCTTTGCCAGTCTTCTTTACGGCTTCTTGGGCGAATTGGAAGGCGAGGAAGAAATACTCGGGCCCGATGGTGTCATGCCACTGAAAAAGACATGGAAGTCAGCCGAAGGTCAAGAAGGAGTGAAGTGAGGCTGTACTTACAATGCTGGAGGAGAAGGTTCCGTCACCGTTCAAGGCTTCGTTTACCACATCCCATGAGTAGCAGCGGTTACCCCAGTGAGTGACCAAATTGTAAATATGGTTCTTCATGACGGCTGTCAGAGTTGCGGCAGTCCAGGTACCGGATGTTACCCAATCGGATATTTGACTGGACCAGACGAGGTTGTGACATCGGACCCGCATTCCATTCTTTTCAGCGAGGTTGAGAACATAATCTCCTCCTGTGAAGTTGAACACATTTTGTTGGGGCTCGGTATACATGAACTAAAACCTATTAGAACCTCATCAATTTTTTTCTTGGGTACAACAGCTCACCTTCATCATGTTGGCAGGGGTGATCTCTCCAAAATTCTTAGGGTTAGTCAAGATTCTCAAGTAATCTTTATCCGTCTGTTCAGCAGTCCCCGGAATATCTGCAGCTGTGCCAAACCAAAGTTTTCCGTTGTCCCGTGCAAGATCATTCAGATATCTTGGGCCGGTTGGACGGTGTGGTGCTGATATCGCAGTTTGCAGGGAGGCGAGAGCCACCAAAATGGTGGCAAGGAAAGAATGCATTTTCCCAAAGCCAATTAAAGACTTTTATTGGAGCAGAAACGACTGAATGAAGAATTCAGAATCTTTTCCGCCATGTTGAACATACTTATAGAAAAAGCTCACAGAGCTTGATATTCGCTGGAAGCTAGTTATTCCTGCCCGTACATCCGAGGAAAACCCAAGAGCACGGTTCCTCCCCGACTGAAAGGCGGAGAGGCGCAGGGTATTCAGAGGGGAGGCGAGGGGTCAATTTTCAGGCTGATTGTTATTTTAATCAGGCTGATTTATAGCTCAGTAGAAAACTAGTCCTCGTGTCATGGAGAGCGCAAATCCCCGCACAAATGGAGAACGGTAAGCGGAGCGTAATCCCAAAATGGCCTAAGTATTTTTGTTTACCCCTCACTAAGGCTAGCGAGGATAGGCGAGTTTGGCCGATGATCCCTCGTACCCTGAAGTAGAGTGTAAGACATTTGCAGGGTTATCGGAAGATGCTCAGGGGTTATAGCGCTGCTGGCAGAGCAACCATAGCGCTCGGACGCTGTGAGGGTGGTAATTATAGGGTACCTTAGCGAACCTTCCCCTGTAAGTACAGGGATACGCCTTAAAAAGGTGTGGTACCCCTTGCTTGCGATTTATAGCGTTCGTTCAGGGCAGTGGCCTAGAAATATAGGGGGCTTTAGTGGTTGAATCCAGCAGAAAGTGGCCTGAAAGTGGACTTGTAGTTCAAATGCCCTGTAGTCCCGTCACTTTATGCCGTGATCTTCGTAACTATGACAGAATCATGAGATCATGATTGAGTTTTAAAATGTAGCTTGAGCGGTGTAATAGAAGTTTTCCGTTTAATTATTGAATAATTTCAAGTGGCCATTATAAATTGAAACGGTGATCAAGCGGTGGTTTACCAAGGCTGAGTTACACCCCTGCAACCTAAATCTTAAGATCTGGGTCCCGAACCACTGCCCTGAAAACAACAGTTGAACTAGATATAAAAGTAGCCAATGGCTAGCACTTGGATAAATGTGAGAGCGGCTTGGATATAGCCGTGGTAACCCCGTTGTTACCCAAGTGGTTCACGGATGAGACCATATTTGCAAACTGATCGATTCTTAAAAGTAAAAGGTACCTGCGCTAGGACTCCCACCAGTAGCATCCAGTTCCATATTTCTCATTGGTACGTAATACGCCTTCCCCAATAGTGTGCTTACGTGTTTGGATTATCGAGATCCTCCCAGTAACCTCTCGCTTGTCCGGGCTTTGATACTTCCTCCTCTCCGGCCGACAGAATACATCCCCCCCCCCCCTACAAGTCTCCCACAAAAGCTCTTGTGAGACTAACACCCCATCCTCCCGCAAATCAATCCACCCAGTCCAATGACGACACATATGGCTAAGAAGGATATATTACTAGTTCTGGGCCAGTCAGCTGGTATCCTCTATATTAACGTGAGTGTCTCCCTAAGCCTTTACCCTATCGCGCAGGCAGCACATAAGCACAATGAGGACGGGGATTAACACAGCAGAAACGACGCCCCCAATCTCCATGTTGCTCAGGCCCCTTGCGAAGATGTGTGAGAGGCGAGTGAGGACTTCATCGTTTATGGAAGGCATGTTGTGTATGTATTTGCTAGGCGTGAGTTGGTTTGACTTCCCTTCCCGCCTCCGTTCTAGTTGCGTTTGAATGACGTGCGAATAGCTGAAAGCTGCTGAAATGGTTTGGGTCGAGTCTCTCTAAGCACTTTGCTTGAGAGGTTGTGGAGACAAGTTGATTGATCGAGATTGGAGAAAGGGAGTAAGAGCCTGAGATAGATGGAAGGTTTTATATGCAGTGGTCTGAGAAGAGAAAAGTTGTTGATTTGTTGTTGAATAACTTCTTGCTCAAATTCCAAAGCATTCAGGCTGCTTAGGAGGAGAAGAGGGGCTTGTAATTCGGTGAAGAGGTGAGCTATGAATCATTTCTCACTGTCATGGAAAGGTGTCACAGGTTCATCGAATTAAATGACTGTCCAGTGTATATCTATTAGAACAATGTAAAGTTCCCCAGAGTGTCCTTGGCCATCTTCGCCGGCGTATTTTCTCGAAATAAAAAGCCAGTGGCTAGCTACAATTCCGAAATCTACTTGTGATCACGAAGAGACAACTTCTGGCGACTTAAAGAGAGTCAGCTTTAGCTTTTAAGCATGCTTGAATGCGATTAGATAAGGCGTGTTTACTTGACCTCTTATCCTTTACAGCAGGAGGACCATATAATGAAAGCTAGGAGCAGAAGCCCACGAGGAATTCCAGAGCGGTGCCTGCGATAGCTCAACCAGGAAGGCTCTAGTCTCGGACATAGAGATGAGCGAAGTCACCAATGTGAGACATGAGTTTGTGGTTTAGAGGCGCCATATTTCTTCTCATTCAGAATGACCTAGTATAAAGGATTAACTTATTATTACTTTTGCTATAATTATGGGTTTAGAGTGTATGGTCTCTATTATATCCTGGATTGACCTCAACCCAGTTCTTATTACTCGAGTCAAAATATTTGAGTGAGAGGCAAGAGGCAACTTTATTCGATTCTGAAACTGGACAGATAAAGCGCTGTCCAACAGGGATGGAAGGGGTCGTCTAATGTGTCGAGCAGTCGGTATTTCGGAGTTGATCAGGGCACAGCGGAAGCCAGTGGTTCAACCTGCTTAGCAGATGAAAAGTTTAGATGACATTTGCAACACTAGATTGAGAGAGTCATGTATCAGTTCTCGCGTAACCATTAAGAAGGCACAGAGTCATGTTATATCAGATTGATTCACGTGCCCCTTTTTAGAGCTCTGAAGAGTTTTGGAAACTCATCGATTCAGAAATGTGCCAGACCTATCTGACTGTAAATCTTTTCCTGGTCCCCCCCCCCGCCCAGGTTGTTGTCTTAATTGCCTAATAGAAAGATCAGGTTTCGCTCCCTTTCACCGCTCGCAGCGAGTGCTAAAAGATCTTTATAACCTAAAGAGCCCACGGTTACAAGCCTGAAAGATGTTAGCATTAGGCACCCAGGAAGAGTTTCTTGAATCATGCTTTACCTGCCGTCACCTTCTTCCAGTTAGCCTAGCTCCAAAGCAACCAAGGAGCATGACACCAACAAAAACTCCAAAAATAATGCCTGCCTGTGCTCCAGGGGAGATTTCTCGTGCGTAGATGTGAGCGATATGAGAGAGTTTGTGGTTTAGTGGCGGCATATTACTTGATTGGTGAGACCGGTTATCTGGATGGATGCGTTTACTAAAGTGTTGACTTTCTGTGTGGTTTTTAGTGTTGCTGATCTGGGTTTAGTCGCTTTATTGTTCTTCCGAGTAATTGATATGTTGTCTGAATAGGCAAGGGCAGCTTGTTCAGATGTCAAAATTGGTTATATAACAGGGAAGGATTTATACGACCAATTGAGCAATTATTGTAAGATTTTACTCGAATTGGCGTTCGACCCAAAGCTAAGTAACTCACTCCAGTGGGCAGGGATTGTAGCACGAAATCAAGTGTGCCATAGAGTCACTGCCACATACTCGAAGATTACAAACACTACACCTTACACATTGATTCACACGGAGTTCTCTTAAAGTTCCAAAAGTTCGTGCTCATCGATTTCAAGACTGCCAGTTTCCGATTGGAAGACTTTCCCAACGTGCACCTAAACCCCTAGCCTTGGTAACCTAACCTTGTTGTCGGGGCGGTCTTCAATTATAATGTCAGGTATCGCTCCCTTCGTTTATGAACACTCGCTCCACGTCCAGAATGACTCTAAGTCCTGAAGAGAATATCGTCGACAGATTACCGCAAGTCAGCATATGGCAAGCTGGAAAGACTTTCATGATTATCTTGATCTCACCTAAAATTGGCGTGTAATATTGCCAAACCAAAGCACCAAAGCACCCAAGGCAATGACACCAAAGATACCGGCCACAACATAGGCTGCGACGATTCCACCGGAGACATCTCGTGTGTAGATGCGAGTGATGTGAGATAAGACTTGGTCATTGAGTGGCGGCATATCCCTCGTAGTGGGAGATTTTTTTTATCGACTATTTTGTCGTTGCCCCTTCTTGAGACGAGTTGTAGTGTGTCCTCGGATGTGTCTAGGTATGGGAGAACCGATTTGTTGTTTTTGAGCAGATGCGTTTTTGAAAGTTCGAGTGACAAGGCGGAAGCACGTATTGAATAAAACTTTATCACAAATTAAACAGTAGCTATGTGAGCAGTAGCTATGTGTGAATGAAGGAAGTTTCAAAAATTCGGACTTTTGGAGGCAATTCAATTTCAAGTGTGAATGTTTGGCAGAGGCTTTAGGGCATCGATTTTGAGGCATTTGATCACTCATAACTTGGGATCCAAAAAATCGCAGTACGTTATGGTTATCCTTTTTAAAAGTGCAAGTGTTTCTCAGACATCGTGGATAATTCTCTAAACTTCATTGATTTTAAGACCGTCTAATTGCGCTCTCTTCACTCTTTTTCAACAACTTTCATTCCCTGGGAACTATATAACCCCTCCCGTCACGATTTGCCCGGAGAGAAGATTATTTGAACCCATGGAATTGTGACGAGCAAATTCGAGCATAACTCAGTTCTAGCTAACCTCCCGGTCCCGCCCAAGGTCTTCGAGTTTGTCGGGTTCAGAAAGGTAAGATTACAACCAGATGTTGCGATGCGAGCAATGATGAAAACACTAACAGACCCTCTACCAGAGCGATGAATACAATAGTATCACTCGAAGCCGCTCTCTTGGAGATGTAAGATATGACTTAGTTGTTGAGTGGCGCAATATTGCCTCTCTGCTAAATTGATATATTAAGTCAATGTCGGTCGAGTTCGCCAAGATGGATTGAAAAAGAGTATGCCCCTATTAACCCCCTATTCAGCTCGCATAGCATTTCTAAACTAAAATGATCCGTACAAATTAGTAATTTTGTACACGACTTAAGATCAACTCTATTATATATATATATATACTAGTATCCTTCTAGGGCTACCTTAGAAGGGTGCTTATACAGTTAAGAGTTTAATTCCCATCTGGCCCCCCTTCCCCCTCTCTTAAGAAGAATATGTTTTTAATTTTCCGTAAAAGAAGACCCTTTTCGGCTATGTTTTAGCCCCCAGCGCATATATATAAGACAGGCAAGAAGCATATCCCTTTATTGCCCTCATAACCGCTTAAGAAGTATATCCTCACCTTTTAATATTTATTTATACGAGTAGTACAGGAGTCGCGTGTCTTAGCCTACGGAGACAGCGGCATAAAGTAACGGGAATACAGGGCATATTTTATAATATATTAATAAAGACTACTAATAGGCCCTATAGGTCTTAGTTTCATCTCCCCATAATAATATCCTAGTTCCTATAAGCCCTATAAGGGTCCCCTAAAGTAATTAATTAACCCTGTACCCCCTCAAAAGAAGTAAATAGGAGCCAAACCATAATATTAAACTATATTAATATATAGCTACCTTCTTCTGGCCTTTCTTTCTATCTTCTTTATACTTATTTCCCCCTTCCAAATAAATTATCTCTTATATATAATCAGGAATTACTATAATTTACTCTTAAATCTTACTTTAGGGAAGATCCGCCTAGTATTTCTCTTACCTTATTCTGAGCTTTTTTCTATTACTTATAGGCCCCTGTCTAGTAGTTTCCTTTTTTATTTAAAACTATACTTTCTTAATTATATTAAGATTAGATAAGTTTTCTAGCTAAAATATCTTTATAATCTTTTATAAATTATAAATCTCTTTTTAGTAATATAACTTATAAGCTAGTATATTATTCTTTTATATAATTATATTAGAGTAATTCTTTTAGTACTTTCTTATAAAAGATAAGAGCTTCTTAATTAATATCCTCTTCTAATATTAATACTAATTAATTTCTTTTTATTTCTTTTTTATAATAAAGGCTCTAGTTTTCTTATTATATTTCTATATCTTTTATATATTTCCTAATATCTGGCTATAGATATTTTTCTAATTCTTTAACTATTTCCTTTATTTCTTCTCTTATTTTTATTTATTAGCTTTTTTAATTAATGAATTCCTTATATTAAGATTAGCTTTATATTCTCTCTTTTTCTTTATAGTTTCCTTTTCTTATATATAATAAGGCCCTTTCTTATTAAAAGAAAAAGCTTTCTAAAATATAAATTTAGAAAAGCCTTTCTATTTTCTTTATATATAATACTTATTATATATTTCTTTAGATAATCTTTATATATATTTCTTATTTTTTATATCTTCTAATTATACTATAGTCTTATTTATAAAAATTATATTTTTCTAGTTTTCTAATATCTAGTATATTTGTTTTAAGTATTATTTTAATTACTTTTTTTTATTAAACTTATTTAGTTTAGGCTTTATTATTAATTTATACTAAAAATAGCCTATTTATTTAAAGACTTTCTAGATAGTTCTAGAAGTAATTTTATACCTGTACTTTCTTATTTCCTTTATAATTATAGTATAAGAAAAGCCTCTTATAGTCGAGTTCTAAAATATAATCTTTAAAATATATTTAATTATATTAATTAAAATTAGAGGTCTTCTAAATTATAGTATATTTAGAATATAACTTATTTCTAAAGGCATATTCTTATTCTCTCTCTAGCTATACTCTCTAGTAATAGCATATAATTAATAAATAATTATTTTGGGTACTCCTATAGCCTTTTTAATCTGAGCCAGAGTCTTTCTATTCTCAAGTATATAGATTGCCTTGATTCTTGTACTAGTAAAGTACTCTTTATATATGGCAGTAGAAATAACAAGTTTAGTTAAGGGTACAGGTTATATGGGAAGTACCAAAAGTAGTGGGCTTGAATTATCGTCTTTATCCTTGTCTTCTAAATTAGTAGGTAAATTATACCATATATTGTCTTTATCTTTAGTATACTTATTAGAATACTCGTTATTAGACGAATCAGGGGGTGACGAGAGCTCTGATTACCTATCTAATAAATTAGGGAAGTCAAAAAGACCTCCAAAAGTAGCCATAATAAATTAAAGCGAGAGTAAAGAAGAATAAAGGATATAGGAGAGCTTAATAGGGGGGTAAAAGCTCAATTTACCCTGCTACCGATTACGGACGTACGTCTAAAAATATAGGGGCTAAGGCCCTATAGAACGCTGTGGCTTAATATAACGTCCTAATCGAGCTGCATGAGGTTTCAGTAAGCCTTCAGGGGTCTTATGGCCTTGACTTAGTGTAATTACAGTGGCTGCAGGGCCAAGTGAGACACTATAGGGCATATTAGAGGGCCTAGAATTATGCATGCCCTGTATTCCCGTCACTTTATGCCGCTGTCTCCGTATATTCTTCCTGAGCCAAGTAGCAGAAACATAAATCGCTTGATTTCTTGTCAATTTTCACGCAGCAAATCCATGGGAACATATCATGTAAGCTCATCGATTTTTAAACGTGTCTAAGGCCCCTCTAATCACAATACATGCTCCAGCTCTCACGGCTCCTAGTGCACCCATCCAGTCTATGGAGGGTAAAAGTGAAAGGTTTTCCGCGTTGAACGCCGTCTTCTGAACCATAAAATCGTGGAGCCAAGTCGACAGCATAGGTCATCCTGGAAACCCTTTCGAGAACACCTGGTTTTGTTCAATTATCCTCTTCGCTTCAAGAAATATACAAGCCCAGCCATTAGAATGGCAATGATGGCTACTGACCCAACACCTAAGCCGACCGTAGCTCCAGCGGAAAGGCCTCTTTCCGAGATGTGAGACATGACTTGGTTGCGGAGTGCAGGCATGGTGAGGTTTTGAGGTTTGTTAAGGTTGTTTAGTGAGGTTGTTTGGTGAAGTTGCTTCTGAGAGTAGGCGGCTTTGAGGTCGCCAGTGTAGTTCGAATGGATTTTGGTCTTAGTACAAATGTTTCGAGAGTGTTGATAGATGAACAGAGGAGAATTTAAGGGAAGATCTGAGTGAGGTAATGTATGTCTTTTAACCGAAATCGAAATGCTTTCGAATATGGCAGGTCGGGCGTCGCAAAGGTGGTTTGCGCTGAGGATGTCCGTTAATCTTCAACGATTCTTCATCCAGATCACCAGAGCAATGAGGAGCGAGATGATAACTCCCGTTGCAAGATCCAGGCCAGCTATAGCCCCGCCAGAAAGAGCTCTTGTTGAGATGCGAGAGATGATTTGGTCGTTCAGTGTAGGCTTGAGGTGGAGTTTTTGATGCTCACTAACGTTTCTGTAGAGGCTTGACTTGGTTTGATGCCTTGGTACGGATTTGAGGGCGTGAAAAGAAAGACAAAAAAGTAAGTAAGTAGAAGTACTCAGTTGGAGGAGGTATCGAGAAGCCTTTGACTCAAGCAGGTTGGCGTGTCGCGTCGTGATTCACGCTGATATTATCCCCTTAGTCTGATCTTCGATGGCACCATACGCAGGCTAGGACTACGGTCATAAGAACTCCTGTGCCAACACCTAGACCGCTGGTAGCCCCGGAAGACAGAGCTCTTGCTGAAATATGAGAGGCGGTTTGGTCGTTGAGTGCGGGCATAGCGAGGAGTTTTTGATTCTTGGAAAGGTCTTTGACGAGGTTTGACTTTTGACTTGATTCGTTGCCTTGGTACTTTTGGGTATGCCGAGGAAAGATAGCGAGAAATATGTAGAATATCTAAGCAAATTTAAATCCTTGGAGAGCGTTGAGATACCGTTGAATAATACCGATTGTGTATCGCGGCGTGAATCTTTTCAATGGTGCCCCTAAACCTCCCTACCACAAAAGCGACGGCCAGAGTGATAACAACCCCTGTTGCAAAACCTACACCGATCGTAGCCCATGGAGAAAGTTCTCTTGCAGAAATTTGAGAAATGCTTCGGTAATTGAGAGCAGGCATGACAAGTTGAAGTGCTTGGCGTGTTTGTCGTGCTGCAGAATTTGGCGTTGGTGAGGAATAAAATTAGTTCCTTTATAGGCGATATCGCACCTTTGACTCCCGAGTCCAACGTGATTCACACCCTCGTAATTCAAACCCTCGTATACGGTGTATCGATACCGCGAAATTGGTATCTCTCAGGATCCAGAGTCATAAGATAATGTTATTAGAGCTTTTGTCAAGGCTGCAATATAGACTTCCAACCTATCTCACAGGTTCGAGTATCCTGCAACATCAAAAATGAACATCCGCCAGAATCCTAAACTCCAAAGAGTAGCCCCTACGAAGCCCGCGGTCAAAAGTCGGGGTAATACATGGAATTAGCTCCGTAAGCCCCTGTAAAATAGCGAGTAATTGCTAAACACACGGCTTCATAGGCTACAATAGCGAATTTTATACCGTCGCATCGTCTGGGAATATATAAAACGACACCCCCTGGGTGTCAATTAGGGCAAGGGTGTTAACGACTCGTAATTGGCTACTTAAGCTCTTTAATATAAGTATAAGCTAATATATTATAACCCTTGTATTATAAGTACGTGCTTTTTAACTTATAATAAAAAAATTTCTTAAAATAATATTTTAATTTAAGGAAGTTTATATACTAATTAATTAAGCTCTAGTTTTTAAGCCTTATAAAGCCTTATAAACTATACGCTTATAAGGCTCTTATATCTGGTTTTAAGGACTTATTTAGTAAATTTCTAGGCTTTCTTAAGCTTACTATAATAACTGGTATAAATGTATAATTTTCCGGAAATAAGAATTAGAAAACAAGTTTAAAATAAGGAATTAAGCTAAGATATAAGTAAAGTATTACTAAAGATTAAGGCATTTCTTTCGTCTTTACTTTTTAATATAGTATTTTTAATATATAAGATTTATTAAACTTTGAGGTTTTAATTATTATATTAATTCTACTACTATACTTATCTTTTAATTATAAAATATGAAATTTTTAACTTCTTTAATCTAAATTTTATAAAAAGTTTATATTTAAATAGCTCTTAATTATTGCTATAAGGAAGTGAAATCAGTATTAAATTATATTAATTCCTTATTAAATTAAATTAAATTAAAGAAAAAGCCAGAGTTTTAGTATTCTTGTCCAAGCGCCTTTACTTTGAGTTAGTGGCTAGTCTAGCCCCCAATCGACATTCCAATTAATCCCCCCCGGGGGGGGGGGGGGGGGTCGTTTTATATATTCCCTCTAGTTTGTGCAAAATAAGTGAGAGTAAGTTTGAGACTTTATAGGCTCGAAGCCTAAAATTATAGGAGCTTATAAGGGCTTCTAGTAATAAACCCGAAAATTTACAAGGCATTACATAGCGCTTGGCCGCTATAACACCCTGACTTCTGGCCGCCGCCTTCGTACTCCTATCTCCATCATAAAAACAGCACCAAGCCCCCAAACCATACCACAACCATACTGTACCACAAAACCACGCCTACATCTCTGCCCACCGTCCCCGAATTCTCAGCTTCACTCTTCAATCCAAAAACGCCATCAAAGCCCTTCTGCAATACCTTCTCCTGCCTCTCAACCACACCCCTCCAAATCTCTCCCACGCCCCCATACCTAACCATGTTCCCACTATGATTGTATGTCCCTCCATTATACCACTCACTCCTTACAATGCGATCCCAATCCCACCCCATCACCGCTAAGCTGAACTGCGCATCTGTCGGTGCTGAGAGGTAGATTGCGGAGGCGAGGGAGGTGTAAGATGGCTGCGCTATCCAAGTAGATTGGAGGGACGAGAGGAGTGCGGTTACAGTTGCGGCCTGGGAGGGGTTGGGACGTAGGGTTGCGGGCCAGGTTGGGGAGAAATGTGGGAGACTTGTTTTACTCCTGTTAGACATTAGTTAGTGCCGGAAAATGGAAAGGGCCTAGAAAAGGAGACATACGAGGCCTGACTCGTCGTCGAGCAAATTCCCCCAGGCGGCGGAGTGCAGAAGCCCGTCTCCGCACCTGGTGTTGGAACTCTCGGCACGTATGCCGTTGGATTCTGAGCTCTGACCCCTCCTCCATACGCGAGTGCCACCAGAAGGATCCTAAGAAAATTCAATCTCCTCATATTTGTTGCTCGCCGTGAACCAGTAACCAAGTAGTAAGTACTATGAACCAATAGCGGAACCTGAAATCCGACCGAGCTCAGCAGCGAACGGACAGACTGCGGTCAAACCCAGGGGTGCGAAGATGTTAAGTAAATTAATAACTACCTTACCTACCCCTCAAGTGAGTTGTTTTCTTGTTCAGTTTCGGTCAAAATCTTTTCCTTAATTAATCGCTCCTGCAACCTTCCGTCGAAGAACAACGTACGGACCCTTTGGCCTCGCAGCACGCAGGGACATTCTCGACTCCGTGTGACGGGCCTGATCTAGAACATGCAAGGAAGCGTTTGCACTTCGTTGTGAACATCGGACGCACCACAGAACCAGCCGTCTGCCGGTTTGTGGTGCTCGATCGAGGGCCAGTGCAGATTCGCAGGAATGAAAGCCAAGTCCTTCCCGAAAACTGGGTATCCAATGAATTAACAGGAAGATAGCATTGAAGATCGGGAATGGGGTAGAAGAACAGATATACAGATCGGCGTACTCGTCACACAGAACAGACACTGCCTCCAGATCTAGAAGATGGAGGAGAAGTGAGAGGAGAGACGGGGAATACAAACCCCAGATCATTCCGCCGTTCCGGCAAACGTGTAACGATATCAGGGAAAGGAAGGCTTCGCCATGGAAGCTCTTCCTAGCCAGCGATAAAGCAAAGCCCCGGACTCTATATCACGACTAACCAGGGAAGGGCTGCAGAACAGCCTGCTGCTTTAATGCTGAAGTAAATGGTGAGGTGAATGCGATGAGCACGTTTTTGCTGCACCTCGACAATCTCATCCTGATACCCTTCACCCTTCAGAGGAATTGTAAGCGCCTCAGATGTGCAACAAGATGCTCCATACAGAGGAGAGGTATTCGCTATCCACACCAAGACCATTCTTAAAGTACCCAAAACTTTTGGAACATTGAATGGGATGTGCAATAAAGTCACTCCACACTCGCGGAGAAGGGCATAATGCATACAATCAAGAAAGAAGATTCACACTTTTACTTCTATACCAGTGTCTAAAATGGCATAATCCGTGAAACCAATCTAATCTTGTCTCTGCTCTATCCATCATATGCACGCATCAGTTCTCACGTCCCACCTGCTCGGCAACCTTGAACCCAGCCCAAGGCAGCCTACTTCTCAACGCCAGACTACTCAGCACAACAGAGATACTACTCATCGCCATCGCCAAACTCGCCCAAACCGGATCCAGTCTGATATGAACTCCATGGCTTTTGATCGGATACAGCGCGCCAGCTGCAACTGGCAGCGCAAAAAGGTTGTAGACCAAAGCCCAGCCAAAATTAAACTTGATCCTCCTAAATACAAATTTACTTAGATCAAGCAATGTGATGAGAGAATTCAGGTTGCTGGAGACGAGCACGAACTCCGCAGAAGAGATAGCGATATCTGAGCCCGAGCCAATGGCGATGCCGACATCTGCCATCGTGAGGGCTGGGGAGTCGTTGATTCCGTCTCCGACCATTGCAACCAACGCTCTGCTTTGGGCATGTTCTGTTCTGTTGGCATTGCGAGATTTGAGGGATTTCTGTAAATACTGGATCTTCTCTGCTTTTTGGCTGGGCAGGACGCCAGCGATGATGTTGCTGGTTGGGATTCCGACTTGAGCTCCGATGGCGTTAGCTGTGATCTGGTTATCGCCAGACAACATCCAAACGTCCTTGCCTCGTTTCTGAAGCGCTTTGATGATTCCCGCTGCTTCTGGTCGGACAGGGTCGGAGACGGCAAAGGCGGCTGCGAGTTGCCAGCTAGATGTTGAGAACCAGTCGTCTTCGTTCTTGTCTGTGTTAGATCTTACGGCTGCGAGGGCGATGGATCGTCCTTTTGACTTCCATTCGTCGATTGTAGATTGAGTCGACCGTGAAATATCAACCATGCTGTCGGACATCAAGAGCTCGTTGCCGATGATCATTTCCACGTCTTCGGTTGTGTCATTGGCGTGGAATGTTCCCTTCATCCCTTTCCCAGCCACTTCTTCAACATGGTCAACATCAATTCCGATATCTCGTCCTTCCAACTGCTTCTCTTGGCAGAACGAAGCCAAAGCCTTGGCGACTGTGTGGCTGCTGTTTCCTTCGATCGCGTTGACCATACCAAGTACCCTGCTCTCAACTTCGTTTTCATCTTCGACCATCTCAGCTTCGACAGTGAAACTTTCGAAGTCCGTAACGACCGGCTCACCACCAACAGTCAAAGTGCCCGTCTTGTCGAATACGACACAATCGAGTTTGCTAGCTTTCTCGAACGCTTCACCTCCACCCTTGACCAATATTCCATGCTTTGCAGCCAATCCACTTCCGACGAAGATGGCAGTGGGTGCAGCAAGGCCAAGTCCACAAGGACAAGCTACAACGAACACTGCAATGGCAAATTGCAGAGACCAAACGGCCCAACTGTCTGTCTCGGAACCAAGGTAGTCCTTGGGGAGCGCTCCCGAAAGACCCAAGCAAAGCCAGGCAATCCAGGTCATAATAGCTATCAAGGTGACGAAAGGGACGAAATAGCTGGTCAAGGTATCTGCGATGCGTTCCATGGGAGCTCGTTTGGTTTGGCCTTCACGAACAGTTTTCACGATTTGATCAAGCATCGAGGATCCTGCCACCCCAGTGATTTCGATCGAAACAGGAGCATCTTTGTTGACTGTGCCAGAGAATACGTCGTCTCCAATGACCTTCTTGACAAGTCTCGATTCTCCAGTCAGACTGGATTCATCGAATTTGGTCTCGCCATGAATCACAGTCCCATCGCATGGTGGAGAACCTCCGTGTAAGACTCTGACAATATCACCGAACTCCAGGAGGTCAACATTGACCCGTTGGACAGTTTCGACGCCGTTTGCATTCTCATTGTTGAGAGTCTCGTCGCTTGCGCTAAAGTTGAAGTCGGATGTTACCAGAAGTGCCTTTGTGGGCCGAAGCTTTCCAAGTAAGGTGACCGCATCCCCTGTCTTCGACTTGCTGTATGATTCGATGAAACGTCCAGTGAGCAGGAAGAGAGTCAAGAAGACCACCGAATCGAAGTAGAAGGAGTTGTTATCCACCATCCCATGGGAATGAAAGGCAGCAGCAATCAATTGAGCAACAGACGACCAGTAGGCTATCGATGTACCAATAGACATAAGCATGTTCATGCTGCCAAAGCGGTAAAATCTTTGCAGTAACGGAGTCTTGCTTCCCGGCCGCCACATGGATTTAATTTCCTTCAGGGCTCGCTTATGAAATACATCGGCGCAGAAAAAGTATACAGGAGTTGCCATGATGAACAACGCCCACTGCGCTCTGCTGACTCCTGCTTCGAGTTGTGCCATGAAGAATTGCCGGCCGGGATCATTTTTGGAAACTAGACTCATGTATATGATTCCAATGATGAGAGTCGGGATGGCCAGAACGAGGGTCAGCACGACCCTGATCAAAATTCGATGCTGCTCCCTGGCGTGGATTTTCCGGGATCGCTCCTCTATGGTTGGTGGATGATATATTGTAGGTTTGAATGCGGGGTTCATGCTTGATATTGCTGAGACGATAGTTCTAATAGTAAAATTTGGTACCTAAATCCTCGGATTAGTATTGCAGTGTAAAAACTTCCGATGTACCGCAACTGGTGCGATATTTGGAACTTCCGGAAGTCGAGTGCCCAAGAGCTCCTAGGACATTTGGGAAGTACGGGATCTCGATGTCCCAAGAACTTCCAGTAATACTAAGAAGGAACTCTTAAATGCTCAAGGGCTTCCAGTACATTCAGGAAGGGATGGAGACGAATGCTCAAGGAAGCTGTGGGACATCGTATTACAAAAAATGCTGGAAGCAACGTACCTGGGGAGTATATCGGATGGTTATGATGGGATCTTGCACCGTTAGTGCCTTCTCGATCTTCAAACGTCCAGCAAAGGCTTCGAGTGCGTCGCCAACTCTGTCTGGGCAGCTGTTGCAGAACATCCCCTGCACCAAAATATCAACGGTCCTGTGGATAGTTTGTTCTTGGCCACCTTTCTCGACTGCCGCCAAATCAACAACGTTGTCGATCGTTGCCTCAAATCCAATGTCCTCGATGCTCCCGACGATATCGTTCCTGTGTTGTGCGCCCTCAAAGTCGATCGTGGCGCTGTTGGAGAGGAGATTGATGACGACCCTCCGGACCCAATCTTTCCCTTCGAGTTCCTTTGTAATGGCTCCCGCGCAGGCCGCACAAGTCATCCCTCCAACTGCTACCGACGCCCGCCATGTGTCCGCTACCTTGGAATCGACCGCGACGAGAGGGAGTGCGAGAGGGAGTGACATGGCGCTGGTTGTGGGTACGGTGGTGGGGGTAAGAATGTTCGAGGAAGAGGCGTAGGTTGAGGAGGAGTAGGTGGAGGAGGGCGTGGGAGATATTGAGTCGAAAACGGGGTTTGGTTCGGCCACCGGCTCCATATGACACGCTCCATAGCTTCTGCCATTTGATGGTGAATCTGATGCAGGGTGGGCTATCACAGCAGCAGGAAGGAGCGGCGATGAGGTGGCAATTATCCGGGGGGTGCCATTGAGGCTGAACATGTTCTGTGTTCGACGCTTGTTTTGAGTAGATAAGGGGAGAGATAAAGAATTAAGACGTGAGAACGGAAAGTTGAGAATGTGTGGTACTGATCAAGGATCAAGGTGCAGGCTGATCGAGCGCAACGGTCTGATCTCTATGATATTGAGTTTGGAGGAAGGTCCTCTCCGGCTGGATCAACTACCCCCGAAAACGGTCCGCCCAGGAGTCAGGACCGGACCAGAACTCGTGTAGAGCTGACCTACGTGTAGCCTGAGAAGTCTGCCAGCCAGCAGAGTTCGGTGGATTCATGGCTTCGGCGAAATGTCTCGCATTATCCAGATCATTCCATCCAGGAAACGGTGCCAATGGACTGCGCCAACCGCCACAGGGCCATACCGATGGCCTTGGACTGGATGTGGTTGTTCAGCATGCGTGCCAACATTCGAGACTCCTTCTTTCCATGCGGACTGGCTGACCGAGGAGGTGGCGGGGTCATTTGGTGATTTGGTGCTACGGTGATATTTTTGATGATGTCGACAAAGCGAAGAAGTGGCGGCGTTTTCACGCGCAAACTGCGCAGACCCACCGCACAAAACGCTCGTGGGCAGGATTCGACACGCACAATGCGCTCGCCCGGCACCCTTGCACGGAGTATGCGGCCATGCTGCGTGTAGGAATCCAGTATTTGGAATGAAGTAGGCGACTCTCGATATGAGCATTAAATGCAGGTGGGGCAGTACAAAAAAATGTGTGGCGGACCAGCCGTCCACAGAACAACCGTCGGAAGGTAATGTTCTGCAGATGCATCCTAGTCACGTGAAGATGCAACCCGTCCAGAAACCAAGAGCGAGACCTGCAGACCTTAGAAAGGCCTCAGAAAGGGAAAACTTGAGCCTCAACTTTGAGAGAGATGCACTGAGTGCTCTTGCAGCTTTTGGGGGGTTCGTTGTCATTTTAAAGTAGTCTCAGCCCATCAGCCCATCTTCTCGCTTGTAAGAATGTGCTCATTTGTGCGCATACTGTCGCACGGCAGATCGAATCTCAAATTGTTCACGTCGAAATACATGTTCACATCGAAGCACTTTAGGTCGAAATGGACTTGGTTTAGTCTTGGCTTTACTTGGTAAGAGTAGCTCATGGCGAGCCCACCCTCTCTTTTCTCGGCAGCCAATTCCAGATATCGCTGAAGCTTGATTTGAGCCTAAAAACAGCACAAGTCCTATAAGCGAGTAACATACATAGATATCGTGTGGCACAGTCACTAGAGGCAATTCAATTGAAATAAAACTCAAATATCTCTCCTCAAGGTTTGATCCACGTGACTGCATGGACCTCACGTGACATTCAGGGGCTCGCTTACTCCAACAGCTTAATCAATTTACTGTTCGCCAAACAACACCCAATCACTTTATCCTGAACCTAATCTAGTGATAGTTTAGACTAAAACACATCGGTAGCGTGTGTCTCACTCGGAGATCTATGCCGAGCGGCCCTTCTCCTCGCAGATGGTGGCTTGGTTCAATATATTCCCGGATTAATTCTCCGCAATCTATGCAAACGAACCCCAGCTACTCCCATTAACTGCCGATTAATCTTCCGCTCAAACACGCAATGTTTCTTTCTGGTTTCGAGTCTAGAGTTCAAACCTCTCATCTCGTTATCGATCCTTTCGTTTTAGTTATCACCGTTCTCCGTCTATCTATTATTTCCACGTTTCGTTCTATGACATTCCCCAAATGTTTCCTTACTATACTTGCCCCCTCTAGCAGTAAAAATAGCAACTCAAAATGTCCCCTGTAATTCGATGGACGTGTTCCATCAAGCGCTGCCTTGACATCATTCGACAGCAGCACAAGTCTCATCAACCCAAAACATAACATCGGAGCTAGTGAGTAATCCTTTACTCAAAAATCACCTTTAACAGGTACCCAACAAAGACATAGACTTAAATGGAGCGACATCGCCCAATTCCCCTCAGTCAGTGCTTCACTGGTAAGCAACTTTCAAATTTGATGCTATGGCGTTCTGATACAAAGTCCGACACAAACACAACCAAAGCGCTCGAAGTACCATAAACGATAAATCCATCTCCACTCTATAAGCCACAAATATATAAACAGGTTTTATAAGAGCAGAATTGATGGCTGCATCCAATTCCGGTACCGACCCCTCAACCTCAGGTACAAAAATAATCCACTTCTCAGTTATGAAGGATGAGGGAAGGGCGTTGAACACGAGTCATGAATACCAGCTCTTCTTCCTCGAATCAAGCGACTACAGCACAAATCAAGTTGTTTTAAAATACGGCATGGTCATTGATGGCAGTAGCGGTGCAAACCCAAGCGCCCTCTTCCCGGGCGGGAACGTGAATTCAAGTCCTGCGCACCTACTAGATTCATGGCGGGGAGTGTGGCATAATTTTGGGATCACGCTTGACTTCTCCAAAGGGTATCCCCCCCCCCAGTATATTGTGGTAAATTACCGACAAGGAGCAGGACGACGCAGGTCTATTATTCCAAAGACCAAGATGCATTGAAATCTACAGGAGTAGCGGTGACCAATAATGTGGCAGGGCAGGGCGAGTATCACTTTGGGATTCTGAAGAAACCAATTGCTGGAGTAGTGATATTCCGCATAATGATTACCAACCCAAGAGAATCAATTAGGGGGTGATTTTTGGGGGCATTTTCGAGGAGGATAGTACGGGAAGGGGTGTTAACTTAAAGCCGTGAGTTTGATACACGGGTGGTAAGGAGAGAACATTGGGGGATGAAGTATGAGATAAGGAACGCTTGCTCCAAGACAGAGGCAACTCCAATACTTCGCTGCTGCTAAATCAAATTCAAAGATCAGAGAAGCCAGTCCCACTAAATGCTCATTTTCAATTCCATTTCATCTGCCAGGCAACTCATGTACCCCAAACCTGGCTTGAATGCCCGGCATTTCTCTACCACCTCCAACTCCTCGATCCTGGGCTTTCTTTCTCGACTCTCACAGCACTGCCGCACGTTTAAACCCCCCCCCCCCCGGGAGCTGCTTCCATCATGAAACTTCTTTCTCCTCCGCCGTATCCCCAGTCTTGGAAGATAGCTCGCTCGAACTCGATGGTAGAAGTGAAGAAGCTGTGGTAGTAGTTGACCTTAGCGAGCCCAACCCCCGTCGGAAGAGCTGCCGAGGCAGGATAATATAACTCACCACATCCTTGGCAGCAGCCTGATATGCCTTGAACTTCTCACTTGCCGTGTTAATCCCTCCCACGATGCCAATTTGTGGGTCAAGGTGGACTCAGCATTTCCTCGATTCGGATCGCTTCGGGAGAATTGGGACATTATGTCGTAAAAAATTCATGAGACGTCCAGAAATAGGAAATACGTTCCTCTCCCATCACCTACCGGACAGTCCTTTTCCGCTGCACTGTAATAATATATCGGATCAATGGAGGTAATTATGGCCGCGAATGGCTCAACATTGTGTTTCAACTTCGAACGGGCAAGAGAGGCAGGAAAGGGGCTAAGTTACAGTACTGGAGGGGCTAGTAGGTATACATCCCGAATCAAACCCAGCATAGTTGTACTTGCAGGGGAGATCAAAGAGCCCCTGGATAACGCTGTGAACCCCACTTGTGGATTGGAATTGGATCGCATCCTCCAGGTTGGCGGATATTGTTTGCGGGAAAGAGAGGGTAGATTTGTTTGGGATTGCGACGCTGATGGCGTGGACAATGATTTCGGACATTATAGGTGATTTGTCTTGTCACCTGCTCCAAGACCCGAAACAGGGAGAGAGAAAGAGAGAAAGAGCTGAACAGAGGCGCAGGGAGGTCGAAAGAGAGGTATGTTTATGTACGATGTTGTAAACGTTGCGCCCTGAGCTTTCAGTTATGTTGGTATCGATGTTGGTGTTGACCCAAACACCATTCGTCCCGACCTCCTGGAACTGACTGAGCACCGAGGGAATTTCAAACACAACATAAAATCTAACACTGACTCATGCTTTTCCAAACCCTGGTCAAGTTTCGGAAAACAAAGTCGTTCAACTCCTGTGAGGAGGGAAGCATTTTTGAAGGAGTTGTAATAAGAGGGATCTTCTCAGCCCTCTACGCAAACCGAGCTCGATCTGATTCTTCACTTTCTCACTTCTATCTCCCATGCCTCCATCGACTTCCACCCCACCTGCTACTCCTCTCGAGCCTCTCTCTCAGTCCCTGGCCCCCAAATTTCCTCCTTCACGCAATCTTAGTACAATACCAACAAAAAGACATACCACCGCAGCAACTGCAATTACTACGGCGTTTATCCCCTTTCTTGGCTCCCGTTGCGGGAACACAAAATCCGTTGCGGTCGATATCGATTCGGTAAGCTTAGGTGGGTACGATGTCAACACTCCCGAAGTGCCAATTGTGACCCCTAGAGGTGGTCGTTTCTTCGGCTGGGACCGTTGTAAAAGTTGCCATTGCCTGTGCTCTCTTGAGATGCGCACAGAAACGAATTTGGATTGAACGGCATGAGGGAGGATGGCAAGAAGAAGTTGCACTCCAGTTTGATGGGAAAAGAAGAAGAGGACAGACAGGTTTTTGGCAATTGGAGATATCGCATTGAGTTGCAAAGCTGTGCCATGCTGGTTTATCTTGATAGCTACTTCATTGGTCCCGACTCGCTGGGGCAACATTCTAGCACTTGGAGTTTTGAACATGAAAGCCAATATCATCTCTTGATCTTGGGTGCAAGCGGGCAAAGGCGAAGGAACCGCTCGCATTTGAAGGCTGAAACCACTCGGCCTCCCTGGTTTTGAACTCTCTTCTATTGTTCTGCATGGACTATATTTAGACTTAAACTGATAGCAACCAAAACAGTCGAAGCTTTGTTCCTAAACGATGACGGTCATCTCCTTCGTGCCAGCCAGCGCCTGCTGCGCCAACAGCTTCCGATCATAATTCTCCGCCCCCTTCGGAAGCCAAAATCTCAAATTCGCTCCAACTCTTTTAATAGTTTTCATTCCTTCCTCCGTTTTGATCTGCTCCAAAACAAGGAAACAAGGCTGCGCCTCGTTCTGCCCTTTAACCCCCTCCATCCCAACAAACATCAAAAAGTACTTATCCACTTCATTAACCTCCAGCCCAAGGACCTCAGGACTATGGATAACTTCAGAGTCAGGATCAAGCCAGGTCTCTCCCAGATCTAGCACGATCTTCATCTTCGGGTGGCAGGCCTGATTCCCCGTGACGTAATGACCAACAGCATGTGCAGTGCCCCGCCACTCAAACCCGTGAGCATCGGCCAGCATTTGTTTCCTTATACTTTGCAAATCAATCGTAATCGGCATCAACACTGCCTTCACCTCAATCCTTCCTTCCGCGACACTCCCGTAGCGATTGATCCCGGAAGGCGGTGCAGCTATCGAGATGATCTCCACACTAGAAGTAAACTCCGAAGGTGTCTCTTGTCGAACCCTACAACTTACAGAAGCCCAACTCCAGCTCGGCGCCCAGTCTCCTCTCGACTGATGCCTCTCAAACGGAATCCTACTGTGCCGTACCCAAAGCAGCGCATACGGAATCTGGCTCTCCCACAACCCAGCGAAATACGTATCATTTACAACATCACTCATCATCGTTGCTAGCCCCGAGAACGCCGGTAATCTATCGGACGGGTACGTTAAGTTCCTGCCCGTATAATCCTCCAGCATTGCATACCACTTCGCATACAACTTTGCTGTATTGTCCTCTGACGGAGTTTGCCTCCCGTCTTGAAAGAGTTCGAGGAATGGGGAATGAATTGTTAACTGTGTCATCGGTTTATTCGAATTTCGACGTTCGTCTCGCTGTGATCTGATCGAGCCGTCGAGCCGACACTCACACGAAATCCGCTCCATGCAATCCCATAAAACTTCATCTTTACTGTAACTTATCGTTCGTCTTGCCAGAAGAACTTCTTGGAATGTCCACCCTCGCCGGGACAAGTGGCTTTCTCCTAAACTGTGTGGATCGCTGCGGACATCCGCCCTGTCGTCGAAGAACGGAAATTGTGCAAGACGAGCATACAGGGCGCGCTCTTTCCCGTTCTCCTCAACGTATGTTAAACGTAACTTTTTGCGATTGCCAATATAAGAGCCGTCTGTGCAACCTGCTCCTCCCGTGGCAGCGATCACCACAACGGCCGCTGTGTAAATATTGCTCATCCGCGAACTGCCTACCTGCCAATCTGCAGGTGAATCTTGCAAAATACAGAGAGAATCAATCCAGATATATCTAATCCCAAGTTTCCTAGTAATCATAACAGAGTCGTAAAGTGTTTTCGGTAGCAAATCGAGAGGAATTTCTTTCTTGTAAGCTTCATATCGAGAAAGAAGGAGCTTCACGTCTCGGAGCTGGGTATCATCGCCCCAGCAGTATGTCAGAGCCGCGTAACGGGCATTCACGCCGTCACGTTCGACGAGCTTGATTGGGCCACCATCGACGCCGACGTCGATGACACGTTTCGGGAGGGTGGGAGGCTCGTCGGAATAGTCGAGGTCGCATTTTACGTGCGTTTCCATGCAATCTTTTATCCAACCCTTGACGCGCTCGAAGCAATCGTCCGAGGAGCTGTCGATTGATATATCTCTTGCGGGAGCAACTAGAGACCACGGCGACGGATCATCTGAGAAGTATTGTTAGTACTTGCAAGACAACTAGATGAAGATCGCGCAACTTGGGATTGGAGAAGGACTAGGACGTAATTTTACCTGGATGTTCGTATAGTTCAATAATAGTATCTGGTTCCCCGGTATAAATCGCAAATCTAAATTGCTCATCCGGATCCGTCTTCACCATACTTAAAGCAGGCGCCACAGGATTCTTTACAAACCCCGCCGCCGCCTTGATACAAATCGAACTAAAACAGCATCCATTCCTCGCAGCCTCAAGCAGCTTACTCGTGCGGTATCTCTCCATCGGATTATTGTAAACCACCTTGGCCTTTGCGGGGTGATCCGCGTGCATGAATAGTTCCTCGCATATTTCACAGGTGTGAGTACTGCTGTAATGAGGTTGAGGAAGATCGGAAATGGAATCTGCTGTGATGGAGAACCTGCGCGGAGCATCGGGGCTGCCTAGGTTGGCGGAGAAGGTCGACTGCCTTCTGAGAGAATTCTCCATATAACCAGAGCTCTGGAGAGGCTTTGATGGCCCGGGTCCCGGTGGAGTAGGCTGAGTATCATTGAAAATTCGCGGCATCTGTGCGGGAGCGTGAGCGCCACACGCTGAATGGCTCAAGTGAGACGTGGGTGGCAAACAGCGATTCGGGGACCTGAGATAATGGTTTGGGAACAGTCGATGAAAATGCGAACTGATGTTGCGCAGCAGATGAGGCAACGAGATCGAGGGATCGAGGGGCTTATGTACCCCCCATTTTCGGTGATTTTAGCAGTTGAGGGCCAAACCATCAGAAGACCCTGTAACCCCTCATGGACGCCGGAATAGGAGGTCCTTCTGCTGCGATGGCAAGGATAATGGGTCTTAAAGTTGGCGAGCCTCCTGCAGAGCCCTGAAGAGGGGAACGTTGCCTTAGATTTGGGTGGAATGTTGAAGGGGTTGCAGTCAGCGAAGCAGTGGAGAAGCGAACTTTCCAGCCCCCTGGTTCTGGACGCCTCTTAGCGCACTACGAGTGTCATCCGGAGCCTCACCAAGCTGAGTGATCGACATCCCTAACGCTTCAATTAAAGCAATTTGTAAGAATCAGCGTGTTTGACACTAAAATCGTCTTTTGCACCTCTGTTCCCACACCTCTTGTCACGATAAGGTGATATTGCAGTGGTGGTAAAGAGCTTGAATTGAGCTGAAGGCTGTGTGCCGGGCTAAAAGCACTGGCTACACGCTAAGTCACGTGCAGTGGCACCACGTGACTGGTGCCACGTAACACCTCTTCTTCCAACCTTACCCCCTTATATCTCTACCAAACTACGGCTAAAGTATAAGCCTTATATATTAGAACTAGAGAAGAATTAAAGGAGTTGAAAAAAAAACTCCTAGATATTAGTATTCTTTGTATTATTAAGAGAAAGAATGGGATAGTATGAGAAAACTCTTTATATTTTATAATATTATAGTCTTTACTTTAAACTTAATATAATATTATATTAAGTTATAGCACTTACTTTAAATTATAATAATTTTTAACTGGAATTCTAGTAAGAGTTGCATTTGTAACATTATATACTATAATATATAAGATTTTCTCATTCAAAATCACTTTTTTTGAGCGTAGCTGGCTTGCGAATACAAAAACTTAAGTATTATGGCAATTATTATACCTTCTTTAATAACGATCTAGGTCATGCTAAAAGTAGGCTAATTAATCGTACGATATAGTACTTCTTATACATAAGAAATTTTTATAGGCTAGATATGGGTTATTAGGTTATAAGGGGCGCAGAGGGGGGGGGTTCTAAGGAGGGGTGCGCGAGGGAAAGGGGCGGGAGTGATTTTTAGCGCCAAACGCACTGATTCTTACAAGTTATTTTAGTGGAAATGTTGGCCCAGCCCGCAGGACTAGCCCTTAAACCACCCACACAGAAATTGTCCCACACCTCCTTCTCGTAGCATCTACAAGCATCGTTTCCTGTAAAGTCCACTTGGCATTCTCGATGCAGTTTGGTGACGAGGCCTAGATCAGGCGTGTGACCCAAGTGAGCGTCTTGATAGGTCCTGGTTACAAAAAGCAAAGAAACACGGAAGTAAGAGTCAGGGAGGGAGAATTGTTATGTATGCCGTGCTATCCGGTAAGGTCAACTAAGATAGATATGAAAGTGCAAATCACACCCATGTGCTAACACGACTGTCGACTAATATAATAAGTCAATCTTCGATAATTGATGTTGCGCACAGGTTGCATTTGCATCAAGTGAAAAGGGAAAGCAAATTTCCTCTTCTATTTTCATATCTCTCCTTTCTTCCTCCTAATTTGAATATATATATATTATTGTTCAATTTACACGTACACGTAGTTAATCCTTCTCTACAAACGTTGACTGCCTCGATTCCTGATAAGTCTGTAACAACACGCAAGGCGCAAGGAAAATGTTTCTCATTATGAGGGGTGCATTCACGTGATTTGGCGGGGTAAAATGAGGGGTCGTTGTGGGTTCTTCTCAGGGGGTTTCAGGGCAAGCTTCCCCAAATTCAAGCCGTTTCGAACACAGTCAGAGTGTCAAACAGGGAAAACTCCTTAATTCCTCAAATACTTTACAGTTCATTTACATTACATATCCATAACCATATCCACGCCACCATATTTGTATCCCAGGGTATCTCATTTAATATCAACAAGAAAACAAATCGCCACCCATTATCTCCCTACTCCTTATCGAAAACATAATAATTTGCCTCCAAGTCACCAGCTTCCTGCCTCGGCTTATCTTGCACCACCACACCCACCGAACTCGTAACAATAATCCCGTCCTCACTATTCCATAACGCCTCCTGACTTCCCCTGGTCAACTCCCCGAGCATCCTCTCGTGCGAGATGGCAATACCAATATCCGCCTCTTCAGCCATGATCTCAGGACTTATCATGTTACTCCTCGCACCACTTTTATTACTACTCGAAATATGACAGCTCGATGCCTGGGACAGAACCTTCTTTCCTTCCATCGTCGAAAGAGTAATAGACTCATACTGATCTTTTCTCGTCGGTGTATTTGGTCGGGAGATGTATTTTGACCAGTAGATTTTCAGCGAAGGAGCGTTGGCAGCGATGATGGCGAGATCGATCTCGATAGAGGAGATGATGATGAGTTTACCGAGGGTGTAGGTGAGGTCGATATTCTTCTCGAACTGCACGAGGACAATGATTCGAAGCATAGAGACAAGGACGACGAGGCTGCCGAGACTGAGAATGCCGATGAGGGTGAGTCGCTTGCGGACACTAACTTGGATTTGCCAGAGTGGCTGAATTGGGAGGATGAGGATTGCTATATCGATGAAGGCACTCTTTATCTGGAGTCAGGTATGTTCTTTGGAAGCGGCGGTTGAAAAGACTTACAAATCCAGTAGGAGCGAAAGCAAGAACAGCACGATCCACGCATTTGGCTTTGGGATGGGCAGCTGGGTGGAAGATAGCATCCAACGGCATACATTGAAGGACATAGAGAAGCCATGTGATGATTGAAAAGATGGTATTGAGACCCATGGTTCCGTAAACCAGGCATCTGAAGGTTCGAGTTGTGGCAAAACGGAGGTAGAAAAGCAGGAAAGCCATTTTGATGACCCAGTGCATCCAGATATAATAAATTTCCTCAGCAAAAAGAGCCTGTGAGCAATTAGCAAGTCTGAACAAAACTTTGATTGGGGAACATTTGCTGACGTATGTAAGATTCGTGAGCCACTCGGGGTGGGTTGTGAAAACGGTCGTCAAATGTAGTCCGGCGCCATAGTGGAGGAAGTAATACAGAATAATTTGTTGGCCGGCGTTGAAAAACTATATCTTCAGTCAGAACTCGATTCCTAATAACGTGGCCTGGAACATACCAAAATAAAAAACATGCACCAATCGTCCAACCCAAAACTCCTGACGAGGTAGCCTCGTGCATATATTCGAAGCAAAGTTGTTATAGACGAGATGAAGAAGAATATGGACACGACTGCATAACTGATGGGTTGTAATGATTCAAACATAGTGAGGATGTTAAAGATGGTGGTCGAAGGGGTCGTGTCAATGTTGCATCATACAAAATTGATTTAAGACCTAGAATCGGAAAAGTTCCGAGTCTCAGTGGCAGTCAGGATATATATCTGTCGTGCTTTATCGTTGAATAGTTGTGGCTGCAAGCATTCTTCGGCGAGGCTGGAAAACACAAATACTTTTCGATGGAGATCGCGATTCAATTGAAGCAATAACAAGGTTGAGGTTCACACGGTTCCCTTCAAGAAATGTGGAGTGCGGCAAGCTGGAAACCAGGGTCAATGAGGTTGAAAGACGGCTTCCCGGTGTATCTTCTCCCTCACCCTGCCTCGATCAAGAGATTGGCATGCACTTCTTCATCAGAAGTCTGGTAACACCAACTTTCCGTCGTCCATCAGTGCGTGAAAAATTCACTGATATGCTCCCCGTTCAAAGCCTCATCTTGTGACCATGCACTGATATCAGCCCATGATCCTGCACGATCCAAATGTTAAAAGATCCTAACCCCCTGACGCCTACTGCTAGGGCCCTGAAAATCATTGACAATCGCGGTATCGATTAGCGAGTCAACTTTTTTCCGGGGAGCTGATTCCCTGGAAGAGCTGGCGTGTTAGGCAACGAAAGCTGAGGTTCATTCTATTATCCTTGGCAAAACGTGCTTCCCTAGTCAAGATCGGCTGAGAACCCCGGCAATGTAACACACCTTGAGTTGCTCGGCATGCCGTCTCCGAATTTTCATTTCCCGGAAAGCGTATCTCGGGAAGGAGGCTCTTTCAAGTCCTTGACTCATACTCCAACTTCTGAGAGACGATGGCCATGAAGTACGGTATGAACTGGCACTGGTTCCAAGCTAAGAGATCCTTTGAAGCAGTTTATCTGTCCAGGACTTCCTCAACTTCTGGAGAGCTTTTGCTCGTTCGGGTTCTTGAAGATTGGACGTCGCCGTCTAGAAACAGTAATGATGGAAAGGGCGAGGAAAGCACGGAATCCACACCTTCTGCTCATCCCATTGCGCCTTGCTCTTGATCTCTCGTCCATACTCTTCGCCAATACGCCAACATACGAGATCGAAGCCATGCCTTGTGAAACTTTGTTAAAAATAACTCCTGTGAGCTCCGCACCCCACAACTTTGGTATTGTTGACGGTTGCCCGGCTGATGCCACCCAAAGAAGACAATGCCTTCTTCACAAAATTGAAAATATGCAGCTTTGACACATAGAACCAAGAGTTGAGTGGGCGGGTACTACGGTAAATCACCAGGATCTTGACATCCATCACGAGCAGGAGCACCTCACAAGATGACAAGATATAAAATAAAATTACGATCGGTGGTCCTTGCTCAAGGGGGCGTCGTTTGGTGACGTGCTGGATCTGTTCCTGGAAGGTTTTGTGATTTTCTGCAAGGGGCGGGCTCGATTGCAGGGAGTGGGAGCTGGAATCGTGGCTTGGGATGCCTGTGCGATTTGCGAAACTTTGACAGTGGAACTTCTCCCGCCGTTACAGTCTCAGCTCAGCCACTTGCCTGTGGATATGAGACTCTTATCGGTGTCCTTGCGTGTGTTCTAAAATAAGTGTACAAGAAGACATGGAACCTTGTTTGTTGTAGTTCTGAGATTCAGCGTCCCAGGCCATATTTTTGCAGGAGGTCAGCTTGTAGCGAGTAGAGAAGATCAGGCGAGAAGTTATCTCCTCGGTTTTCCTCCCTGGATCCTCTTTTTATGGAAACTTAAAAAGTTTTGCTGTTGCCATTAATAATGGAAGAATAGTCAATAACCTTCTTGTCACACCTCAGTAAGATTATTTGACAGGAAACGGCACGGCCGAGAGGTTTCTGCGCGAGTCTTCCGGGGCTGAGAATGGCCGGCCCGTGCTTACGATCCCGTTTAACATTGAGCTTCCGGGGTTCGCACAGGGATCAATGCAACCTGTACCCCACAGTTCAGCAGGCTGGGACGAAGAGTCGTACCGGAATTCGGTAACTTTGATTTGATTCATGCCTGCTCACCAGCTCTTAATCATCTTGGGATATAATACAACAAAAAAAACTCTGAACGGCTTCTCTTTCCAGTTGTGGATTTTCACTTCTTTCTGGTGTTTAAATGATTAGATCTGAGTCCGATCTTAAGTAAGTGTTCAGCCACTCTTTCGAAAAAAGAAATATCCTGGGGAAGGTCTCAGTCCACAATTTTCCTCCTAATCTCCCCGGAGGAAAGTTCTTCGCCAGCGAAGAACCTCTGAGCTTGGATCGTCATGTGGTTCAATAAAACGCCCCTGCCTGAGACATGGGGTCGAAATATCGATTTCGGGAACTCATACGATCTCCCTCGCGTACAGTAACAGGGGCCTCGCCGATCCAAATGAAGATTATTGACTTTTGGAAAACGGCTTCCCGCTTCGACTTCGTAATCAATGTCCAAAAAGAGTGATGCGGTGGGAGAGAGCGGCCAAGGCGGTCGTCTCCGTTTAATGAGCCCCTGATATATCGACTCAACTGTGTACTGTACACCCAGTTCCCACCGTCTTCACTGCCGCTGATGCCAGTCAAAGAATTTTTAAGTTCGAGAGATGGAGAAGGATGATCTGGAAGTTCTTGCAATGTACAATGAGGTAAGTGAAATTGGTGAGGATAACTTTCCATTGCACTTGCTGACTTTTGTATATTATGTAGGAGCATCCAAGGTCTATCTTCTACCACTTGAAGACCGCATATCTCATCACACGGAGTGACATAAAGACGACGATATATCCTGCGACCATCTTTGCGTTCTCAAGTGCTCTTTCCGGTGACCTCCTCACCACGAACTCGACACCAAACATAGTTACGCTCCTGCTGCGACTTCCAAGTGTCTTGCTGTGGACATGGTCGAATCTCTGGATCTTTAATTTGGCGAATCAGCGTCTCCCAAACTCAGTTCTCGAAGACTCGATAAACAAACCTTGGAGGGCGATCCCCTCCGGACGAATTACATCTACACAAGCGCGACACCTTCTACTAGTCTCGATTCCGGTCGTGTGTTTGTCATCGTTATATATTGGTGGTCGAGAAGCCAGCGCCGCGTTGATGATATTGACTTGGGTGTACAACGACCTAGGTGCTGGTGACGAGAACTTCTTTGTACGGCACATTAACAACGCTCTTGGATTTGTGTCGTTTGGTGCCGGAGCGAGCCAAGTTGCTTGTGGCTATCCTGACCACACCCTTAATCAGGATGCGTACTGGTGGCTGGGGGTCATCGCAGCAGTTATCACTTGCACAATTCAGTTTCAAGACATGGAAGACCAGGAAGGAGATCGCTTGCGAAACAGAAAGACGTTACCGATTGTTTGTGGGGATGACTCAACAAGATGGGGGAGTGCGGCGGTCATCCTTCTTTTCTCCCTGTTAGTGCCTGCCTTTTGGCGCATGGGAACAGTTGGGTACTGCTTGCCAGCGCTTCTAGGTGCTGTCATTGCGGGACGTACTCTCTTCTTGAAGACTTTGGCTTCTGATAAGCAGACGTTTAGATTGTGGTGCCTTTGGCTGACTACCCTTTATTGTTTGCCTGTTGTTAAGCACCAGAATGCGTCGCTATGATTTTACGCTTTTCATTGGCGCTGTATGTTTGTATGATACCCTGCACATATTTCCTTGATAGTTCATATTCATGCAAACAAATTTCAACACTTCAATTGGATTCCAGGACCTGGTCATACTCAACCATTATTTCTTCTTCGACTCTGCTCATCAATCCTTTGTCCTCTTGATGACTTACGTTCTTCAAAAGTTCTCGATCACGACGTCGACTGTAGGTCTCAACGTCCTCTTGTTGCTATCCCTTCTTACAGATCAAAGCCCTGCCGCACATAACTCCAGTGATGGACTTCTTCCAAGCTGAAATATCATGCTGAAGGAGCTCAAAAGTCGTCAGCGCAGGAAGCCTATCAAGGACGTTTCCGAAGCACCCGTTTGCATGATTATTCTATGTCATTAGTTACCAATCCTCAAATCGGGGTTTTGGGGTGGGACAGAGTGTGCGTGAGCCGCTGGTGTAACGCTGCGACCTGCACGAACTGTTGACTTGGCCAGTGGTGAGCATGCAGGGTGATAAGGCACTGATTTTCTTCAATCCAATCACCATCATCCATTCGCAATTAGCCTATACCGGTTGAAGAAGTGCGCAGGCACTGTCTCGTTGATCAAGCCACAAGAAAGTGCGTGCAGAATTCTTCAGAGATTCGGGTACTTCTCTCGGGAGCAATTTTAATACCTGGAGCAATATAAGGGGTGCGTAAGTCGTTGCCTTTGTATCATACACTCGCCACTTGTCGAAAGCGAATAGGATAGTTCCACAGGAGATCAACAGGTACAGTTTTCTCGATTCACAAGTACTTTTCAGAGCTTCCGTTCTTGGGTTGTGTTGGCGAGTAGCTACAATGGATTGGCCAGTCTTAACCGAATATGCAAGAAAAGCACCAAATGGTGACATTCTGATGCATTTCTGCAAGCTGAGCGGCAAGGGAGGAACGCGAGTAGGCCGCTATCAACTCAGGGTCAGCCGGCGTGGTATGTAGACCATGCCTTCGGAGGCTGAGCAATCGAAGCTATAAAGTGTTTGCAAATTCTCCCCAGAATTCGGGGGTATCAGCCGAAAACCACACTGAAAGTAGAATACCCCAAAAAATTCCAATTATGAAGTCAAGCTTCTCTTTCCCCCTCATTCTGCAAACGCTCTTCGCAGTGGGGACTTTCGCAGTCACCAAAATTATCCCGACAGATCCAGGCAACGGACCTACCATCGCGGAATTTTACTCCGGGGGCACTCCTTTTTTCGATGGGCCGAAGATCGATATCGTCAATGACACTTCTTTTGATTGGTGGTATTTCGATGCCATCTCCAGCGATGGCACCTACCAACTCACTGTCAGTTTCTTCACCGCCCTGGCCACAACTCTAGGCTTTGCTACTGGCTTTGGGACGACCAATTTTGTGGTTTTCACCGCTATGTACCCGAACGGAACTGAATATCAACAGTTTGGCTTCGCAGGACCAGTGACCATTTCGGATGGACTATTCGGCATAAAGGGGAATTGGTCTAGCACAGGTTTCACTTTTCAGGGAACTACGGACCTAAGCTATTACAAGATTGTTATCGACTCCCCGGCTTTGGGTATTGAGGGTTCTATGATCTTCAATTCGGTATGTTTATTGGATATCAGCTTCCCCCGTCAAAAATTTGCATCTATAAATCGTGGAAATCTACAATGTATCCTGAGACTAACTTCAATTAAGGTTGCACCAGCCCACTACCCGGAGGACCCCTATATACCGGGGAAAAACTTGTCGGAGCATTTGTCACCTGTAATCGGATGGGCCAACGCAATTCCTGACTCAATTGCAAAAATCGATTTCAACTTAGCCGGCGTTGGGGAGCTAAAGTTCACTGGCTCAGGATACCATGACAAGGTAGTTCGTATCAATTACTACAGGTGCAGACCACATTAATGAAGTCTTAGAATTGGGGACTACAGTCACTCCCTCAAGCAGTGAAGAGTTGGTACTGGGGTCATGGCCATATTGGCCCATACTCACTTGTGTGGTTCGATACCGTTAACTACGACGGAACTGAGAACGTCAGCGGCTACCTGGCTCGCGACGGGAGGATCATTGGCGTCGGCTCAGGTCTCACAGCCAGACCAACTGGGGCAAACTCTACGTACCCACCAACGAGCACAACTGGTAATCCGGGCGGTTTCCATATTGTGTATAACACGAAAGATGGCGTGTTTGTGGCAGATGTTGCTGGGCAAGTTGCATGGGCTCCACCCTTGCCGCTCGGCGGCTATACGCGATGGGCTGGTCAGATCACGGGAGGTTTCGTCGGCCAGAGGACGTATACAGGGTCTTCTGTGTGGGAGTGGGTTCGATTTACGCTTTAATAGGCGTTATTTTTGGTAAAGTGAGACGGCTGGAGAACATTTCACTCGGCCTCGTTTACAATGGTTTCGGTACACAAACTCATCTGTCGCTTCTGCTGAAAAATTCATTCTCGAATCTTGCAATGAATCTCCAAGCCCAGCTATATTTTCATCCACTGAGAACTTGTTGGTAACGGCCAGGACGCTAACGTGATAACCACAATATATGATACGAATCTGAAACAAAAGAAATTATCAAACGAATACAATATGTCGTTCTCACGCTAACTTCTTCATTTGCAAATATCTGATCATTTCTGCACTGTCTCTTCTCTCCCCCTCATCCTGGTTGGCCAGTTTTCATTTCTGCACTTTTGCTGCGACCGTGATTGGTTTGATTGTGCAGGGTTGACACAGCCCCTTTTGTGGCGGTCAATGGTTCCAGCACCACCAAAGTTTGCTCATGGAGAGAACTTTTGAAACTTCAACAAATACAAATCTCTTCGCCTTTCTCGGAATTCATTCGTGCAACCCGATCGAGAATTGATGCTGAACTTATTGAAAAGTAATCGATTTATTGATGGAAAATCGATTTATTGAAGGTTGACAGACTGCAGAATGACTAGATACAGAAGAGTGAGTTCTGGTAACAGAGGAAAAATGTCCAAAGTAAGGGATTTATTCCCATTACCCTTCGGCGATACCGGTGATACCGAACCCGCTTTCTCCGATACATTATCAATCAGCTGATAAACCAAAGGTAATCAAAATGACGATATACTAGTAAGCTTGGTAAGCTCGGCGAGTGACGCATGACAAATGAGAGTGGAGAACCCTAAATTAGTGGTTGAACCTGGTGCTGGAAGGACTGGTAAGCTAGCTATGGTAGCGTACCAATTTCAACAGAACTCAAGGGCCACGGAGCTGGGAGACCCGAAGTCTCAGAAGCGAAGACGTCCGATACCACGAACAAATCCAGTCGTCAGAGGAAACAGCAGCAATGGGAATCTCACCGAGAGGAGATCCACGAACTCTATATGGTGGATAATAAGACACTCAAGAGTACTATGCAGATAATAAAGAATAAGTACAATTTTACGCCCAGGTCTGCCCCCCTCGCCACTTTCCTCCTTTACTTTGGGATCTTTGGACGGCGTGTCCCAAACTCATTCGTAGACGCAGAGACACTGACATATATTTGGTCAGTGAACGTAAATTCAAAGAACAATTGAAGCATTGGGCATTCGAGAAGAATATAACCGCAACGGAAATGGGTTTCATTGCAGCTACAGAGGAGAGCAGAAGCAGAGAGCAGGGGAAGAGCACAACGTTTTACAATCGCGGCATCAAAATCAATCCAAAAAAAATTGATGCATTCAAGAAGCGCACCAGTCAGCCCGTGGAGGAAATGGATAACGCTGGTAATGGGAATGATACTATAACGGACTCAAGCCATTCTGACATCATGGGAGTAGCAACCCCTCAGCACATTACACACCATACTCCATCTCCAGAAGACAACTACGATGCTCTAGCAGCAGAGCAACTCCACAATGAAGCAATTCTTTCCAACAGCACACGTCATACTCTATTTGCAGAGAATAATGCTGATTTTCTTTCCGGAACTGTGGAATATATTGAGGGCGCCAGCTCTCCAGGCGGCGCGTATCACACACAACTCGCAGAGAGCAACGGCTATCCTCTTTCAAGGCCGCTGGAAATGCGTGATGAATTAAGCGCTCCAAGCAGCATAAGTTCTCCACACGGCACACCATATACTCCGCTTCAAGAAAGAGAAAGCATCCATTTTCTTACTCCAGAGCCGATCTGTGAGGAGGAATCTGATACTCAGTTACGATCAGTCGACCTTCCTCCACTTCAAACCTTTCACTCAGCTTCATCTGTCCAACTTGCGCCACCCACTATATTTGAGCAAGAATACGAAGATAACATGGCAAGCCCCGAGGGCGTCTTACCAAACACAATAAAAAACAAAGCAGAAAGCCATAGGGAAAGAGGAGAGTTCGCCGAGGCAGCGAGTGAATATCTTCGTCTTGTTGATGTCTTTGTTCAAGAGAAAGGTCAAGGCTCGGTAGAAGTCTTTGAAACTTTTGCAGAATTGGCAGATATCTACCAAGCCGAAGGGAAGTTGCCGGAATCAATCGAAGCGTATCGCAGAGTCGTATCTGGGTATAAGGGGATCTTTGGGGCATCGTCCTTAGAAACCCTGCGGACGATACACAACCTGGGAAAGGTTCTGGAAGAGGACGACTTGTACGAGGAGGCTGAAACTTGCTATCGGCAGGCGATTACTGGATTTGAAGAGCTTGGGACTAGTGGATTTCTTGATCGACTGGACTGCCAAGGCTTCCTGGGAGATCTATTGTCAGACACGGGCCGTGACGAGGAGGCACTGCAACTATTTATTCCCCTGCTGGCTAGTTACAACGAACTTGGCCTACACCATCGAAAAATATCAATCCTGGGCTCTTTGCTAGAGTTCTACAACGGCCTGGAGAACTCCCAGAAGTTGCACGTAACTATTCAAGACCTGCACAAACTTCTTGATGAGAGGATTGACATTGACTACCGAAGCTTTCCGGAGGTTCTATGGGAAGGAATTCACTTGGGAAGCATATATGGCCAGCTCCTAGAATATGAGCTTGCAGACTCTCTATTGTCCCAAGTCATTCCAAAGCTGGAGCTCCTAGATGATGTGAAGTACAAGATCGAGAAGTTATACGGCTATATGGAGTATGGGAATGTTAAACTGCGGCTAAATTGCTTGGAACAAGCAGAGCGCTGCCTTTCCTTGGCCAAGGTTACCCTGGAAAACTGCAACAGACATGATGACCCGGTGGCGGCATTTGTTGACAGCCGTGTGTTGGTCCTCGAATTTCGTTCCGCTAAACCCATACAGAGAAATACCATGGAATTGAGCAAGCAAAAGCTCCGGGAATTCATGAAAAAAATGGGGGATCAGGGCAATTTCCGTGATATGGATGAGGAAAGTAGGACGGGTGGCGAAGTGGCGACGAATACGGACGCTTCAAGTTGCAAGTACGGTGTCTCGTTCTCGGAGACTGACATCACCGGGATTAGTCACTCAGAGTTTTACACTGGCTAATCTGCTCAAGAAGTTTGTGTTAAAGGTAAGGCACCAAGCGAAAGCTCACAGACTTGGGTTAACAGCTTAATAGAATCTGAAAGAACGCGGCAAAAGTCGGTTGTGACTGTTTTTGGTGGCTCTTGTTTCATTTTTGTACCTTTTGTGATTACTTGTTATATGCCCTTGAGTTCAACAATCAACTGTAGCTTGGATCAAGAAGAATATTCATTACGTCGGTAATCAATGAGGACTATCGCATTCATCTCCGAAGGAAGACTACCCATTTGCCCAGCTGACGGAGTGAAATATTACGGAAGCACAAATGTATAATGGAAACATCCCAACGGCTGCTCTCATGTTTATCCAAGCGCTATCTCATTGATTAGGCGCTTTAAGACGGACTAGTTCAGCTATCATTTCTTAGGGTGTGATTCGAGACCAGTCTCAAAATTTAGTTAGCGGGGATCCAGCACATTACGAAGATCACGGCATAAAGTGATGGGATTATAGGGCATTTAAATGTCCTTTAACAGCACGTTGGTGTCTGTTTCTAGCACACTAGGTTACAATTCACTCTATAATTCTAGGTCATTGCCCTAAAAAAACACGCTCTAAGACGGGGGCAAAACCTCGCTAAAGAGTCCTACAGTAACTGCTTACCGAGTTCCCAAGCGCTATTGCCCCGCCAGTAGCGCTTTAGCCCCTAACGAGGTAAAGATCTTCTCATACCTTGCGAATGTCTTACAGCGCCTCTTGCGTTCTCTTAGTGTATATGGCCTAAAGTGACATAGCCTTACGGCGGGCTCAACCCCCTAAATTGCGCCCTTGGGGCTGTCAAGGGTCCAAATACCCGCTTTATGCCGTGATCTTCGCACGGGAGTAGAACACCCCATATCTTGCGCCACGAAATCGATCCCGAGCTTGACCAAATCGTGACTAGCCAAGACCCTGATGGGCGGCTGTACCATTTGGTAGGGGAATGTTACGTGCACAGGATGATGTATAGGGAAATGCTGGAAGGAAAAGAATAGCAAGAACTTTTTTCCCCTTCAATATCTTGTGAAGTCTGAGGAGCGAATGCTGGCACTGCTGCAATTTTCTAAGGAATAATTCTTTAATGGAAAGGTGATTATTCTAGTGGCCCTTTTGAAACTATGAAAATGGGTTAAAAGTAGAGGTGGAGAAATTGAGTTAGCGGCGCCATATAGGTAAACAGCCCCCCTTTCTTAAGGCAGCTAGCTACCTTACATAATAGACTAAGTTTTGGCTGTCTGGAAAAGAGGCATAAAACTATGCATTGGAAAAAGACCGCACATCCTGGTCTTCCTATCGTTTAGGATGACTGGCGGCGATCCGTTGATTTTGTGTGTCGAGTACCTCCCGAAATACACCCAATGTTATAGGAACTGCAATCTGGATCGCTTCATTCATGGAAACGAGACCCTCAATTTTGATGAACGCAATGCTCGCCCACAGATCCACGCCCACAGCCCCCAGTATCTGGATGGACTGGTCCCTAGCCAGACAGTTGCATACAATTCTTGTCTTTACCTCCGTAGAGAGGGTCGTGGTTTCTGGGTGGGCAATCTTGATTTGGTGCCGGGTCCAATATTCGTACTCCTTCTCAGTCAATCGAATCTTGCCCTTCGCTTTTTAAAGATACATGTGTTAGTAAAGCCTTGGTTTTCAAAGTGATTGCACGGACTTACCATCCGGGTTATGCTCCAGCCTCGTCAGAAAGAGCGCAATATCGAGACCTAATTCTTCACCGAGAATCTTCTTGACGGCTTTGTCGGTTGATTTAACAACCTTGGTGTCAACTGTGATTGCTATATCGTCCTTTGCCAGCCCGACGCTAGCAAGTCGAATATGTTGAATGAGAGACTTTCTCGCGTCTCTAAGCTTCTCTCCAATCGTTTTCAAGTTGTTTTCGTCTATTCAACGTTGTGTTAGTAAGTATAGGCACCTGATATCGGCGTAGCAGAATGGTGTAGCCGTGCCTTTGTTCTTTCCCAGAGACATTAGGTCGCTCTTGAGAATCTTGCCGTGACTCTCCAGCATTCGAATCCCTGCGATGACGCCCGAAGTCTGCAGCCCTTTTTGATTGCGTATGAGGTCCACGACAAGTTTAGCTTTGTTTATCTCTCCTGTGTGAGACTGAAGCTTCCCTTTGAGACTTGGATACACATCGGTTGCCGTCTGAATTAGGTCTGAGACTGCATTGAGGATACTGGATGCATCGGCGGCGGCCAACGCGACTTCCTATAAGGGAAATCTGTCAATATCGTTTCAAAAAACCGCTGGGGATGCTTCCTCACCATGGCTTCTTCGGACATGACTGCCGCCACGTGAGAGACGGAGACCAGAAGATACTAGCAGATAAGATTCGCTTGGACAAGGTACTGTCAGTCTCCTGTCTCGGTTGAGCAGGGAAACCGGTTCTCGTGATGTCTTGTATAATGAAATGTGTTGGACAATTTTTTGTGGTAGGGCTGAGATCGCGGGGTAGATGATCTCCTCCATCGCTTGAGCCATTTGGGGAACCATGGAGGAGACCAATCAACTGACGCTTTCTCGACAGCCTCACTTCCATGCCTCGCAGCAGTGGGCAGCCACTCATTCGCTGATTCTGCTGTGGAGATATGGCATAATCGCATTCATCTGCTTGATAAGCAGGTGCCTATGCAGAATAAAATCAAAGGCGAAACATGTCCGATCGTCGGACAGCGTAAGGCTGTGTTGTGTACGCGTGCAGACGAATTGCAGCTGCTGCCTACGGTGTACCTTTGTGCCTGTACTTCTCTCATGGATCATGATTTCCCAGGTTCTTTCTCTCCTGACAGTTCGATTTGCGGCAAATGGTGGTATAGGAAGCTAAGGCCGCGAGGGCAACCCGTTCATAGCACGACGTACTAGTTAGGTACATGTAATCTTACATTGCGCTTTAAAAAGTAACAGGGCTATGAAATCCCAGCCTCATATAGCATCTCAGGCTGGCTAATTCGAGCCTTGTTATGGGCATAGCTTCGTGCCCAGCAAAATATCAAAAACTTTGCAATGGTTGACCACATAAAACCGGTGCTGGCATCGATGCCTCCTATTCTGATTGCCACACGTCAAGTCCACAAATATTCTCGTCCTCTCAAAATTCTGACCCATAAAGGTAGGCACGTCCTTGTGAATTTTGGCTTGCTGGTGTTCAAAATCTAGGCGCTTCACAATCCTGGAGGCTATCCAATTCCCTTCCGTATTGGGATCGAATGTCGCGAGCACAGGCATAACGCCCCTGCCGGGGCGATGTAAATGAAGCTGGTGAGTATTTGGTGCTTGCCCTGCTAGACGTTGGATGTCCTGCTGAATCCAAAAGGGCATGAGCAGAGAACTTGCAAACAAGATCAGAAACAGACGCTCACCAATTTGGGGTCTCCTGGGGGGGGTTCAATGAATTTTTGCGCGGTCCTAGGAAGAGGGGGCCGTTCAGATGTCGAATCTTCAAAAGCACCGGCCCCGCCACTAAGGCGCCAACAGGTGTCGATCTCGCCAGCATGGTAGTGCAGACTAAAGTTGAATCTATGTGGTCCGTCCGTAAGCGCGGTGGCAAGCACGAACGACAAATAGTCTAGACTTACATGTATTGTATGCTGCCAGCTACAGGGCCGCAGACCTGCACTGCATAATCTTTTGCGACGTTGTTACTCGTTGTGACCCTGACAGCCTCGTCCGCGATTCTGCTGAGAAACGGGGCCACCTCCTTCTGCAACGAGGGCAGGACCTGATTGAGACTCATCCTCGAGATCTCCGAGAAGGATCGACAAAGAGGAAGACATTGGACAGAACGAACTTGCGGAGGGGGAAAGAAGATAAATTGGTGGTCGCCAACTCAGCCTCAGCCGCCAATTTGAAACCCCACCATCAGAAGAGAGCTGTGATACCGAGTAGCTTGTAGTCGGCCAAGGCAGCCCGCACACGGGAACTAGGCTCTGCCCAGGGCTGACAACATGCATCTTAAATGACGTCGTCGCACACCCTTTCTCCTCCACCTGCTTCCTTGTCAAAAGTATATCCTCACGTCGCACGGTTCCTTTACCCGCGCAGTGCTACACGTACTGCACTTGCATTCGCGCCGCTGCCCTTGCATTTATGTGATATGACAGCCCCCTCTAGCATGCGCAGCAGAAAGTCCCCCCAGAATCAGCCTTCGCTGTTGAAGAAGCCCCGCTAGCACTTCGCCCGCTTGTGCGATGGAACCGCGTGGAACCATTGATCTGCATGAGAGACAACTCTGCCCACATATATATGCCTAGGAGCCCGGCGGGTGAAGCAACGTGCCCGACACAGCCACGTTCTTCCCGGTGATATTCGTCCATCCGCAAATGGTACGTTCTCTCACCTCACGAACAACACTCTTAACCATCAATTCTTAGGCCGAAGTTCTCGGAGTCGCATCTTCAGTTGCTCAACTACTAGAAGGGGCGATCCGCCTGCTCAAGCGGGTGCGGAATGCCTACGAGCGCCACCATAATCTGACCGCGGCCCTCGACAAGCATGCCCTCGAGATCGAGACCATCAACCTCCTTGTCCGCACCATCGACGACGAAGATGCGCTGCACACCGCCGTCGTGAACTCGGAGTTAACCAAGCTCCACGCCGTCGGGGTGAAGCTGGTGAGGTGTCTCAGGGAGCTGGATCCGGGGAACAAGGGGATGGTGCGCCAGCTAGCTCATCAGCTTGTGCATGGCACGAAGGATGAGGAAACGCTCGCCGATATCATGAAAGACCTCGACCGCGCGAAGGCTAATCTGAGTCTACGCGTGCAGCTTGCTAACGTGGGACTGACGCGCATGGTTCACGATACCGTGCTTGCAAACGTTGAAGTTATCAACCGGATCGATGGCCTGCTTGCCGAGGTCTTCAGGGAAAGCCACGGCCTGAAGCTCGCCGGTCTGCTCAAGGATAAGATTCCGCAAGGTTCGTGCAATGGCGTTGTCAAACTCTAACTCTTGTATATGCCGTGTGACAAGCTAACTCATTGACACCAGCAGATGATAACTTGGTGCCTTTGCGCAAAGCCGATATTGCCTTTCTAGACCAGGAAACGACCGGCGAGACTGGTGCCCTTGATGACGGGACAATCGACCGTATCATCGCTGGCAACACGGCACGAGATTCGGCCGTCCAGCTCCTGGGGCCAGTTGGGAGGGACTTGTGGGAGGACGTTCGTGTCAGGATCGAAAATAATACAGCGTCGGGCCATGCTTCTCAGTTCGTGTATCCCACCGATTTCGCAACTTTCAAGTATCTGCTTGACCATCAAGAGAGAATGGCAGCCTTGCAGACGGGGTAGTCAGGGTAGAATTTTGCCTGGGTCCTAGCCTCAAAATTTGAGGGGGTTGTACGTGCTACACGTAAACGTGAATGCTAATTATTCATCTGATATAGACATCTTTTGTCGTTTAACTTGTAGATATTTCAAATTTGTTTAGTTTATCTTGAAAGATCATAGAGAATTAGTTCTTTTAAAGTATTCTATTTGAACTAAGTAAGCGCCCGTCTCATATATATGCACGTCTTTTAATTACTAGCAATTATTAGCAATTATTACTGATATTTATTTCTCAATACTTAAAGCTAGAATCCGCATAATTTAGAAGTATCCCGCAAGATATAAATACTTAATAAATTTTGTAATTACAAAGGGTTTAGTTTTATTTTTATTATCTAATTTAGCTTATATTATTAGTTTTACTAATTTCCTGCTTTTCTTTCCCTAGTAATTAATAATTACTTCTTATAATTATAGCGTCTTAAAGCCTAGATTAATTTTATTATTAGATAAAAAAAAGTAATTAATAAAATAAATACGCTTTGTATTATTTATTATTAAATAAATTAATGCAATATATATTTTAAGAGAATTGTAATAAGTTGACACGTGTATTGGGTCACGTGACTACGATCCAGTGATTTAACCGTGATTAGGCGTATTCACCTCACAGTGAATACTGTAATCTTTTGGCTCGAGCAAACAGTGCAGAGCGAGCCTAATCCTAGCGCACGTCACATATATAAAGATTTAGAAAGAGTTTATATCTTAGAGAGACTTATAAAGGTAACTAAAAAGGACGAAAGCTGGCATTTAAATTCTTAATTTTTTTTTGGGAATGACTTATAATAAGTAGTTTTAAAACAAATAGGCTGTGATTTGAATGGAGACAGTTACAAGTAATCGAATACTAGTAAAAGTTACTAGTATATGAATATATACAAAATACTTAGATTTCTAATAATTGAAAACTAGTGTTCGAACACTAACCAGATGCTGCATTCAAGGGTTGCGAAACCAGCCCTGAGGCAGTTGCGAGTAGTGATGCAAAAAAAGATAAGTATTAACTTTCGATATAACTTGCGAGTAAAAGCGCTGGATGTGACTTTGAGCCTATTTAAGCCATTATACTATTAAATATAGCTCTTGTACTTCTCCGCGTCTTCGTTGAAGCTTCCACAGGGCGCCTCTAATAAACATTCAACTTAGTGCTCGGGGCAGCGCTATCTGTGGAAAAGCGCAAGAACGCCACACCCACGCCGTATCTTAACAGGACCATTATACCCCCACACCTCACCTGTTATTGGACAGCAGGTTGGCTCAAAATGTGTCTCAGAAGTCAGGCTTCCCGCCCCGACGCCCGACGAGCCGCATCTTGGATGGGAATGGCTCCGTCCGCTGTGATCCCATCTTCTCTGAACAAAAGTTCGACCTTGCACGTGGGGCAGGACGAACGCCCCAGAGCTGGGCCATCCTCGGCCATCCTCGGCCATCCTCGTCCAGCCAGGTAAGTGCCACCTAGAGCTGTGTCATCGCCTGTCACTCACAGCCTGCCTGTTGGGCAGCCACAGAGACCCCGCGCCAGGCCCTGCTGCAGCCTTCCAGGCGCGAGGTCCACCGATCCGCCTCGATCCGCTGATTATGAGCGCGCCCTCGGACCCGGACGCGTACAGCTACGCGAAGTTCCTCGTTGACATCTATCCCGACGACGCCGTCGAGATTTTGTGCAAGAGAGGATCATGCGATATTATAGAACTAGTTCAGCAGCAAGTCGACCGCAACTGTATTCGGCTCGGAGGAGGGTCCAGAAACAAAATCAAGGGCCTGGTAGAGGATCGTCGGTGGGAAGAGTTAAAGACTCTCAGAGGATCTCCACCGCAATCCGCGACGACGACACCTCGAAATCACCGCCGTAGCGGTCAAGGGCCACCTACACCAAGTTCCACGGCAAGCGGATCACCGCAGTCACAGCGGAATCCGAGCGACGATTGGATTATTGTATATGGCATGGAGGAGCCAGTCTGGTTTATGGCGAGCCCTAGCGGCTCCGAGGAATATCTGATTGGGGAGGACAAACTCGAGCGATTCCAGGGCCTGACAGTAAAGTGGACAACACCCCCGAAGAAAATTACGCTTGGCGGCAAGATAATCGATGTCTCTAAACACGTCCATTTCACATGGAATCGACCTGGGGATAAAGGAACAGCCTATAAGCAATTCTGGGTAGTTCGGTCAGAACTGATACGCCACGGGGACGTTTTGTTAGGCTATAGGAGGCAGCCATCCAGGGGCGGACAGGATAAAGGTTTGTAGCGCAGTATCCCTTCATTCTCGTACTTGGTTTTGCTTGATGGTTCAATGTAGCAATAATCACTGACGAGACATTAGCACCTATGAGCTCTCCGCTATCACTTGAGCTTGCAAAAGTGCCACCCCCCGCACCAACGCCTCCACAGCTGGGGCTTTACCAGGCCTCATCAGCTACTTCCATACACAGTATCCACGACAGCCCGATACAATCACAAAGCCGTATCCCCCTTCGGGCATCTGCGAGGACTGCTACTATGAACTCTGGGCCACCATCATTCAACAACCCACCGCCGACCCAACCCGCCGCCTCGATCATGGAGCGGGAATTATCCCGTCCTGGGTCAGCATCATCCACCAGAACGACCAAGTCTTCCAAACTAGACACCGTGCTCGTTCAATTATCGTTCGAAGGCACAGGCAACCGACTCTTGCCTCTAGATCTCACCAAGAACGGCGACGAAATAATCCCCTATCTCGAGCCGCACATCTTCAAGCTGAGCGGTGGTAAACAACTCGACCGTTCCATCCACGAGATAAAGATTACTCCGCTGAAAGAAACTGAATCCGAAGCGCCGAGCTCTTCTCTTGACGAAGAAGTGTTTGAGTATATCTGGGATGGCATGGTGGAGTTTATGCGCGAGAATAGAACGACCAAGAAGCCGGAATTTCGACTCGATATTGGATGAAGTGACTGTGGCTCTCACACATTTAATGTGGCACCCACGGTCCCAAAATAAGCCCCCGTTGGGGAAACCGCCATCTGTCGACCCCCGGGTTCTACAGTTGGCAGCTTCTGAATGAGTCGAGGAGAACTTCAGAGATCTTGGCCATACTGCCATGCACCTCGTTTCCAAGTACAGCTCTCGACTAGGACTCCCTTTGTTGCCATGCTCTGTGTAGTAAGTTAAGATGTTACCGCTTGTATTGTCGATGCTAAGCACATGATTAGGTATGGTTCTGAAGAGGTAGTAGGCGGCGGAAGAAAGAGGGGTACAAGAGCAGAGAGGCATGAAAATTAGAGGTGGCAGTGAAGTCGAGAAGAGAAATATGCTGAACAGACAATGAAGTGATTAATTATAGGAGAAGCAGTCGATCTTGGTATTTTATATCTGATTCTGCGAGATGCGAGATGCCCTGGAGCAGATTAAGAGAATTTGTTGAACTAAGGTCACGTAAATAGTACTATAAATCTGGTAAACGGTACTAAAATACTAAAATAACTATTATTTTATAATAGTAAATAGCTTATATATAAGCTTTAAATACCCTAAATTAATTATAATAGTAATTCTAATATTTAGTTTTATTAAAGTTCTTAATTCTTATATTATTAATTTTAATATTTAATTATATAAGAGAATTTCGTTTCTATAAGTTATATTAGATTTAAAGGCTTTAAATACTTATTTCGAAAATTCTAAAAATAATAATAATAATAATAATAATAATAATAATAATAATAATAATAATAATAATAATAATAATAATAATAATAATAATAATAATAATAATAATAAAATAATAATAATAATAAATAATAATATAATAATAATAATAATAATAATAATAATAATAATAATAATAATAAATAATAATAATAATAATAATAATAATAATAATAATAATAATAATAATAATAATAATAATAATAATAATAATAATAATAATAATAATAATAATAATAATAATAATAATAATAATAATATATAAGAATTATTAATATACTTTTAAAATATTAAATATATTATAATTATTATAGCTTATAATTAAACTAGTAATATGGTAGGGGTTTTATTACTGGTCACGTGGTCCTGTCATGTGACCTTCGGACGTCCATACAGTCCGCAGTCCGCTTATATTACCCCTCTCTCCTTCTCTGTTTTAGAAGTCAACCAACCTTTACTCACTAATTTCACGTCTCACTCGTACGCTGTAATTCTATACTATGGAAGCCCATTAACTCTCTATATATTACTACTTGTTTTATATCCCCATTACAGTAATAACTAAACTATAATTAGCTTTTCCTAACAATTAATTGACATTTTTATAATCGTACACTGCTCCTGTTTTGTAGCGTATGTTCTTGTTTTCGGTGTATAGTCACGTTTTGCACTCTGCTGCCCTTTATGTGGGTTTTTGTTTTGTCGCAGTTTCCCTCTTACAGTAGACATAGAAACGGGATGATGCGCTATAACTTGTAGCGAGCAGCCAATTCCATCTAGCAAGCCCTAGGAAGGACATAGGATGGCATGTCTGTTCCGGTTGGCTTTCCGTCACGTTGCATCTCGCTTTAGCAGGGTCCACGACATAACTTCGGCGTCGAAGTGACCTTTGGACTCACGTGTTGTAAATCTACCTGTATTTAACTTCCGTCGACTCTTGGGTGCACTATCGGAAGCCTTGGCCGAACGTTAAGAGGAGTTAGGCCGGGCAGTCACCGAAATTTTGGCCGTGTTTTCCAAAGAGCGTCCGGTGTACTTCGTAGTTTTATAGACGGACCACTTTTCGTTGGGCTTTATAAATACTCTCTGTGACACGAAAGTATCCAGAGTAGCGTCTCACGAACCGCACGGCTTGATTAACTGTCAGCTTCCTCCAGCAGAGATACTGCATCATGGTTTGATCGGCTTGAGAGATAGTGACTTCCAAACCCTTTGAAAGCGTATCTCAGCAAAACTGCGGAATACTAAAAAGCGGGGTAACTTTTATTTTTCATATCAATATGAGTACTTCTAGCCTTCAATTTCTGAGTTATAATGGCCCTAAAGCGATGAAGCACAAAGTCCTCCTCTACCAACAGGAACAAAAGGAAAGGTTTTAGTCCGGCAGCTGTCTCCCCGTATGTCGCTCAGTAGTCCATTCAGCAATCTGCGACTCAGAGTCTCCTATCCTCCGACTTTCTACTGCCTGCAGGCGATTTTGATTCCCTTTTCAAAAAAGGGACCTACCCCTGGCACGAAGCTTGCGAGTACCTCAGCTATCGCTCCGTACTTGCCGCATCCACCCCCTGCCGGACTGGAACTGGATGAAAAAGTCATCACATAATTGTCGGGAAGAAGCACTCCATTATTATCGTACGTCTGCACCTTCACCTTCGAAGGGATCTGGTGTCCCCACGAATGATTAAGGCACTGAGCCGAAATTATGTCGCAGAGGCATCTCGGCTTATTCGGTGCCCCGCACGGTGCGTTGTTGTCATATGGGATCCCCTCCTGCCACGTGGTGCCCCAGCATTCGGTGTAAACATCGTATCCTGTCGGTTTGGATAGCTCGTCCACCGTCTTCCATGCGGCCTGGACCAGGGCATCCCTCATCGTCCACCCAGAGATGTTGTCAACGTTACCCCATTGACCATCCAGCTGGATGGTCACACTGAGATCGGGGTCCGCCCCATGGTCACCGCACTTAGTTGTGTAGGCCGGGTAGGTGAGATCCGACAGCCCGCCGTATTGGTCAGACTGGGTGTAAAGTACCTCCCACACAGCGTGGAACAGGTTGACGTTGCCGACAGGGACCATGAGGTCGCTGTACTCGACCTCGAGCTGAAACAGAGCCGAGACCTTCGGAGCTAGGGCCAGCACGGCGATCGGGAGGGTGGTGCTGAAGGCCTTCATGATCTAGCCAGTGAACGTTAGCAAATCTTAAACCCCCGTGTAGATCTCATCAAGGCGGGCCCTCAGGACCAAGGACAACTGTGAGGACTTACTGCTTGGAGTATGTAGTAACTTTTCGGATTGGTTCTCTGACAGTGAAAATGGATGCTCGTTCTGATCTTGTATCTTTGGTGATGTTGCACAATTCTTGTTCTGAGAGCGCTTCCACGGGGTTTTATAGACCAGCAGAGTGGATTCGTGCCTCCGCTGCGGTCGTGCCATAAAGTGAGTTTATGAGACTGAACTATAATCCTGCCTAGCACCATTAAACCTAGCACAATTTCTGCGTTTTTCGATCTCCACTGCCAATAATAGCAGGAGAACGCCTCACGCTCCTCGACAATTACAAAATTAATAAACACATTCCTCGCACTAGCAAATCTAGAACAACTTTTGCGTTTCTCGATCTCCACCGCCAATAATAACTAGAGAACGCCGCACGCTCCTTGACAATTACAGACTTAATAAACACAAAAAGTATAAGTTAAACTTAAATTGCAATCTGCTGCAAAAATCAGTAGAAATTTCAGAGCTGATTCTACCCGCCCACGGAGCATCTGAAACAAACGTTTTTAGATATGGATCGATCGCGACGAACATCTCTGTACAAACTCTCAAGCGATTTTATAGCCGAGGCTGTAATGATTAAAAACGCGGCTTCTCCGTTGTGGTTCGAAAATCTGAAGCCAGTTAGTCTCGGTTTCGATGGCCAGATACCGTTATTGCCTTACCCTATTTCCACAAATAGCTCAGATTTGTCCTCTCTTTAGTTGTAGTTATGGCTATAGTAATCAAGGATCCTTATCTAGCAAGAGGTTAAACTGTAGAACATGAAATAGAGTATGTAAATCTCAGACGACCCTCTTTAACATAACATATTAGTGCGCCACGTGTGTCTGTAGCAACCCGTTCAGGAAGCTCAAATGTAGAATATAGAACGCAAATAGAGTATATATGGGGTATGATTGGAGGTGGCGAATTTTAGTACGAGTCTAGCGCTACGCTAACTCAACTTTGGGCCCTACGATTAGCAGATATCTCGGCGGTGGCTGTGCGACTTCCCGACCTCTCAGAGGGGATTTTTACAGGCGCGAGCAGCTATGGGGTAGAGATAGGCGACAAGGCAGGGAGAGTTGACCCAATCATTGATCTTAATATGGACCCGTGGCGGCGTGTCTGGTGGGCTGCAGGTGAGTCCAGGAGCTGTAAATATTAGCAAAAACAAATGCAAAAACTGTTGAAAGGAAAATCAGTGTGCCCCTGCCCACCCCTGCAACACCCCTATTTTGCTCGCGTAGCATTCCTAAAACATGGGTGGACGCCCAAAGCAGTAATTTTTGATCTCGACTCTCGTTTAGTTACATAAGCACCCTTCTAGGGCAAACCTAAAGAGGGTGCTTATGCATTTAAGGATTTGATTCCCTTCTAGCCTCCTTCCCCTTCACTTAGCAAGCTAATTTCTGCAATTTTATCGTAAAGTAAGGCTTTCCTTTTCGGCTATTCTTTAGCCCCCGGCGTGCGTACAAAAGGCGGGCCAGAAGCACCTCCCTCCCTTACCCTTAAAATCGCTTAAGAAGTATATCCTCAAGGCACGCACGCGTGCGCTCAAGGTATATCCTTAAAGTATGCGCATACGCTTAAGGCATGTGCATACGCTCTATATATAAAAGCGCTTTGTATGTGAATGCGCTCCGCACGTGAATGTTGTGGGAGGGAAACTGCGACAAGACAAAAACCCACATAAAGTACACCAGAGCACAAAACGTGACTTGAGAGCAAAACAACAGGATCAAAGGCTTAAACAGTAAAGCATAAACAGTGTGCAGTGTGCAAAAGCTCAATTGATTGAATATGAAGGAGGGACTGTTGTCTAGAACTACAGAAAAGCCAGCTTTCTTATGTGATTCCCGCAAGTCACGTGCAAAAGGCCCCAGCCTTTGTCATGTGACCAAAACCTCAAAACTGTCAAAACAAAGCGATTTGGATAGAGTACGGCTTGCCGTACCACAATGTGCTCCACACGTGAATGCGCTCCACATGCCGTTGCGCGCCGAAGGCGCGTGACGGCGTGCCCCTAGCCTATTAAGATCCTAGTATTAGTGGAGATAAGCTTTAGAACTGCCAGAATTAGTACGATGGCTAGTTACTTGATGACAGCAATAATCCAATATAAGGATTGCCCTCGGACCGACTTTCTCTGAGATATTGCAGGTTATCCTTACGCTAAATATAGATATTATTGCACATGGCTAGGATAAACCCCCACCCCCTCCTTGGAGGCTAACGCCTCTAAATACGTTAATATACTCTTCTCTTGTAAACCTCGCTGTCTCTAAAGATCAATAGCTATTAATACAACTTTTATAGCCTTAATAACCTCCATATCTCTATTAGATTAGTAAATTTCATATAATCTTAGGTCCTCCACTCCTTTGATTACTTATTGAATTGAAGTCTTCTCTACTTCCACTTCACCTTTAATAATCTGATTTCACCTCGTCGTCCTCTGTATATCTATTAACAATTGCATCTAGAATATTCATAAATCCACCGTCTTTTAATAACTCTTCCCCTTCTAGTGCAATAAATTCTCATGAGCTAGCCGCTTGAATCTCACAAAGCAGGTAGATTTCCCAATTCGTCAATCTCAGCCAGTAATTCCACAATGCCAATTGCAAATATGTTCTCTTCGCCTATTTCTTCTTCTCCAAAACCATCGTGTTCATATGCAATACAAGTTGATTTTGCAAAGCAATTTGCAATCATTTACATCTTCAAATCTTAATTCTATACTAAAAATGACCACCAAATAGCTTGTAGAAGATGAATTGTCTTATCAGGATCTCATTCGGCCTCATATTCCCTGATCATGTATACTATCCACATCTTGTAATAATAAAGCTTAAATTTTGCTATAATGCCTTGATCTAATAGCTGATAATAAGATATAGTATCTATAGGCAGCCAAATAGTAGCTATAAGGGCGAGCAGATGAGCAGGAAGAAGGGCAAGCAAATGAGCAACAAGGAGAAAGACCCGCGGGAGAAGTCTAAGGAATTCCTCGAGTACTGGATACAGTTGGGGGAGCCGCTTGCAAGAATGGTCCAGCGTTTCGGGCATGGCATTCTGCTCCTACTCCCTAAAAAGCTGACTGACAAAGAGTAATTTCGTGCCTGTCCGCTGCCAGTGAAACTCGTTTTTATGTTCGGCTGATCGTGATTTAGCCTTCATAAACAGAATTTGGATTCTCCATGTCAGGTAGGACGCTCAAATTCAACCCCGGAGAGTTAGAACCCAGAGTAGTCGACTTTATTAACGTTAAAGTGAAATACAATGTGTGGCTCCGCAAGTCCCCGTGACAAATACAAATAGAGTGTAGGCAGAGAAGGGTGTTTGCAAGGTCATAGGCAAGAGCGATAAGAGCCTTGAAGGATGATCTCGATTCAACACTACTCATTACATCCAGAAGCTAGTAGGCCTCTGGGATACTTATCGCCGGTGTTTGGCTACGGAATTCAGTAGTATTTGCCTATGATACTGAAAGAGAATTGGGGGGTGGAGCTTTTTAGCTAAACTCGCGTCCTCTCGCTAGCTTCAAATGAGTGTAGATGAGCTCCTTCACTCTCCTCCCCTCTCCTCTCTTTCCTCCATTTTGACGGTGTTTACTCTAAGGCTAAAATAGCGTTAACGCACAAAAAGGCTCCTATACTTCCCAATAGCTCTTAAGCAGGTCCCCACATAACAACTTGTGAGATTGTACAAGTAGTTAAGCCGCCCGAGACAGTGGCTTTGACTCCCGTCAAGGTATAGTTTGTCGCAGAGTCATAATTCTCAGGTGCACTGGTCGCACGTCAAAAAAGTGTCAACCTGGAATTTGTGTCTCTTACCTTGTACACCACGCTGTCGCTGTTGTGTTCACGACCTATCAATTCATCAGCAGCTAGCCATTTTTTTTGTGACTCGAGAGCACATCGTACCATAACGACATTATTGAAAACCAACTTGCCAAAATCCCAGGTCAGGTCGTAGAGCTCAATTGCGAGAAGGGCCTTTAATGGTATAGAGTGAGCTTCCATTGTCGTGCTCCTGAAGTGAAGATTACCAACCTGGTTGAAGTTCTTATATGCAAGAGGGAAAGAATTGCTAACGAACGAAGAGCCCATCGTGAGATTCGAAGTCCAGTTTATGCCATCCGCATTCCTAGTCATAGAAATTTGGACAGCATCTTGATTCGGGACCTAAACCTTCCTATCAATGCCGTTGGCATTTAGAAATTCAGCAAATTCTTACATTGAATCCTGATCCCCATGCGAGACTTGGGTTGCTGCAAGACGTCAATACGCAGGACGAACAAGGGTTGTAAGAGAAAGGACTGGCCTGCAACACCATCCCGGGCCAATCCACCATTCCCCAGACCCGCCGTCAAGGACTTCTTGATAGACACCGGTGAGAGAATTATCTTGAAGACCCGGCCATAGATAGTACACGCCTGGTTGCTGGAGATTTGGAGCAACCATTTGCATCGAAAACTATATCACTTAGCTTCATGCTGCAAGATGGAGAAAGGGCCTCACCGATTGAAATTGTGCAGAAGTGGTCGGCGTGTACCATTGGAGGAAATACCTGAATTGTAAGTTATGCTTCTTGAAGTTGAATAGGAACCTTACCAAGTCACTGCAGAGGATTGTTGGATCAACAGGCCCATCAGAGCAAGAGAAATAGATATTAATCTCATGATGCAGATACAGTAATATGGCTTGGTCGTTGGATTTTTTTAGAGCTGCGGAGAGGGGAGTCAAGCACTTGTATTTTATGGCCATACGCATAGCCACTCAATTGCCCCGCATTTGAAAGGGTCCCCTTTTCTGGCCTCGCTAAACTTCGTTTGAAGTGCTGATTGGAGGAATTTGCAAGAAAGTCCAAACATGACCTGGCTCGAGAATCTGACTGATAGAGAGATGCGTGTGTCTCGCCCTGTGAACGGCTCTCGGATGCATTATTCCTAGGTCATCACCAAGCCCCCGCAATTCAATCCTACTTTGGCGGGGGCTTGCAGTGTCCAGTTTAGATGGATTTGCAGGACACAAGATAAGGTTTACATCGGATTGCCGTGACAAAAGGAGAAGGAGTTTCTGGATAAGCTGACTGGCGGGATCGACTTTGTTTTATCTCGAGAAAACACCAGATCTACGGCGGTACAGATGCAGTCACTCTATTACTAGGCAGGATTGGAGCCTAATCGATCATTAAAGTTTTAAGTAATAAAGTCTCAGGAGCTTCTCCCGAACTATCGTACATTCAAAGCCTGCCCTGGGTATACATTTTAGAAAATCCAAGATGTCAAAGTTTTGCGCGCTTAGAGTGTCGAGTGCATGTTCTATACAAAGGCAGTTTCAGTCTTTCACAGACTTTCCCCACGAATGTCTCCTTGACCTAAATTTCTAATTCAGACCTAGGACATTGAATAAGCGGAGTAATTATTCCGTAACGGAATTATGGGGCGAAGACGGTCCTCGGACGTCCGGGGGTCTTTAAATGAACGGATGGGTAAGCATTAGCTCAGCAATATCTCGAGGACAGGAATGTTCTCCAGGGTATAGGGTATTCATTACGAGATCCAGTTCTTATTACGAGAGTCTATCCTCAACAAGAAATCCTGTTCTCATTACGAGGTCCCGTCCTCACTACGAGATCCCGTCTTGACTACGAACGTCTGTCCTTAGTATGAGGGCCCGTTTCGCAACTCTTGAATACAGGTATTCAGTCGATATTCACATACTAGCTTTTAGATATTAGAACTAAAGATGTTTCGTATATATCTGGATACCAGTAAACGATACTGGCATTCAGATACTAGTATTCGCTTCTATACAAATCGCAGTATTTTCGGATCGACCTATGTTTTGGATGCTAGCTTTCGCCCTTTCTAGCTACCCTCTAAGGCGTAAACTCTTTCTAAAGCTTTGTATTTTGCGATTCTTCTAGACTATATATCGCAGTAATTTATTTAGTAGTAAGCATATAAGAGGTAATTGTTTTATTAATTTACTTTTCTATTTAATAATAAAATAAATCCAGGCTTAAAGACGCTACAATACTAGGGAGTAATTACTAAAGAAAAGCAAGCCTTAGAATTAAGTTAACCGGAGATTACTCTGAAACCTCCGTAATTGCGATGATTATTGAGTATCTGCAGCTTACGAAACACTTCTAATTTGCAGGGTTACTGGGTTTGAATATCCGGTATTGAACGCTAGTGTTGGTTGCTAGCAACCAACAGACGTGCGCGAGTGCGAAACAAGGCTCAGAGCTTCCCAGGTTCTTGTTTGACTTGTCCCGCACTCGTACTTCGGGTGCCGTGGTGAATCATCTCTCGTTGGGAGGAACCATAAACGGCGAGGGTTGGTTACGTAAAGAACATTTGTGCGCTCAGTCCGACCCCTAACAGGAAAGTTTTGATACTCGAATATTCCTTGACCCAAAGGGAAGACCTTTTCGATGATCAAAAATCTTACTCGTCGGTCGCTAATTAACCCCAAACAACAACTGTTCTGGACTATCATTTCCCAAATAAATACCCATTAGAAGCGATTGCTTTCACACATAGTCTGGAATCGCGGTCACTACACACCTTCTGCAATTTCATCTCGAGATTGACTAAATTGAGTCCGACACCATAGCGGCCACATAAAAGCTGTTTCGTTATTCGCTTCTCACAAAGGACTTTTCCTTCAGCTAACGCAAGCTTGAGCTGTGAAAAATTGAAGATTCTTGTCATCGGAGAGCAAACAATAGTACCGAGGCACCTCGCAATTCCCAAGTATCAATTCCATCTCGTTCTACTATCCCGCAATTGAAACAATAGCGTCCCCAAGCGCCCCTAATCAATACATTAAAAGAGCAGCGAGATCTACTCGCACAGAGAGATGGAGATAGGGGAGCATTGGGAGTCATTTGTCATTGAAGAGCCAGTCTCCCAAGAGTCAAAAGCACTGATTAACTGATTAGAGAAGACCTCAAGAAAATCTGACGATATTTAGAATTCGAAAATCATCGTACCAAAGGGAGGATCTTGTACGCTTCCGTCGATGGAGAAAGAATACTTCTAGACGACACGGTAGGCAGAGCTTCGGGAGGAGACCAAATAAATGTGCAATAAACCAGCACCGTTCTATTGGCTACACTCTCCGCATCAGATTGACAGTGATGGACAAAGAACCCACACACCAAAGATCACAGTTTCAGGCCTCCGGGAAGAGTGGTATCGATGGCATGACGAAGAACCAAGCATAGAATTCGGTCATTTCTTGGGAATCTGTTTCGAGCTACCGCAACCGGCCCATCGACAGTGCGTAGAATTCTTGAAATGCATGGCTCAATTTGTGCTCACGCATCTGCTCTCATGATCCAAGGCTGTGACAGAGCAGAAAACATAATCGGACGTTCTCCCTCGAACCCCAACACTATACGTTCCAGCCTGATACTGCATTACTGCCGTGATTGTCGATTCCTTATACTTCTTTTGCGGTCAAGAAAATGAACCGTAGACGGCAAGACCAGTTTTTGAAAGGTTGCACAGTATTAAGAATTTGTCTTGCTCGCTCGTACATGCGCAGAGCGAGGATTGACTACCCCGATTTTCATTCGAAAGTCCGAGATCGCGGTCTCACCCTCTTGACAGATCGGATATTTACACGCGAGGTATCGATGTGGTGAGATTTTCGCTTGTAACAACTATGCAATTCGTCGTTAACCTGAAAAGGCGAGAATAGATGGCGAACCCGAAGGTGAACCAAGAACTCTCGCTCGACCTCGGGCTATATCTGCCCGGAGGGTCGGAAGGGTTTGAAAATAAGAAGGAGATTGATAATGCCCCCGATGGCTGGGCCGACGCATACTTGGCAGCATCCGAGGCACATGGCTATGCTATGAACGCACGACAGAAACACGACCGCCGACTCGTCGGCCCCAAGAAGTCTTGGTTGCAGAAGAACATTGTCTGTTCGAGTTTCGCCCATTTGGTAAAAGTTGAAAAGCGGGGCTGTGATCTTAATCCAAGTCTTTGACCTTTGTTTCCGAGGATTCATCTTCTGTGGATGAAGTTTGAGTTTCTTTGTCAGAGGACACGGCGGCAATGAATTCGACCCTTCCCTTCCTCTGCATCTCTTCTCTCCTGCATTGCTCCTCCGGCCTCCGACGCTGCCGCGCATTTTTCACAATTACACCCACGGATTGGACGCAGACGACAACAGCAAGGCAAGGCAGACAGCAAAGCATGACAGTGGTAGATTCGATTTGTTCCCAAGTGTCGTGCGGGGTACGACCGTGGCCATCGCGGAGTGTCATTTTGCGCCGGTTGTTAGACAGAGAATATTTCGTTGAAGGCGGTAGTGGTAGGACAGAAACTTTTAATGTAAAGACTGTTGCGTTGGTTATGATGGTGAAGTGATAACAACTGTCGGGGGTGGTAGCTCGCTTGAAATTGGTGGTGGCTGTGCACTGATTCACAGCCTCCACCACTGAAACCCTCGAGGCTTTCAAGCAGCCGGACAACAGGAACTCCAGGGGTTGGAAATGCGCGGTCATTTCAAAAAAGAATCCAGATTTTACAACCTTTACCTCGCACGTCACCTTTTTCACTCTCTAGGCACGATCTGTCACTTATTTCAGGGCAGTTCGCTAAAACAGTGCGGAGGTGGGGAGCTGAGTCACTCAATTACCAAACTCCTCACCACCAACTCAAACAATACCACAAAAGAACGAAAGGTTTACGCACATTGACTAACTTGTGAAGTAGAAACTAAATTATCAAAAAATTACCCAAGTATGATCTCCACTCAAAACGTTTCCTGAAGAGCACGTGAAAGTACTCACTGCCATCCCTCAAATCCGAAGGAAAGAGTCAAACAAATTCACAAACATACTCCCACCTCCATCATCTTCTGTGATAGCAGGCTCGACATGCTTCTCCATTAGCATCAAGACAATCTCTTCATCACCAGCATCCCTCGCAGCTGTCATCACATCTTTATCTACTTCCGCTCCATGGTCCAACAATATGCCGACAACTTTGCGGCACGATGCTGGTGCAGGCTTGCCTGCATATTTCAGCTTCCCGGAAGGCCCAAGCTGCACAGACAGCTGCTGCTAAAGCTGAACCGTGCTTTCCTCCTTTGGCATTGAGGTGTGCTCCGCTGCCTAACAGAAGTCTAACTAGGTCTTCGTTTTCGGTAGAGCAGCAGCTTGCAGTGCTCACCTTCCGAGTTCACGTCTGCACCAGCGTCCACGAGAGCTGATGCCTTCGGAAGTGCGGACCATTCTCTCTCAAGATTGGGCTATGATAATTGATAGTCTTTCGGAGCTGCTGCTACTTGTAGAGTATGGCCATAGCCCACCATAGGTTCTTGGATCAGCTCCTTTTTCGACGAGGTTACCCACTGCATCCGTCGGACGATAAAATGATGCTGCTTGTGGTGTGGATCCAAATTTCCCTCCTAGTTGATTGATGCCAGCACCTCCTTCGGCGAGAGTCTGGAAGATCGCCAATATATTCCTGTGTGAATAACCCTCCGAGGCAGCAGCTGCTTGTAAAACTGTTCGATACGGCCACCTTCCCATTTGTATTGGCCCCTTTTGCTAACAGAAACGAAAAGGTAATTGCGTCGAGCTCAGAATGTTCTGCCACCGCGTGAAGGGCGTATCCATATTTCTTTGATGAGGAATTTACATCTGCACGGTGATATAGAAGAAGTTGAATGATCAAAATCGGCGCTCTCGATCCAGTACTTGCTGCTAGTACCAACGCATATCCAAAGGACTAATTATCACGAGGGGTTCTGGCTCTGGCAGCTAGCAAGGCTCGTACCATACTCGTAATACCAAGATCTTTCCAAGGCGCTTTTCAAGTGGGGTCTGTCTGGGTCTGTCACGTTGACATTGGGCCCTCTCTGAACCAGGAACTCCATTACTTTCGGATGTTTCTGCCCTTCTGGCCGAGAATTAACCGGAATCTGTAATGGCGTGCCGTGTGTTCCATGAATAAAGTTGACATCGGCTCCAAAATCCAGTAACATCGTGAGAAGCTCGATGCTTCCTGTCTTTAAAGTCCCTGCCTGGATATGGCAAGACACCCTCACCAAGGAGAAATTTCACAAGAGGCTTTCTCCTTCTGGGCGCAAACGAAGAGAGGTGGAAGCAATTGCAGCCTGCAGTGGAGTCCCCTGTGTTACAGCTGGAGGGGCCGGAGTGTTGATACCTTGGAGATTGACATCGGCGCCGTTGCGAATAGCCGATTCTGATGGACTTCTACCGTTTTGTTGGTAGTTCACATCAGTTCTTGCGCTGTGCCGGCCAAGAGAAATTGACAAGCCTGGACCACAATGCATAACCCTGCGAAAGGGAGTCCGACGTGCATCGGATCAACGTTAGCAGGTGTTGAGCCGACAATTTGAAGTCTCTGTGCCACACCAGTAATCTGTTCAACCACTTGCGGAAGCCTATATCTCCATCGTCTTGACTCCACGGAAACTGAAGCTTCCACAGCCGATTGTCCATAACGTAATATCCAATCGCGTTAGCAGCCTAAAGCCATTCAGACGAAAGGCTTCGAAGGAACAATGGTGAGCTAATGATCAAATATGGGAGTATTGTGGCGAGAACAGCAGGTATCGAGGGAGCTATGTTGCCGAACAACAAAGCTTTGGTGAGGCTCCTTTCTCCTTATTTGAGACTACTCGATACCAAAGGTTGTCAGCCACTGGATCCGGGATCGGCGGGAAGGATTTGTTATCTTCACAGATCAAGGCCACCGATGGGCTTGCAGAAGCGACAGCACTGCTTGTTGCAACTCTCCATGGCTAAAAGTTTCAGTTATTGATTATCCTAGAGAACTGCTAAATACTTACCTCGTCAACCTTTTGCGCCACCTTACTTCCACCCAAAATGGCTTAACCCCGAGATCGACGTAAGAAGAGCCCCCGAGCCTGATTCTCGAGTGGGCTCGCCATCTTGCTCCTCACCACGACCGAAAAGCGTGCGCAGCCTACTCGACTTCTTCATGGTGAAAGTAATGAAGGCTTCCTGGATGGGGAAAGAAAAGGATTGTCGAAGACGTCGAGTCACATCTGCCTGGCAGATCATGAGATGTTTGCTCTGTGCATTAGCTTCGGTAGTTGCCATGTATGATATTCCACTTGATGGTCGCACTGAGTTCGCGGACTTATGCGTCCTGTCGTCCACTCAATACCATATGCGGAGCTGTGAACTCAGCGGAAGCGTGCAGCGGCATCGAACTTGGAGCTGCCGCAGGATATGTTAGTGGCGAGGCCATGATCATCGTCAAAGCCGTTTTTTTTTTTTGACAATGATGGAGCATGTAGGAACGATAGAGGCATATATTAAGACGATTTTAATTTTAAAGAAAGGGTTGCACTTGCTTGTGCGAGTCCCTCTGACATGGAAGGGACAACCAATATGATGCACGTGACAGCAGACTGCACCAAGATGCCCACCCAAGGAGGTACCCATGTGAACATTGCAAGCAGCTTCGAAGATGAAAGTGTTAAAACCTGAGTCGTTGAAAAGAGGCCTATAGAACCAGTCTATCTGCACTTGCAGCAATTATTCCATGTTGAACGTCACTTTCTATCCTAAAAATGGAGACGGCGAAAAATAAAATTCTGTTTCTAATGCAATGGGTATGTAGCTTAAGCCTTCCCTTATTATACATTAGGCGGATATTCCCCAACGGCTTCTGAGGTCCCCATGACCGGACTCATTCCACTCCGTGGTGTGTTTTCTCTCGCCCGTCTCGATGCTCTCCAGAATCCTAGCACCAGCTCCAGTATCACAATGACAGCATAAACGCCCGCCATCACCGCAACATCAATGACTTGATCGCTGATTGGATATTTACTGCCCTTCCGTCCATTTATTCCCTCCTTGCTAAGTCCGATAACTTGAACAGCACACATCACCACTCCTCCCATCCATACCACCGCATTTATAGTCTGCCAGCCCCTAATTCTGCCCCGGGCACCTTCGCTCCAGTGTAGCACTGCTCCAAGTATCAACCCCACAAATACAAATGGCTGAAGCCCAATTCCAAAGTGTAGGAGTTCCAGGCGCACAATCTCGAGAACTTGCATAAGAATGTTGCAGACTATGAGAATGTAGTAGATGGCAGAGACGGTACTGAAAGCCCAGTTTCGGCAGGGTTTCGCGCGCAGGTATGCGGTCGAGGGGTTGAAGTTTTGTTTTCGATGGTGAATGCTTAGAGCCAGTAGGATGGGGAGCAGGAAAAGGGCAACCCAGACTGGGAGAGGAATGAGGATTGTGTCGACAAAGCAGGATGTTGGAATGGGCGAGGAGATTTTGGAGTGTGGGCCCTGTGTTTACCTGTCAGTTCATCCGATCATTACTTTAGCAGAAAAGCAACTTACGAAGCCTTCAACGCGATGGGTACAAAGCTTCACCATCTTTGCAGCTAAGAGTGGAGCTGGAGTTGCGAGTCCAGGTCCTGCAAAGGGAGGGAGTTTGGCGTTTTGACAGGATAAAGGATCACGACACAGTCAGCATCACCGTCTCGGCCGACAAAGATGATCACAGAATCTAAGTATAGGAGATCCGCCGAAAGAGGTACCTATCGATCGATGCGGAATGCTGCTTGCGATGCTTTCGGAATGCCGTCTGAAGATCACTGCCCTCGTTCCTTCGCGTCTCGAGACGGTTTCAGCACCTTGCGCGCCAACACCAACACCGAACGAATTCCTCAATTCGCTGCAACGTCAGTCATGCCCAGCAGGCTTTCCCCATGAGGCATAAGAACAAGTCAATATGAACAAGTAACATCGCTGCGGAGGAGCGCGCGGATGATAATTATGTAGCGCCATTGCAATTTGATTTGATTGCGACGGCTCTGTCCTTGGGACGGTCGATAGTTTGGAGAAGTTTTCGGAACGCGGGATTGCCGGTGTGAAGCGTGCAGCCGGATCGTCCGCTACGGGTCTAGTTGCGGCGCGATCGCCTTGATGTGGCTGCTAAGTGGCTGCTAACGTTAAGCTTATTCGGCGTTGGAGGACCCGACCAAATGTCATCAAAAGAAATATCTCGCAGGCAAGTGAACCATCCGAATATTGGTGGTGGCTTGCGGGAATCGCTGAAGAAACGGATAAGACTGGTGGTTCGTTGGGATTTTGATGGGAGGCTTGAATGATCGGCCGATGGCGGAAGTTTTCTTTATCTCCACAATCATTCTGAAGTGCTTCGGAACTATCGATTGTACCTCAGAGGTTCAAAAGGCGAGGCAATAGATTACTTACATGTATTCCCTCTTTTCTCCTCTTTTGACTTTGGATGAACATGGGTCCAAAGGCCTTGTTGCCATTGAAAATGAGCTCGAGGAGAAAGGAAGAAATTATATACGGGAGTAGAGTGGGCCGAGTCGAGTGTCCCATTGCGTAATGTCAATTCCTACGCTTTTTTGCCCAGATCTGTTTACATCAGCCTTCTTGCTGGACATCTCCTCGTTGCGCGCTTGCCCCTTTTCCCTAGCCGAGCGAGGCAGGTCATGTGACCAATTCCAACCATTTTAAGACTTAAGAACCCTAACAGTAGGCAGCAGTTATATTTCTTAAATCCGAAGTTCAACCCGGCAGCGATCCCAAATTCTCGCAATAACCCCTGGAGAACCACATCGGGACCCCCATCTTTAACGTCATACGCACCGATCACCAGACGTTAAAGCGAAATCTCTCTGGTCATCAACCTCGGACCACCAAACACTTTCTCGGATGCATGTGATGATGTGCTGACTAGCATTCGTTGAGTTTATGTTAATGAGAGAAGCAGCAGTCCGTACGCTTTCAGCAGAGAGGTCAAAAATTCCACGCAGCCTGCGTCTAGAGTACTTGCTTGGTCTCGAACTCCGAATTGGAAGAAGGAAGAAGGAACTGTTGCAAGTCGATTGGATCCTTAGCTCGGGATGCTTATTTACACACACGGTGGCAGGGGCAGAATGGCACTTGATGAGATAAGGACTTCACACTTAGGTAATTGAAATTAGTTTGAGGAATGACTGCATTAGTTTTACTCCTTCGGCATAGTCTAACCCTATATCTGGTCCATTTTGGTTCCAAGCGGCTCTTCTGTCCGCCGGGCCATTGTGTCAAATGAATAGATTAGATTAGATTAATGGCTATTAATCTAATCTATTCACGAAATATAATTATTAACCATATTCTATTCAAGTATTAGTTAGATTAATCAGATTAATCAAATTAATGCACACGTGATCATGCACGTGATAATACTAGCGTAATCGGCTATGGCTCTAGCCCGCTCCGGCTCCAGCGCCACCCTAATCAGGGGCAGCAGCGCCTAGTAAGCGAGCCGAAGCTCGATAATCAAAAGGGGGAAAATGAAGATTCCGAGGAGGATAACCAGTTTATTATCATCAAAAGTTAGTAGTTAGTTACTATTATATAAGGCCAAGCTTAGTTTAACTAGGGCTACTTAATAGGTGCCTTAGTAATTTAATAATTATTAAGTAAACGTTGATTTACTATTAATCACGTGACGTGTTAATCAGATTAACTATGATTGATCTGATTAATTATTCTAATCTAATTAGATAACATAAGTATCAAGTTAATCAAATTCTATTCATGAATATTTATGACTAATCTGATTAATTTTGTGACACACTGGTCCGCCCTCAGATCCCCTCACTCCAGCCTGAAGAAGGAGCAAGACTTCATTTCATTTTTTGTCTACCATGCAACTGGTTTCCCAGTATCGGCGCAGAAAATAGGGGTCCTGTCAAGGGAAGCACACTAAATGAGAGCAATAAGACCCTTGACACTCTCCTCCAGCATCATAGGAGCCTGATCCACTCTATTCTGCTGCGCACCATAATCCCCATATCAGTCTGCACCCATCCCGGATTGTATACTTGTATAATCAACTTCGGGTCCTCAGAGGCAGCCTTGCTAACAATATAATTGCAGCAGTCTTGCTCAGACCATAGGCGAAGCAGGGGACGGCACGTTCTCTATGTTAGTGAGTGTTCCAATCGAGCTTGATATCAGAAGGAATTTAGGATCGTCCAATTAGGGATAGCACCTCGCTTGAAGCAGTATTTTATGCGGACCTGCCTCTCTAGGCAAAGGAGAGTTCCAACTGCTAAGCGCGCATGCGTGAGTTATGATTTTGGATCCCTGGATCTAATGATCTGTATACCTTGCGGATTATGCTGCGATGAAAGTGGCTGTAGACTTACACCGAACCCCCTTCAGACCAGAGGAAAAGTAATCTCGTTCATTATTCTGGTCTATTTCTCGGTCTTTGCAGTGCATCTTCCAGGCAATGACACCTCTTCCCACAGTTGGGATGCGCTCGAGGACCCCGATAAGGTCTCGGATTAGTATCTTTCGGATGTCTTCAAATCGATGCCCTTTTCGTTGGAAATCGTAATGAGTCAACTTCATTCCATTATTAAAATAGCTCTATTAAGACCTCTGCGGAGACTGGTAGAACCATCAGGTGATAGACTTCTGATTGTGTGAAACCTGGTCTGAAGGATGTTGAACGACCGGGAAGTAACTAGAGGAGACAAGTGTATAAATATCCTGTCGCTGTCGAATAATTGAAAAATCGTAGCATTCCTCTTCAAAATGTCAAGTTCTCATTCGTCACGTGTATGGCTCAACTCCACTCGAAATTTCCCTGGACTATGAACAGGGTCCACGTAATTCTGGGGCTTCGCCAATCCTATCTCTTTATGTCTGACCTCATTCAATATACCTGAAATGCCGGCTCAACTCATTGTCCATGTGGCTGCATGATCGCATCGAACACTGTTTCTGGTCATGTTTGACTTCATCTTATCCATTATTCCTTATTGCATAAATGGTCTTTTCGAGGCATGCAAAGCGCATGGGAAATCCGGACAATTGTTTTTGCGATTGGCTGGCACAGAATCCATCCGAATGATGGGGCTGTTTCGAAACATCTTCTTTCCCCACCAGTCATGCCTTCCTCATCTTCAAACTCCACACAACGAGAAAAGGGCGACGGAAACCGCTTTATATGATTCTCTGTTCCCTTGCAAAGCACTGAAGATGGGATTGAGCCCTTTTCTTGAAACATCCCAAGGGGAACTTAGACTTCGCCTGAGCTCGTGAACAACCTGGCCCATGCGACCTTTGTTTCTTTCCTGCGGCCTTATATATTAGGAATGCTTCCTGTCCCTACTCAAATGTTCTCAGGACAGTTCACTATTTTCATTCGTTCCAGGTTCAATACATTCATTTCACGTCTTGAAGACGCTAAGAAATTTTCTCTTCGAAGTTGGCTTGAAATTCCGCAGATCAACATCCACCCGTCTTTACCATTCAAGCTCCAGCTAATCGCAATCATTTGATTTTCAAGATAGCATTCCATGATGAAGACTACCTCGTTATTGGGGCTTCTTGCTTTTGCCGCTCAAGTCTCTGCACATGGTTTCGTCCAAAATATCGTCGTTGATGGGACTTCGTAAGTACTCGACCCTACCACGACATACTCGGTCGCTAACGACACCAGCTTCACCGGATATATCGTAACCCAGTATCCATATGAAACCAATCCTCCAGACTCGATTGGCTGGAGTGAATCTGCAACAAATCTTGGCTTCGTTGCCCCAGATGAATATGCAGGAGGGGATATCATTTGCCACAAGTCCGCAATCAACGCCAAAGCAACAGCCACAGTCTCGGCAGGTGGGACTGTAACAATGGAATGGAATACATGGCCCTCCTCTCACAAGGGACCGGTTATCGACTATCTCGCGTCATGTAAAGGAGCATGCTCAACTGTTGACAAAACAACCCTCGAATTCTTCAAGATAGATGAACAAGGTCTCATTTCCGACACCACTGCTCCCGGGACTTGGGCTTCGGATAAGTTGATGTCGAATAACAACTCTTGGGTAATTACTATCCCTACTGATATTGCGAGTGGGCCGTACGTTCTCAGGCATGAAATCATCGCTCTGCATGGAGCAGGTAGCACGGATGGCGCACAGAATTATCCGCAATGCATCAACCTTGAAGTCACCGGTGGTGGCTCAGATGTACCGGCTGGAACACTTGGTGAGGCTTTGTACAAGGAGACAGATCCGGGAATCTTGGTCAACATCTATACCACTGGTCTCAGCTACACTATCCCAGGCCCGGCATTGTATAATGGTGGAAATGGGGCTGCGGCTACGACGAACGGTGCGGTTTCGTATGCGCCGACTACATTGGCTACTTCGACGACCACTTACCCACCCGCTGTAACCCCATCTGCAGCTCCTTACCTGTGATGCATGCTTGCTGAGAATTGGGTCAGAAGCGGGGTGGAGGAGCCAATCGGGATGCTAGTTCATCTTGAGGCTGTGGAACATCAGCCATGTTGGTTTGGGAGAGGTTGTGCAAATATCTTTCAGTTCTTGTACATTATTACAGATCCCATTCCTCGGCATAACCTAGTCTCCCCATCTCAAAAGATATATTTCTACTATGTGGCTGTTCGAAGTTATTCTTGAATTTACCTAAAGTATAGACGGGTCCCAGTGGACCTCATTTTTCGGTTTGGGCTTAGATCTATTCATGGTCAGCTCACAACGAAGATGGAGCCGGGGGGGATGATCGACTTACGTGGCCTCCCGCATCAAAAAATCGAACGACTTCGGAGCTTCACTCAACCACTTAACCCCATTCTCCCTAAAAATCCTGATCTGCTCATCCGTCAACCTCTGCGTCCGTGGTCTCGCCATCGCCAGTAAATCAATCACAGCAGCCGTGACATAAATCCCACAACTTGCCCCATCACCCTGCTTGGCACACTTATCATCCACGACAAACTCAAACTTCTTTTGCCCTTTCCCCGCAAAGAATTCCTTAAACACATCATAAAAATGAAACATAAGCTTCCTCGCGTAATTATCTCGTTCCATATCAGACATCGTATTGAAATAAATCGCCCCACAGTTTTCCAAATCAATATAAAGCGCCGCCCAATGGTTCTGCCCCTCATTGAACGGAACTGCCAGACCCGTCACCGCGCGTACGCCTGGGCGAGACTTGAAGAATACTGGAGTGATGGCAGGAGCGTGGCCGTTCTCTTGGATCCACGCGCCGAACCAGACGGGATCGACGATGTTGACGCGCGAGGACGCGAGGTTCCCGAAGCGGGCGACGATCTCGCGGATGCAGGTGTCTGTTAACCAGCCGGAGCGAATGGACTCAATGTCGAAGGGCTCGATATCGAGGCGTTCGAGACCGGCTCGGTCTTGGTCCATGCGGTAGTATTTTTCGCCTGACATTGTGACAAATAGTATATACTTGTAGTGGGTGCAATGTATGAAAATGGATGAAAATAAGATGTGAGCTCTGTGGTCTTTAACTCGGATCATAGGCACACTTCAACGAGCGGATCTAACAAGGACAAGTTCCAGGGAAGATCTCGATGAGAGCATTATGTGCTTTATAAAAAGGACCGGGGATTCGACAAAAAAAATCTTTTCACAACAAAGACAATTTCCTTTTAACACGGTGGCTGAACAAGATATATGAGGTCGTTGTCACTTCGTTGCTTGAACAAAGAAATCTGAGAGCACCGCTTCATTGAGTCTCGGCTAGATGAAGGAAAAATCAATTCTTAAACTTCATTTGAAACGCGGAATTGAGTTCAAAATGCGTAAAGGAGAAGGGGAGATGGGAATGAAGAGTTGTTTACAGACCCTGGCAGTTGTGAGGGGATCTGCAATTCAGGGGCTTAGCCGAGATGGAGTTCCGATAAGCCCCTCTCTTCGGACTTCACCCCTTATCCCGAAGCATGATGGTGTTGACCGTTAAGCCTACAATTGTCCACGAGCGAGGACGTTTGCATAGATACTGGGATTCAGGAACACGCCGGGGAAATGTGTGGATCCGGTAGGACGACGTTGTCTCGCAATATTTCCTCTCAGATTTAGACATTTCTATTCTTTAATATCTTTTGATTCCGTCCGATCTAGTCAGTACATCTATACTCTTGCTGCACTTATTCCATTCTATATTGTCAACATGGTAGTCACGGACCCAAGATATGAGCTACCTCGCGACCTTGAAGGTACACTTCCCTTCCAAAATCCCTCCCCTCAGAATACAAACTAACTCACCAGGCTACGGCGAGCATTCACTCAACCCCCAATGGCCCAACAACGCCAAAATTTGCCTTTCATTCCTCCTAAACTACGAAGAAGGTGGTGAGCGCACTGTCCTAAACGGCGACGCTCATTCTGAGCCCTACCTCTGGGAGAAAGGCGCCTCATCAACCTTCGTAACCGGCGCACGTCACATCTCCGCAGAATCGGAATACGAATATGGCTCTCGCGCCGGAGCGTGGCGTCTCTTGCGGCTTTTCAAAGAAATGGGGTGGAAGTTCACGAGTTGGGCTGTTGCGCAGGCGATGGAGAAGAATCCCAGTTTTGCGAAGGCGTGCGTGAGGGATGGGCACGAAATTGCCGCGCATGGACTGAGGTGGCTTGATATCGGGGAAATGAGCATGGAGGAGGAAAGAGGATATATTAGAGAGAATGCACTGAGTTTGGAGAGGACGACTGGGGTATTCCCGAAGGGGTATTTTTATGGAAGGGCGAGTCCCAATATTCGGGGTCTGTATCCTGAAGTCATGAAGGAGATGGGGAAGAAGTTGCTGTATTCGAGTGAGAGTTGTTTTAATGATGATGTGCCGTATTGGATGGACTTGCCGTGGGAGAATGACTTGAAGGATGAAGAGAAAGAGGGTTTGTTGGTCATTCCGTACAACTATGATTGCAATGGTAAGAAAGTTCACAGTGCCCTGGAGCAGTTACTGAAATAAATCTAGATGGAAAGTTTTACATGTCACCTGGCTTCACCGGAACGACCTACCTCGATTACCTGAAGGGAACTTTTGACATGTTGTACCGAGAGGGCTGCAACGGAAGCCCAAAATTGATGAATATTCCGATGCATTCGAGGATTATGGGCAAGCCAGGAAGGAGTGAAGATTTACGAAAGTTCATTTTGTATGTGAAGGAGACAGGTGGCGACGATGTATGGGTTGCGAAAAGAGAAGAGATTGCAGAACACTTCAAGAGCAAGTTCCCATACATGCCAAGGCACCTTGCACCTGGTCATCCGTTTAGTCTGGGGAAGTGAAAACCGCCATTTCGTTCTAGTTATCGTCGGACAACAAACACAGTTCACATTGTAAAGACAGATTCTGCTCTAGACAACAGCCTTAATAACTCTCAATCGTGAGGAATCTCCTAAAAGTGAAGAGTGCTTCAGGTTGCCGTATGCATCGAAATAAGACAGTGCCGTATCTTGCTCACCAGCCAAAAGTCCATCTCAATCCCGTCTTATGAAGCGAACACCTAACGATATCTTTCCCTCCAGCCACCGGAGATATCATAGTCGCTGGAGTGCAATTTGGGCTAGGGTATGAGATAGGAGATTCTAGAGAAGGTCAACACCACACCCACGGTCCATTTCAATCTTGGTTTCTCGGTATTCAAGATGTTCAAATTGAGAATTGCTGTCGCAGCCAATATCGCTCTCGTCTCAACATCCCCAAGAATACAGCCACTCCGTCAACAAATCTCTCTCACAATCCAGCTTCCAATTAACAACCCCAAACCTTCGCCCTCCAATCAGGGGCGTATCCAGCGGCAAAGCTGCCTTCGAAGCCGCTGTACCAATACTTGACCACTCCAGTTTTCAGGTTGAAAGAAGCTGAATAGCCCTCAATGCAGGTCATTGGCACGTCCACATCAGGGACCGTGAAGATGCGCCAAATCCCGTAATAACAATGTCCCTTTTCATGAATTATTGCGCATTTCTGGTTGCCGTTGTCGGTCAGAGCCGCACTGAGTGGGCAGTCTGTATTGCAGTTCAATAGAGTACGTCATTGTTGGAGGAGCATACGAAGGGAACTAACCAGGGTACCATGGCCAATCGATATTGGCCGAGAAATCAACGCAGGCGAGGGCACGTGAGGTCATCGCCAGGATGGAAAGGAGAGATGATTTAGAGAAATGCATTCTGATTGGTTCGATTGCGTTGTGGTGGTATGGTTGATAGTGTGGCTTGGAAGGAGGCCGACCAGGTTCAGGCACGTTTTATTTAAGTCTTAGAAAAGGGGCCAGAAACGTGGAATCCTTGTGCATAGGTTCAATTGACAGACCTATTGAGTAGAATAAGACTAGGTTCAAACCTCTTGACCGTTAACAGATTTCAAATAGGAAATAGGAAATGGTAGGGCTGAAATATTGCTTTCACTTGTCAAAGGTGTCACTAACCCACCTCTCGCTGTGCGTCACGAGAAGTCAGAAAAACAAACGGATAGGTCATAGTAGATTGATAAAGGCCCTCCTGATCCCATCCAAGGAGGTCAGGCCGAGCACTGTTCAACCATTCACGAACTCGTGCTACGTTGCGCGACTTCGAATTTCCCACACATTACTTAGTTTCGCCACCCTTGCTTGATGCAGATGGTCACGCAAGTTACACCACTTTCGGGAACCCGCTGCTCAACAAACAAACCCCACTACTGGTTGAATTTTCTTCCGTGTTAAACAAGGCTCGAAACTAGAAGAGAAGGAACAATAATCTCAAGTTTTGAACTCCTGGCCGCAAACATGAGACATCATCCCATTGTGTTCCTCACTCGAGAACATCCACCAGTCACAAGTCAAGGTCAAGCAAGGCACAGCAGAATCAAGTCGCAAGGCACGAGGAGAAATGGACAAGTAAATCTCTATCGAAACCGGGTATGCATTGGCTCTCCGTTCTTTCTTATGCTTTTATTTTACACATTCGCAACCCCGCACGCCAGCAGAGAGAAAAAAAAAGTCGAAATTTCAAAGAACACCAAATGCTCTCCCTCCACTGGATATTACACCTCTATTTACCTTGACGGATGCAAAAACTGAAGAGCCAGGAGAAAGGGAGACTACAACTCGTCGTGAGTATCAGGCTCATCGTCCTCAGCGCCGCCCGGGCCACCGGCTCCAGCGTAAAGCTTGGAGGTGATGGGGTATGCGACGTTGGACAGCTTCTCCTTTTGCTCCTCGAAGTCTTCGGCGGTGGCTGAGGCGGCGTTCTCTTCGAGCCAGTCGGTTGTTTCCTTGACGGCTTCGAGGATCTATTCAAAGATTAGTTTAAACTCAATTTTCGATTGTTGAAGTGGGGGGAACTCACAGTCTCCTTGTCGTCCTCATCAATCTTGCCGCCGAGGCCTTCCTCATCATTGACCTGGTTCTTCAGGCTGAAAGCGTAGTTCTCAAGACCATTTCGGGCCTCAATGCGCTCCTTCGTCGCCTTGTCCTCATCAGCGTACTTCTCGGCTTCTTGAACCATGCGGTCGATCTCCTCTTGTGTGAGACGTCCCTTGTCGTTGGTAATGGTGATGGATTCGGACTTTCCGGTGCCCTTGTCACCAGCGGTAACCTTCAAGATTCCGTTTGCGTCAAGCTCGAAGGAGACTTCGATTTGCGGGACGCCACGAGGCGCGGGTGGGATACCGGTGAGCTCGAACTTGCCGAGGAGGTTGTTGTCCTTGGTCATTGTACGTTCTCCCTCAAAGACCTGGATTAGGACTACGGGCTGGTTGTCGGCGGCTGTGGAGAAGATTTGGGACTTGCGGGTTGGGATGACGGTGTTGCGGGGGATGAGCTTGGTCATGACGCCGCCAGTGGTTTCGATACCGAGAGTGAGTGGGTTAACGTCCATGAGAACGACATCTTCAGTTCCTTCCTCACCAGAGAGGACACCACCTTGGACAGCGGCACCGAAGGCGACGGCCTCATCGGGGTTGATACCCTTCGATGCCTTCTTGCCTCCGAAGTACTCCTCAATGAGCTCCACAACCTTGGGGATACGGGTGGAACCACCGACCAAGACGATGTCGTCAACCTCGGTCTTCTTGACCTTGGCGTCCTTGAGAACCTGCTCGACAGGCTTGAGAGTCTTCCTGAAGAGATCAATGTTCAATTCCTCGAACTTGGCGCGAGTGAGAGTTTCAGAGAAGTCATTGCCATTGTGGAAAGCCTCGATTTCGATACGGGTGGTCTTTTGGGAAGAGAGAGTTCGCTTGGCCTTCTCAGCTTCGCGCTTCAGCTTGCCCATGGTCTTGAGGTCGGTGGTGATATCGACATTGTTCTCCTTGTTGTACTTCTTGGCGAAGTAGTTGATGACTCGCTGATCGAAATCTTCCCCTCCCAAATGGGTGTCACCAGCGGTAGAAAGGACCTCGAATACACCACGGTCGATGGAGAGGAGAGACACATCGAAGGTTCCTCCACCGAGATCGTAGACAATGATTTGTCGCTCTCCCTCAGTCTTGTCGAGACCGTAGGCAATAGCTGCTGCGGTGGGTTCGTTGACAATGCGGAGGACGTTCAAGCCGGCGATGATACCAGCGTCCTTTGTAGCTTGTCTCTGGTTGTCATTGAAGTAGGCGGGGACAGTAACAACTGCGTGGGTAACCTTGTTTCCAAGATATGACTCTGCGACCTCCTTCATCTTTCCAAGAATCATGGCCGAGATCTCTTCGGGTGTGAAGGTCTTGGGGGATCCATTGACATTAACCTTGACGTTTGGCTTGCCATCTTTCTCGACGACATCGAAGGGGAAGTGCTTCATGTCACCTTGGACATCCTTATCCGAGAACTTGCGACCGATCATACGCCTGCGAGCAAACACCTGTCAGTTCCGGAAGAGGACACCGTTGCGACAAGGGGCAGGCACTCACTTGATATCAAAGATGGTATTTTTGGGGTTCGCAGCAGCCTGGTTCTTTGCTGCGTCTCCTACTAATCGCTCCTCGTCGGTAAAGGCCACGTATGAGGGTGTTATTCGGTGTCCCTGGTCATTCACGAGGATCTCGACTTTGCCCTTCTGCATTACACCAACACAGGAGTATGTGGTTCCCAGATCGATACCGATGACTGTCGCAGAGTATACGTTAGTAATGCTCTTGGGTACCGCTCAACTTTGCAGCTGCAGTGCAGACATACCAGTGCCATATTGCTCTTGTTCTTGTAATGGCTCTTGATCACTCTGTGCGTGTGCTGTACTCAGGAACCCCACGGAGAACAGAAGAACGAAGAAGGCAAGAATAGAGAAGCCCAAGAGGGACGTCTGTTGTGATCTCGCCATAGTGGTAGTCGTATTCTCTTGTGTCCTTGAGAATGCGGATGTGGTGTGTATGAAGTGGGAGCGAAGGAGAGGAGGAGTGTTCGAGGAATAAATATTTCTTCGGCTCCCCCAGACTTTATCAGGACACAGCTCCACGCGAAATCTGTAATCTGTTCAAATCAATGGTGGCGCTAATTGGCTCGCTTCGGGCTAGCTATGGGACACTCTGTCCTTGTTCCAGCCTCAAGCTAAAAATCGTCCGAAGGAAGGACACGAAGGTGAAGGACACCTGTCATACAGTAGCAAGAGGTGGCCCCTATTGCATAGTCATGCATGAACTCTAATTTGAGGATTCATTCAGAGGCCAACATCCGGATCATTGAGATTTTCCGTCGAATCTGGCCGCAGGTGGTGCTGGAACAGGGGATGCTGACCTTAACCGCCTAAGGTCACGTGAGTGGCGAGTGAAAACGGGCTGTCTATTTTGGGGACTCCAATATTTCTTTGCTGACTGTGCGTACTTTAATCTGGTTAGTGAACGTTTCTAGCGAATCTCACTAGAATCCAATGGAAATCGTCTGGCCCTTGATGAGAAGTTCGGATTCATTGCAAGTTGGATTTCAAATTCGGACTGACAAGTGTCAAGATCCCATTTCCGCCATGCACATTTCATGGTTCTGGCTTTTGGAAGATTCAGAGTGTTTTTTATGTTAATGTCCTTATTCATGCTCGGTATTTCACATAGATCTCCAGTGAAAATGATGCGGTCCCAGTGAATTAATTCAAAGCTCGGAGGAGAAACAAACTTCTCTCGCAAGGGGGGCTTGTGACAATGAACAGCACACAATTAGGTCAAGGAGTCTTCCTGACCCTGTGTTTCAATACCCAGTCAAGTTAATACTACTTGCAGATGCTTCTATGATCGATCTCGCGGGTTCGTCCATCTCCAATGCTTAGAACCAATTTCCGTAGCCATAAATCCTCCTCCCTGGCTAAGTTCAATCATCAAGCCCCTGTAGATATACAGAAAAACTACGTTCAGCCTATCTTCAAGACGGCCATACCTCTACTCAAGTCTGTCCCTTGCTCCAAAGAACAACGGAATGCCATATTACTATCTATGTACACCAGCACTCGGAATCATCGCGCAGTTCTCATGAACGTTAAAGACGGGACTTGAATCGTGACATGAAGGCCCACCTCAATCAATGAGCAGCACCAGCAACATGCCAGACAGGATTCTTTTATTCTTTCGTTCTATTTTGTGAGCTCTTGCTCCTCTCACTACTCGCCATACCCCTACTCCAACAACCCAGCAGCGACCGTCTCCCCACCACTCCTAAGCACCACCCTACCGGGTGCCTCAAGCGGCACACCCCTCTCAAGCTCAACCTTCACCCTCGCCAGCTGCCCGGGCTTCACAACCCTAACCTTCTTCTTCCCGCCCACCACTTCCCCAGTCCCTTTATCTAACACCCCCAAAATCCCTACAATCCTGCCCGCAACACTCAACCTCCCTCTAATAACCTCCACAGACATAGGAACAAGCACCTCAAACGCAAGCACTTTACACACCAACTCTTTAACATTCCGTATCGGACTTGCAGGGCTGCTTACTACGTCGCCGACTTTGACGTACTGTTCTTCGATCCCGCTTAAATGTATGACGACATTTTGGCCTGCGACCGCCCAGTCCACGGCTGCGTTATCGATTTCAAGAGCTTTGATAAAGCACTTTTGGGAAGCTGGTTGGATGAGCAAAGCGTCTCCGTTTTGTAAACTCCCAGCCTCAATCCGGCCGGAGATGGAAAGCGGGTTTTGGATTCCGCCTCTAAAGACGTCGGATATCGTAAGCCGTAGAGGTTTCGTCAGCGCTCTATGGACGGGTTCGGAATTATCCAATTCTTCAACCAGGGTCGGTCCCGTATACCACTTTGCAGCCTCCTCCGTGGAGCGTCTGGCGATGAAATCACCATGTAAACCAGAACAAGGTATAAAGGCGAGATTCTTCGCCAGAAAGCCGGCCGTGGTAAGGAAACTCGAGATCTGAGTTCTTATCTCATCAAACCGTTCCTGAGACCAAGAGACTGTGTCGAGTTTGTTGATAGCAGTAATAATGCGCTGTACGCCCATGCTTCGTACGAGAAGCGCGTGTTCCTTCGTCTGTCCTTTAAGGCCTGACTCGAAAGAGCCGGTGCTGGCGTCTATGACCAGGACCGCGAAATCCGCTTGCGAGGCGCCAGCTATCATGTTCGGGATGAAGTCTCTGTGTCCCGGTGCATCGAGGATCGTGAATGCCGTTTTTGCAGTCTCGAATTTGTTGGTTGCGATGTCGATCGTCACACCCCTAGCTCGTTCCTCGCTCCCCTGATCTAACACCCATGCTAGAGCAAATGATGACTTGCCCATTTTCTCTGCTTCTCTTTTGTAGCGATCGATGGTTCGCTGGTCTACGACTTTTAGATCGTATAATAATCGACCCATTAACGTGCTCTTCCCTGCGTCCACATGGCCTATCCAATCAGTCAAACCCTTGATTCGAGACAGGGAAAGGGGAGCATACCAATAACCACAAAATTTGCCGCATTTTTCGTCTCCGCCTTCTCAAACTCCGCAAGAACGTCTAGATTCTTACTCCTCGCCCTCGGCGTGTCATCCATCTTCAACGCCTCCACGCCATTCGCAATCTGCTCCGCCCTCTTCTCTCCATTAGTCTTCGGCGGGCCCTTGCCACCCTTTCCACTCGCTGCTAAATATTAGTATCTATCATATCATACCAGATCACTTCTTAGAGCGAGAGGAGGCGGGAATCGTCGAACCTTTCGACTGCGCGGCCATGACCACGTCATCTGGACTAGGTCCTGCGAACGGGTCAGTGTTTGCAATAGGCGTTGCATTGTATGGAAGTGTGAAGAAGCTGTCTGGCTGCTGGGCGGGTTTGGGGGGTGTGCTGAACATGGTGTTTGCGAAGGCGGAGGGCTCGGCTTGGTCTGGTGGTGGGGTTTCCATGGGAGAGTCTTGGCTTTCTGCCTTTGAGGATTCTCGCTTGACAGGTGTTGGAGCCTTTTCATGGGGGTTTGAGTCTTTTCGCTTTCGTTGGGGAAATCCTCGTGACGAGGATCCAGCCTTTGGCTCTCTGGATTTGGATGAGTCGAGCGTGAGATTCGCCATGGGTGCTTCGACAAGAGTGCTTCCACTCGATTTCTGTTCTTGGGCTTTCTTCTTCCTTGCCGCAGCCAAAACCTGCAATTTTGACATCTTCGGTACTCCATCCGGAGAACCACCAAGTAGTCCACCACGAGGATACAAAGGCGCGATGAAGGTAGCTTGTCGACCCAGCGGTATATTGAGCCACGGCATATCCCCGAAGAAGTCCTTGACAGAAAACGGGTTCGAGCATTCATCGTTTCGAGACCCTACACACAGCCCGTCAGCACATTCCTCTTAAATCTAAGTCTAGGAGAAAATACGAAAGGCAACCCACCTCGCGCACCCCTGTCCTCGACCTCTGCCCCTCCATCCTCAAACCCAGCAGGGGTATACGAAAAATAAATCAACCCACCTTGTACGTTCCCCTTAACCTTAACATTCTCCTTTTTTGCCATCTTCAATTTCGGCGTATGCTTACTCACAAGATACGCAACGCTCTTCTCAACATCGTAGTAGTAGTGCCACAACGGCTCCTGTATCTCTTTATCCGTTACATATGCCGCAGTGGGGGGGAGGGCTTCGCGGACTGCGATCGTGCCGAGGCGCATTTGTTCTGCTGGATATCAGCCTCCGTTTCCAATTCTCGGGCTCCAACTGCAGTCTGGGACAATGGCCGGGCTCGAGGAGGGAGGGGTCGGGATGAGGGGCAGACCTTGGTCCTCTTCACTCAACTCTGCAGACAAGATATCAGCTGGCTTTCTTTTAGGTTGATACGAGACAGAGGAGACCGACCTTCACCACCAGCACCATCATCATAGTTCCCCCCACCATCAAAATCATCCAGCTCGTCGTCAAGATCCAAGTTCTTGACTAGTTTGTGTCTAGACATTTTGCCCGCTTTCACTTTCTTTCGAAAAAGGGATAAGCTAGTGCACTTGCTCAAGTAAGCAGAAAGTAGGAGCTTTATCTTGGTCGGGGAGAGGGGTGGTGTATGTGGTCAGTAGTGGGGGAGGGGTTGTTGAAATTCAGGGTCGAGTCGAATCGTCATTCCGCCAGTGCGGGATCTACAAATAGAGTTTGGCCAATCAGCTGTCGTTTGTCATCTGGTCACGTGCAGAGCAGAATTCACATTTCTCTTCCTCGGAACCTCAATAGAGCTGGTTCAATAGATAGTGCATTTGGAAGTCCCTATCTAACTAATGCACCGTTCATTCATGTGAGCCAAATACACAGAGCAGAAGAAGCTCTAGATCCACCGTTCCAGAATTGAGGGTTATACAATTTGCTGCTGCCCCCAACGCCACGCTCCATGCCTAAAGACATTAAAGATCAATTAGACTTTCTTCCACCTTCACCTGAGGGGTATGATGAGGTGCCGAAGGAAAGGCATCCTGTGTGTAACCGGCATATGTTTGTGCAGGCGCTTGCCACTGTTGTTGCGGTGTTTGTTGTGGTGGCCAATACGACGGTTGTTGCGGCTGCTGAGGTGGAGCTTGTTGTATCGGTGGAGCTTGCTGTATCGGTGGAGCTTGCTGGGGCGGGGGAGCCTGTTGCTGAGGCGGAGGCGCGTATCGCTCTTGAGGTTTCTGTGGTTGTCGGGCGTATAATAGGGGCGAGACGGGTTGTGGGATCGAAGTGTGATATTGCTGAGGTGATTGATGAGTGGGAGGGTACTTCTGAGAATTTGATTCAGGAGCTTGCTGTATCTGTGGACCCGGCGCTGCATTCTTGTAATAAAACGCTGCATTTGGATCTGCATTTGGCGTCATGGCCGGCTCTGAAGGGCCATAGTTCGTCGGAGGTTGAGAGGGGGCATTCATGGGAGGAGGTGCTTGCTGTTGGGGATTGACAGGCGCAGGTGCTTGTTGTTGCGGCGTTGGGGTATTCTCTTGTGAGTAGTTTGAAGCTTGGGGAGCGTACTGGGCAGATGCTGGGTCAGGGGTTTGCCAGCTTACAGTGCGTTGGACTTGTGGAGACTTCTGTTGCGTTGCCTGTTGGGGTGGGTATTGGTTGAATGGCTCGCTACGCTGTTCGTGGGCAGGAAACCCCGGGCCGGCCATAGAAGCCCTCCTATCGTATTGTTGGTACTGTTGTGGAGGGGCACCATAGGCGGCATAAGTAGATTGTGGCCGGCCGTAAGCTTCTTGTTGGCTGTTGCCAGTATAGAAGCTCTCAGCTGTACCAGCTCCAGCCGGGACATTGGCCGAAATTGATGGATACATTGTCGACGCTTGTCTCTGTGGGGGGAGATTATAGCCACCAATGGTATGTTGGCTGTAGGTATTTGAAAGCCGCTCCTCCAGCATACGGTCATAGTATCGTACAACAGTCGAGAGCTTGGCGTGGAGATCAAGAAGGGCATCTATACCTGTCAGGGGGCATCCAAAATGCATATTTGGGAAGCTTACCATGCTTGCTCATCGTCTCACCATAAGTTCGGGCTAATTTCGGTCGGAGCTTGTTTATACTTTCGTACAGTTCCTGGATTTGCGGTTCTCGTAGAATAGTGCCGGGAGGTTGGGTTTGTAACCTGTCGACCAATGTCGAGAATAGGTTGATGTTCTCTGCCTCAACAGGAGTGAGCTCATAGTCGTTCTTGGGCAATACGAATGTGCCTGAACTCTTGGTGCCAGCCTGCTCCTTAATTGTTGCTGCATGCTTCTTTTTCTGCTCCTCCATATCTGCCAGAGATGCCGCAATAGCTGCTTTTAGGTCCTCATCTTCCTCTTCCGCAGGCTTACTGGCCGGAGGCTTAGACGTGCCATTGGTCGCAGGTTTCAGTGATTGAATCTTGGCTTGTGGAACGTAGCCAGCGCCAGAATGGCCATTAACCTCCTCCAAACTCATCGCAAGAGCTTTCTTCAGATCTTCATCGAACCCATCATCTACTCGGGCACTTCGTGGCTGCATCGAAGAATGATGCTTATGCTTATGTGTAGGCGATTGTTCATTAGCGAAAGATCCGCCGCCCTTAGATGACTTGTCCGTCAATTTGATATAGCAGCCATCGTCAACCCGGACCGGCGTGAGAATGCCCAGGTGGGGAAGAGGGAGGACTTTGCTCGAGCATTGTTGGTCGAATACGTTGCCGCAATTTCGACAGTGGTGCTTGCGATTCGTGAAGCTGAAGGCAGTTCTACATCGCATGCAAACATCGGAGTCAGTCCATTCCGGGGGCTATAGACTGTCAGTATGCAGGCGCCCCCCTTCGACTCTTTTAATACATACCGCACTACTGTCCAGCATGCTCTTGGCAACGTCGACCTTGGGTGGGAAATGGAAGCCGTCCCGCTGTAAGCTCTTGTACGTCTCACCAATGTACGAGAGCTCGTATCGCCCTTCTGACGCCGTTGCCCAGGTCTGAATTAATTCCAATATCTTCGCTTTCACCTCCTCGTTTACTGCGGCGCCTCCATATGCCTTGAGCAGAGAGACCAGGTTGTCCATAAATTCGCGAGAGGCGATTTCGACCAGGAAATGCGACCCGCCATTCTTTACACACGTATCCGTAAGCTGCACATCGAATCAGTATTCAACTTTAAATGCCTAGGGCCACGGGACTGACGTTGAGCGCGCTGATCTGCGTGTTGGGATTCTTGTTGCCTATGCGTCGTTTGAGGGAGCGCATGGCATCCTTCGAGGGGACAGCCTTCGAGCGTATGACATCGGAAATCTCGAGGTTGAGGGAAATATCCTCTCTGGGAGAAATTAGGGCATTATTCTCGGTGTAGAGGTCTGCGGTAGCTTACAGTGAGCTCGACGTCGCCCGGTCAATCTGCTCATCGATCTGGGTGGTGGATGCGAACCAGCCTGCCATCATGCCGGGGGGCGCAGGTCGCGGAGTTGCAGTGGGAGCTGTCGTTCTTTTTGAAAGTCGTCTCGTTCTACTATCTGCGGTGTATTCAGATCGGCTGTGGTGTTGTAGAAAGGTGGATGATGGGGCGAAGTTGAGGGTGAATAATAGGCATCGAGCTGTGGACCTCCAAGCTGCTGTGGTTCTGACCGTGTTCTGCCCTGTCTGTTCTGTTACTAGTGCTTAAATCCCGAGTGCAGCGAGAGACGCGGCGTTTGGCTCGCTTACTGGCGCCCCCCAGTCCGAATGACGATGCAGCCGCGAACCAAGCAAGTGCTGCGGCGAAATTCAGGCTCCGGCTGAAGTGTGGTTTGGTTGGCCTTATTCGCTCGTCTCACCAACGTCGAAAACATCAAGAATGCGAATATCTCCATCTCCAAGAATGAGCGTGGCGCCCACCACTGCCCGCCCACAGCAATAAGGACAAGGACAGGGACAAGGACAACACCCCTCGCCCCAGATTCCTCCCGTGGAACCTGCTGCTCTCCCATCTTCATGACTCTATTTGTGCCCAAGCAAGGACAGGCCCAGCGAGTCTTTGAGAAGAGAGCTTGGACGCGCAGCAAAGACCGAGACGACGACCTCGCTCTTTGATCTGCAGACATCGCACACGATTCAACCGCACGAACAATTGCCACTCTCCCTTGCCTCGTCCCACACAGATCTACCCCTCGATTTCTGCCTCGACATGCTCCACCGACGTGCCCTACACCCATCGACATGAGTCCCGTCGCATCGAACGGCCCTCCCCACTCGCGGGGCTCTTCGATCAATGGAGGGGTTCCTGTCAATGCTGCGAATGGCGTGAGGGCCAACGGAATGGATGGGATGAAGGGTGCGAACCGGGTCTTCTCCCATTTGGACGACCTGTTGACGGCGAGACCGAACGTGGACATGAATTGGCCACTGCGACGGCTGCTCCAGGAAGGAGACCTGCTCGCCAAGCAAGCAGACACACACCTGGACTTCAAACGGCCTGATGTGGCTTTGCAGGAGTACATCAAGGCCTCAATACTTGCCGTGGAAATAATTCCCCGCCACAAGGACTACCCCTCCCTCCACACGGATCGGGGTGAGTTGTATCGTCTCTACGACCGCTTGAAAAAACGCATTAGTACCCAACACGAGAAATTTGCAGAGGTCAAACAAGCCATCAAGGAAAACAATATTAGGAGCGGTGTGAAGTCAACATTGCATTCGAGCTCGGAAAGAACAGAGGTGAACGGAGGCAAGAACGGGCATGAGCGGGCACAATCAACTCAGAATCCAGCAATGAACGGTTCTGCTTCGAATGGAACACCCTCTCGGAAAAAACCACCTGTACAACCGAAGCCAGAGGCTCTCCACGGGAATGCAATCCATCCCACCAGCGGAGGCAGCGTTCCACCTACCGATTTGGCTGCTCGTTTTGCAAACCTTCGCACCCCCGAGCCAAAACAAGATCCTCGAATTAGAACCCAGCCGATTTCAATCCCTGGTCTAGCAGGACCAACCACGAGTCCAACGCAGACGGGGAATCATACGACGAACAAACCAACTGGCCTACATGATTTTCCATCCGTTCCTAGGACCTTGCCACGATCGACTCCACTGCCACTCGATATCGGCATACCCTCGATGCCAAAACCCCCAGCGGCTGTCTATGATAGCCCTATACGCGGCCCAGAGACAGCTTCCGCCAATCTTCTCTCGAGCCGTAGCTCATCCTATAGAAATAGCGCGAGAGAAAATGCTGCCCCTCCTATATCGACAGTTGGACCAACACCGACATTAGTAGATGATCGGTCAGACTATTTTGCCCAGCCAGCGCATACTTCCGGCGACGATGGCTATGCTCGGAAACAGCAGAAACGAGCCCCCGTCTTATCAGACTCTCCCACCGTCTCAGCAGAAGAACTTGTGGATTTGCTAGCACAGAGCTCACAATCTTTCCGCATCCTACTTGTTGATCTTCGAAGCCGGGAAGAATTCGATAATGGTCACATCCTGTCGCAATTCATTATTTGTGTGGAGCCGATTACTCTGAAGCATGGAATCTCGGGTGAACAGCTAGCACAAAGTATGGTGATTGCACCAGATCTCGAGCAAAGTCTGTACGACCAGAGAAATGAGTTCGACCTGCTTGTATTCTATGATCAATCATCCGACTCACTAAAGTCTTCGAACTCCGGGGACAGCGAAACACAGAGTACTTTAAACAATTTTGTTGCTGCGGTCTTCGAGTACGGATACGATAAAAGAACGAAACGATGTCCTAAACTCCTCTCTGGTGGGGTCGATGCTTGGGTAGACTTTCTGGGCCCCAATTCGCTGAAGACCTCTCTCAATGGCGCAACCCTGGATGCTGCCCGAAATGGGTTGAAGCCAGGCCGTCCTCTGAGCCGAACCTCAATGGCTCGCGCACGGAATCTTCCAATAAAGCGACGAAGAACGTATTCCTCCCGCCCCTTGACCAAAGAAGAAGAGCACAAATGGGATAGTGCACTTAAGGAAGAGAGCGCTACCCGAAGTCCTACAACGCCTGATGGTTCACAAACTGAGGATCTGGTCTACGCAAGAACTACCGAAGACTTTTTCCGTCGATACCCAGAATTACCCGCCATCCAAGAATCCATGGTTAAGCCTATATCCGACTCAACTGCACCGCAGACCTATCAAGACGAATTTGCCAGCAGCGTTCCTAGGCCTCCAGCACGCCCAGCTCCTGCTCTTCCAAGACAGCGATCAAGTGGAATTTCGGAGCGAGGTCCCATAACCCAATATGCACACACTACCGGCGACTCGATCACAAAGTACCGTGTGACTCCAGGCCTTACCGGTCTTCAGAATCCGAACAATCTTTGCTATATGAATTCAGCGATTCAAGCGTTGAGTGCCACGCCTTTCCTACGGGACCTCCTGTTGAATCACCAGTACCCTCCGACAATACCGATTCCAAGGAAGGAAAGCGAGTCAAGTGACCCACCGCAATTGATGGTGAGAAGCCTTGGCAACCTACTGGGCCATATATGGAGCGGTCAATATGATTACGTGACGCCCCATACCTTAAGGGTAAGACAAAATGCTTTCACGTTCAGACCATTGTACTAAGTCGTGGTAGAAATATGTGAATTCAATACATGCGGGGAGACAAACCGACTCCAGAGTACGAGACAGAGCATTTGGTGGTCCTGCCAGACAACATGACTCAATGGAATTCTTCCATTTCCTGATAGATATTCTTATGGATGAGATGAACCCCCGGCGGAACATCAAAGAATGGGCATTGGACTCCCCGATGGAGATCAAAAACTTTAACTCAATACCTTCCACCCTTTGGGCTACCAATCAGTTTCGGAAGAATTGGATGTACAACAAAGGCTCTGACCTGGCCGACAAAACTGATCTCATGGAGATGTCACTCTTCAAGTGCGAGAACTGCGGGGCCGAACGCAGAAACTGGCAGAACAACCCCCTAAAACTTGTTTTCGTAAAGAAACACCCCGAAAGGCAAAATCTCGCTAATGCCCTAGCTCAGGATATGGGTCCTAAAACGGAGGAGGACGTCGAATTTGGATGCGAGTCTTGTGGTAAGGTGAACGCAGACGGCTCGGCCGTCGTACAAGGGAGAGCAAAGGCCTGGAGATACCAAGTCTGGCTTCCCGACTTTCTCTGGATCAACCTCAACCGCTACACCAGCGAGATGGAGAAAGTCAACACCGTCTTCACCTTCCCGGAATACGGAGTTGATCTTAGCGCCACATTTGCGCCCAACAACCCGCCCTCACCTCATCCTCTGCCGCGCCAGCAAACGGGCCCGTTCTTGTACGATGTCTATGCTGTGATTCAGCATGGCGGAGGCTCGATTGCCCATGGCCATTACTGGACCATACAGAAGAATTTTGATAAGCCGAAGAATGGCGGCAGTGGCGCGGGCGCGTGGCATAAGTTCAACGATTCCGTTGTCACGCCGGCCAGGTTTTCGGATACACAGTCGATGAATACGAGCGCTATCTTCCTGGTGAGGCAGGGGAGTTATACGCCTGTGTTGTGAGGGCTCCGCAGTCAATCCGGAAATGAACGGCCTAAGCATGGGGTCAGATACGAATTGGTGATTTATTTGGTGTTTGGTGTTTGGTGTTTGGTGATAGAGTGGGCGTTTTCCGCATTTGGTCGTAAACGAAGCATTGACGGACAGCGGAGCAGCATTGCAATATGATTGGAGTATACTAATACGCATCAGTCCTGGATATCGTGGAATTTGAGGAGGAGTTGAGCATGCCGAGGTCGCCATCGTCGTTCGTGATGTCGCTGTGTGTGTGTGCAGTGAATTTGCCTCTATTTGAAGTAAAATTAGCATGTTGTGGTACGACATTGTGATAGTTTGATCGAGAGAAGTTTTGAAGATATCCTCCTTGCAGACACTTCAGATTGTTCTAGCGATGCAGACCCGAAAGTTGTGGCACGAACTTTCACGTTAAATGAATTTGCATTGAAAATTTGCATATTTGTTTGCTCGTCGTTTCCGGCTCGCTTTTCGCGTCCCTTCATTACCACACGATCCCTCACCTCCCCCTTTCTCCTTCGCTCACTCTCAACACCTACCTATTTACTTCTTACCCTCGATTTTAAGCGTCAGTTGCACACAGCAAATATATTTCATCCTCAGCTGACCTTCACAGCCCTTCTCGGCACGGTTCGAACTCCTCAGCCCCAAAACCTCTCTCCAACTATCTTGAAGACTTCATTCACCACGCATCTCGATTCCCAACCCCTACATATCTTCCTGCTATTTTCCAAGCCCGCTACTCGTTGCGCACCGAAGTCTCCTTCCCTCCACTTCACGAGTTTGTATTTTCCGCGCATGCATAGAAGCGTGCCCGGGTTGCACCCTTCAGTATTTCGAGCAAACCGTTTGCTCCGATCCGCCTCCAGTCAGCCCATTTGGAGGCCGGCTATCCAGACAAGACTGTCGAGGGGAGGTCTTTAGGGCTGGATCCGTTGGGTGGAAGGCACGAAAGCATATGATTATGATTGTGATATGTACGTTACGTGTTCGTAATGCTACGTAGTATTAAAATGTAAAATGAAATAAAATGAAAAATTTGACGGGGCAATGGTGCTGATTCCTTTGCCCCAAGATGTGGCTGACTGGTTAGCTGACTCCGCCCTGGTTTCTGACTTCTGGGAACATCGATTGCATAATTTAAGATCTGAGCCATTGTGTGATGCGTATTGCGTATCGACTCTTTTTATACAGATTATTCTTACTACGCATAGCATCTCATATTATTGGCAATACGTACTATACAGGATAATGTGTATGCACCTTTACCCTATACTGAATTCACAATGCACTGCTATTCACGTGACTATTTCCCCCAAACTCAAACCTTCAATACGAGGTTACATGCACTACAAGGTTCAAATCAAAAGCTTCTTCCAGCGGGATCTAAGATAATTGTGTAATATATACTATTTTTGCTTGATGTGTAATCAGATTTCTTATATTTCCCTGGAATAATCATGGGAAAAGTGACGTGGAGTGACTAAAACCAATATACTAGGAACCGGGCAATATTACCGTACTCGATATGTATTATAATAGCGATATTGTACATATTACGTATCAGGGAACTCATTACCTATCGCTGTAGGGCCGTATGCTATACAATGCTGAACACTGACTGGCTGGCTTCGTACTCGTAATTCGTACCCAATCACACCTCCAACTCGCTCAGCTTGCGAGAACACATCTGGCGTCACACAGGACTGAGCAGGTACGTGGAAGTGGTGTTAAGAGGCGCCTCATCCTTCCTCTAAAGCACGCTTCATTTGAAACTATACCCAACTGATCTACACAAGTAAGACTACTGTTCTATTCATATCAAAACGAGATGGCAGTATTGCACAAACTCACAAGAGTGAACATGCTTGTAAAACGCAATCCCGCGCTCAGCAGCCACAAAATCCCGAGCAAGTGGTGTGCGCTTTGAAAAAAAAAAGAAAAACAAACCTGTCCGCGCCGTTCCTGAAGCGTCTGGGTTTCAATAACTACCTCCAGGTTAGTCAGTCTGACTGAATCTCTCTCCATCTATCTCCCTCCTTCCTCAACTGTCTCCAAACTCCGTCATATGGTTGGCTGGCTCACTGGCAATGGGCCTTTTGGTCAGATTTCGCTTCTGATCACGGATACCACTGTCAGTTTTGGGGGTCCGGAGTTCGATGCGTTTGCGGACTTCCTCGCGCCCAGTTACGAGGCCTTCTTGCTGGTGTGGGAGGAGACCTTCTATAACCATACGTGGCGGTACAAGCAAGAGGAGTGGCTGATTGATCTTGATGCTACTTTGATTGTCAATGCTGGGCTTGAGGAGGTGGTTTTGTTTGGAGGGAGGGTGCGGTGTTGACGCTTTCAACTCCTCTCACAGGTGTCCTATATTAAACCAGACGTGTTATAACATCTGTACTCAGATCAGACGCTTATAGGATCCGAAACTTCTCCACATATCCCCGGGTTGTCATATAGCGCGGACCGATACAAGTTGCAAGCTGCACGTTGCGCTGTACCTCGACATCCTTATTATCCTTCTCAAACTTCCCCTCCCAACTCCCAACTCCTCTGCTCATCCGGGAAAGAACAATCAATCATTTTCCTCCTCACGATGTCCCCTTGCTCAAACAATATTGTTATACAAGGACCCCGCAAATTAGTGGTGAAGATTGCATACCTGATCCTCGCCCACTCAGGGATGTGTTCCCCAAGAGTCAGGTGCTGTTCTTCAAGCTCCATAACAGTTTGCGTGACCCCTGCGGCAAAGACTCTATCCCAGAGCCCTTTGCAGCAGGGGTTATCAATCAGCAAAGAGATGGCCTTCCTTCTGAGAGTGGGATGCTGGCATTTGCGCCGGATAACCCAGTGTTGCGTGATGACGCCCGAGTCAAAGGAGAATTTGGTCCCTATCTTCTCCGCACTCTTGGGCGGTGGAGCCTCCAGTGGTTCTTCGGAAAGATCAACCATACTCTGGCACTCCTCGTAGTAATCACCATAACCCATTTCGTCCTCCGCGCAAGTTGTTACGAGAGATATATAGACCGCCCTGATCTGCAACCCGAGAGTGTTGGCCACCTTTCTAACTTCAGGAACTTTGAGATTGAGTCATTGCTTGAGAGGTAGGAAGGCAGATAACTACTTCCCAACCCGCAGTATGAGAAGTTCTTTCCGGCAAGGATTGAGAGGGGAATTAGGGACCTGAAGACATTAGCTGGATAACTCCTCGCAGACACTGGTGCGGATTTCGGAACCGGCGATTGCCCTTTCAAAACAAACCTCGGAAAGCGCTTCAAGATCGCAATTTGGAAGACTCCAGCTTCTTCGAGTGTACTGAGTGATGTCGGAAGAGCACCGATGTCTTCTTCACCATTTCCGCTTAGCGGTGGAGAGAGTTCTGGGGTTCGACCGCCGGCGGAAGAGCGGAGCTGGACAGACAGCCCGGCGAAAACGGGGAAAGCACCGTTCAGACATCGTCTGCGCTGGCATTTGAATAGCTTGGCTTGTATTCTTGGAGGTACCCCTCATTCCACTGGTTCATCAAAGAGGTATCGATCTTGATTCGCTGGAACGCCAAGTCGCGTCGCCCATACCAGGCCTTGAAAGACAAGATTGCGAGGGAGCTCAATAGCGCCGCGCGGAGATCTTTCTTCCCAGTCTTTTGAGCGCAGTGTATCGCCTTTGTGTACTGTTTTAGAGCATGCTGATAATGTTACCCAGCCGCTGAACCCGCTCGCGGACGTTGTGGATTGTGTGCGAGGTCTGGGACGTCTTGTCTAGTGCTCCTAATGCGATGACAGCATGGAGTAGAGGGGCTTCAGTCTCGAATGCTTGTAAGGATATTAGGGGGAGGCGCCCAGTTTTTATGCTAGGAAAGACTTCGTATGTGGTGGAAGTGCTGAAGATCTCTAAATAGCGGTAGTCATCTTCATTTTTGGGACGGAATGATGCAGGGGTGTTTGAGATGAGAACCGTGTTGGATTTTGGTATGAGGACCCCGAGAGGACGACATTATTGGGATTTCTGCACTGACAGCCGGATGTACCATTTGCTACAGAAGCCCAACTTGATGCAGCGCCGACAGTTTGGCTTCTCTTCGCCGCATTTCACACATCGTTTTCTAGAGCGACTTGATCAAAATGGCTCCTGTTAAATCTTTAGATAGAAGGTGCTGGTCTCACTTGCAAGTCACACAGCCAGTCCTCGCTTTGATGTGCGTCTGCCTCTTTGAATTTGGTTCCTTCACTGAACGCTCCATCGTGCTCATGCTCAACCTCAAGCTGTGTGGCATGATGGCATCACGTTGGTCATTGGAAATAGACAGTAAGGGACATTACGAGACCTCGGGTTTGAGGTATCGGATTATATACTATCTCTGAGATGTAGAGAATCCATATAAAGTCTCCGATTATTGCTCATGAACGGGATGCAGCAAGTCACGTGCTTTCCCCAGTTTGCCACCGATCGACATACACAATTCAAGGCACAACCTAGGTATCTGGCATGAGACTTGCCATGCCTATCGCCCCAAACTTCACTTGACCTCCTTTCGTAAACGGACGAACCGGCACTCGTTTTGTGAGAGGTTTATGTCAAATACCGAATTGCAAGTGGTAGGAAGGACGTCGAGGCATATCAATCTCAATGTGAAAGGTTCAAAGTCGGCTTCGAATTGGCTAGCGAGCGAAACGAATAAAGAAGATATCTTAACAGCCGAAAATTGTTTGAGAAGTTGTCAAGAAATAGGCGAAGCACGAAGTTGAAGGACTCGGACCCCCAAGACTAGGCCCATCAGGGAAAGTTCCCTCAAGCACGTGACCAGATTCGATCCCTGTCGTCTCCACTTCCTCTCATTCAACAACAGTTCACTCCCACCATCGTCCCGAGTGCCGTCGAGTGTCACCGCACAGCTCCTGAGATGTTTGCTCTCTTCTCACTGTTGTTGGGCGTAACGCGCGGTCGTATGTGAAGTCTATCACATTGAGCTCTTGATTGCGTACGCAAATGTTTCTCAAGTCTCGTGATCGCGAACGAGGAGGCCAATTGCTTGGAGGAAGTGACGCCTCATAACCTCCACCATTATACAAGGCTGTTCTCGGGTCAGCATAAGGAGCATCTGCCCGCGTTTATTTCTGTTGATGTTTGACGCGGCTCCTGATCATTCACATCTGCCCTTGAGCGACGCGTCAACGTGGCTTTGCCAAGACATCTCGAAGATGGGCTTCGTCCTGAGGCGTTCCGTGCGCAAGGCTGGAACGCTGTTGATTTTGGACTGAAGTAACTCTTGCATATGTCAACAATGAGGCCTTTGGCCCCAGGGGTGAATTCTGGCAGCGGTAGAGATGAGGCCGCGCAAACAGCAACGACGAGGAGCAGCACCCTGCACGGGTGTTGATACCTCAGTTCACTACTTGATATCTACTCTTCTCGAATGATGCTAATCGCTGACTATTCCTTCCTGATTTCTCAAATCTCCCAGCCTCCTGCACTCATCCATCAATCATGGCAGTTAACGTTCGTCTTTTCGTGAGGCAGACATGGGCTCTGACCAAGAAGACGCTCATCATTGCCGCCGTGCGGAATTGGTTTTCAACAGCTCTGCGTGCTCTCGTCCTGCCTATTGCATTTCTAGTGCTTCTTCTCAACATCAAAAATCTCATCCTTGGCAACGGTGGATACGGCGTTGGCAGCCCGTCGCCAGTGCAGAGCCTTGCGGATGCTTTACCAGGCTCGAAAAAACTCGTCTTTGTACAGCCCCCAGGTTTAGGTCCAGATGTTGCGAGAGTGGTCGACCAAATTACCGGCACTTTGAATGGAAAACAGCTTGTTTACCTTACAGATCCGAACCTCCTCCTCACAACATGCAAGCAGAGTTTGCACGGGGATTCTGACTGTTTTGCCGCTGTGGTTTTTAACGACTCCCCCATGTCCATCGGAGGTAACTCCAAGAGAGTTTGGAGCTATACTTTGCATGCGGACAACGCAAAGAATGGCTTCAACTTCCACGTCAACCAGCGCAGTAACGACCAAGACACCGTCTTTCTGCCTCTTCAGGTAGCTCTCGAAAATGCGATGACCAATTCGACTGTCATACCCAACACTTACATGTTCACCACCATATCTCACGCACAAGAAGAGATCAACATCCGAAATCAGTATCAACGACTAGTCATTTCGACCTACAGCATCGCATTCTTCATCTCGATGCTATCTCCGATTTACCACGTTGTGAGCATGATAACAACTGAACGAGAGTCAGGGATGACCCAGTTGATCGATGCCATGGGCGGAAGTCCCCCTGCTCGTATTATGAGCTATGTTCTGGCTTTCGATGTACTGTATCTACCTTGCTGGATAATTTTTGGTATCTGTAAGTAGTCTCGTCGCATTCGTTGTCATGGTGTTCTAGCTAACCAGTAAAGTGTTTTGGGATGAATTATTTCGGACCTCCAGCGTGGCCATCTCGCTCTTCTGGCAGATTCTGGTCGGTTGGGCAATCACAAGTGCAGCCATCTTCTCTGCGATGTTCTTCAATAAAGCGCAAATGTCGGGGATCTGGAGCGCGATCGGATTCCTCGTCATAGCTCTTTGCGGACAACTCATGGACTGGGGAAGTCCAAAGACTGCAGCTGTGGCAGCCTTGTCGTTTCTCTTCCCCAGCATGAACTACGTTTTCTTCACTGGATATATGTGCCGGTACGAAGAACAAGGTCTACCCACGGACATGCTCCGAGCAGCCAAGACTACACACGATGAAGCAAGCTCGTCTCGGGTACCTGGTATCATCCTCTGGTTCTTTCTGTTGCTACAGATTGTCATCTATCCTCTCCTCGCTATCTTTGCCGAGAGGTGGACTCATGGTTCAAAGTCGAAGACCAGAACCCTGGGCACCGGCAGTGATACTTCGGTCGGCTCCCCTGCAATCGAAGCTTCTGGGCTCAGGAAGATATATCCACCAACCTTCTGGAAGAAATGGTTTACACGGCGCAAGAAGGAAGATGTGGTAGCAGTTGAGAACTTGGATCTCGTCGCCCGTAGGGGACAGATTCTGTGTCTGTTGGGAGCGAATGGAAGCGGCAAGACAACCACGCTGGATATGATTGGCGGCCTTCAACGCTTGACAAGCGGGAATATTCACATCAATGCAACACCCTCACAGATTGGTAAATAAGATCACTCCAACAGCTGAGGTGTGCTAACGCCAGTAGGTATTTGCCCTCAAAGAAACATGTTGTGGGATGAACTCACTGTGAGGGAGAACGTCCAGATTTGGAACAAAATCAAGTCTTCGACGGAAGATAGTATCGCAATGGAGAATCTAATTGAAGCCTGTGACCTTACCGCCAAGACAAATGCGAGAGCAAAGACGTTAAGCGGGGGGCAGAAACGCAAGCTCCAACTTGCATGTACGTTCATTGGAGGAAGCTCCGTTTGTCTGCTGGATGAAGTCACTTCCGGCTTGGTAATTCTGTCCCAGCACATGTCAACGCTTCTAATATAAGTAGGATCCACTGTCTCGGCGTATCATTTGGGACATTCTTCTCGCAGAGCGATCGAAAAGAACCTTGATTCTCACAACGCATTTCCTTGATGAAGCAGATGTCCTTGCTGACCAAGTCATGATTATCTCGAAAGGTCAATTGAAGTGTGAGGGGTCGACTGTTGAGTTGAAAGCCCGCCTTGGTGGGGGATACAAAGTCCATCTCGAAGGCCTCAACGAAGGGCCCGAGATGGATTTTCCAAGTCACGTTTTTCGAAACGAAACCGTCTACAGCACACCTGATTCCGCATCAGCTGCACGCCTCCTTTCAGATCTTGAAAAGAAAGAATGCGGAGAGGTCTTCGTAAATGGACCAACCATCGAAGAGGTTTTTCTCAAAGTTGCCGAAGAGCCGCATGTTGCCGTGGATGGAGAGCCCGCAGGCAAGGTGGGGACGATGACAGATGAACTTGAGCAAGCAAGGTCTAAGGTTGCTCCAGAATGGGACAGCATGTTATCTTCCGGGAGCGAAATCGGTTTCATCCGGCAAGTGCGCGTCCTCTTCCACAAACGGTGCATAATCCTGCTCCGGAACTGGTGGCCGTACCTAATTGCGCTTGCGATGCCCCTCGCAGTGACTCCAAACCTGAAGTCGTTCCTACTCTTCTACAAAATTCCATCGTGTCTTGACCTGACAGCGGATGTTCATTTCGTGGAGCAATTCAACTTCGCCTTGGGGAGCCGAGGAAAATATCCGTGGACGCATATGTTGGTTGGACCGCCCTCGATTAATACATCTCTGTACAACACAGTGAGCAACTTTCCCGTCGGAGTGGGAATCAACTTTCAGAATTACACCAATGAGTTTACGTTTGAAGATACCCTTGCCGGTTTCCAAAACTACATCATGCAAAACCAGTCGACGGTTGCTCCAGGTGCTTTGTTTATGGAGAGCAATACCAGTGCACCTACTTATGCCTATGTTGGCGACTTTGGAATCGAACCCGCGCTGTTCATGCAAAATCTCTGGACTCAAATTCGAAGTGGTGTTCAGATCGAAGGGTCTTTCTCTTTCTTCAACTCGCTCATTTCCGTTGGTCTTCCATCCCTCCACATGCATCTTGCTGACCACTGAAGCCTACCGCCGGGAACAGTCTGCAATTTCTAGCAGTGAGTTCATCGTCATATCCCTTCGACAGATGTACTAACTTAGCCCAGTATTTCTGCCTCGCACAAGCCGTCTACCCGGCTCTGTTCGCCCTCTACCCAACCTACGAGAATATCCGACAAGTGAAAGCAATCCAATACTCGAACGGAATCCGCGCCCTTCCTCTCTGGACGGCATACGCTTTCTTCGACTTAATATTTGTGCTCTTCATTTCCGTGGTTTGCACGGCAGTGATCGCTGTCCAAGCCCCGCATTGGTTTGCAGTCAGCTACATGTTCCCCGTTCTCGCTCTCTACGGACTTTCCTCAATGCTAATGGCATACTGCTTCTCACTCATTGCTCATTCCCAGCTCGCGGCTTTCGCTTGGGCCGCTGGCGTGCAATGTATCATGTTTATCCTCAGCATCATGACCTTCGTCGTACGCGTCTCCGTCCTTCTCCAAGCAGACACTCGCTAACATCCTTGCTAGCTCATCGAAGCCTTCACCGACACCCCGCACCTCCTGCTCGCACTCGATGGCTCAACCTTCGGCCTCAGTCTCCTTTTCCCCATAGGGAATCTTGTGAGAGCCACCCTCGTTGGCCTAAACGTTTACATCGTCGACTGCCGCAACGGCGATTTTGTGCGCTCTCCAGCATCGATCCATGCTTACGGCGGTCCGATCTTCTACCTCTGTCTGCAGATTTGCTTCCTGTTCTGGCTCCTTAATTGGCTTGAAGACAGACACAAACATCAGCACTCTTTTCATCTCCCCCATCGATCCAAAAACACCCTGTTCGACGAGGAAGAGGAAAGCGGGAGAGTGGTGGAGAAAGAAGTCTTAGATGAAGAGAAAAGGGTTGAGAACTCAGAAGATTACCTATTACGTGTCCTCGGCGTTGCAAAAAGCTTTGGCAAAACAAGAGCTGTCGATAATGTCTCGTTCGGAATCAGCGGTGGCGAAATCCTGGCGCTGCTTGGACCGAATGGAGCGGGAAAATCAACGATCGTAAATATGATTCGCGGAGAGCTATCTCTGGATAATGGAAGAATTTTGCTGCGAGGGATAGATATGGAGAAGCATGCGAGGTTGGGACGGAGGTTTATTGGGTGTATGTTCTCCCCCACCCCTCTCACTTCGATGTTAACTGAGGCCAGATTGTCCCCAATTCGACGCTCTTGACACAATGACCGTCCGCGAACACCTCACCTTCTACGCCCGCGTGAAAGGAATCCCTACTGTATCTGCAGACGTCGCCCTGGTGATGGAGAAGATCGGTCTTGCAAACTATGAGAATCGTTTAGCGTCAAAGCTCTCTGGGGGAAATCAAAGGAAACTTAGCTTGGCTATTGCTCTTCTTGGTTCGTATCCTTTGCACTTCCTATCGCTCTCTGTTCCTGATTCCTTTCTCTTTCTTCCTGCTTTGGGAATGTGCGTTGACGATGTTTCTGTTGGGAAGGCAACCCTCCTCTCCTCCTCCTCGACGAACCGAGCTCCTCAATAGACGCCTCCTCCAAACGCTCTTTGTGGAAAATCTTCCTGTCACTCAATCCCCCTTTCCCTGCCTCCCCTTCTCCTGTGAGCCTGGGAGCGCCCCCTACACAAACTCAACCCCTTCCCTCCCGTCGTTCACTCCTTCTAACAACCCACTCAATGGAAGAAGCCTCCCACCTCGCGTCCCGCGCTGCAATCTTGAGCAAGGGGATTTTGGCGTTGGGGAGTATCAAGAACCTGAGGATGAAGTGGGGTGATGTGTATCACGTCCATCTTGTGCTGAAAACGGCGCCGGAAAGTGGAAGGGAGGAGATTGAGGGTGTTGAGAGGTGGGTGAAAGAACGATTTGAAGGGGCAAAAGTCGATGGTTGGGGGAGTGTTGGGGGGCAGGTTAGGTTTAGTGTTCCTGCGAGCAGAGCGAGCGGAGCAGTTAAAGGGAAAGGGGAAAGAGAACGAGGTGAGGATCTAGATGAGATGGAGATTTCGAGGGTTGGAGGGGAGAGGGGGGATGAAATAGGGAAAGTGAAAGGATGGAGGAAAGGAGGGGTGGCGGAGTTATTTAGGAAATTGGAGGTGAGTAAGGAGGAATTGGGACTCGCGTTCTATAGTGTGAGGGCTACGAGTATGGATGAGGTGTTCTTGAATGTGGTGAGGGAAAACAATGTCAGGGAGGAGGAAGGAAGAGGCAAGTGATCGAATTATACTCCTCTAAAAAAAATATTCAATATTAAGTTGCAAGTTTCAAGTAGCGTCTGAGATTTTCCATGAGTGAATTATATTCAAGCTGTCATGTGAAACCAAAATATCCCAATAATTCTCAGAAATTTCCTCCCCCCAAAACTCCTTGCTAAGCTACCTCGCAAATCAACATATCCTAAATACTCTCCATCCCGTTCCCATCCACCATCCTTGGCAAAAAGCTCTCACACACAAGCTGTCCATAGCTATCTATTTCCGCCTGTCCCTCCCCTTTCCTTATAAACCCACTCATACACAACCTCGAAATCGTCTCAAGGCAATTCTGGTTGCCTTTCGCTAGACACTCTATCGTGGAATGCAGCGCAGTTACTTCGTCCCGTAAGCGGGCTGACATCTGTCGTTCTGCTTCCAAAGCTTGTACTACGGCTTCGTAATCTTTTCGAATCTTCTCGCGGAACTTTTGTTGGGATGTGCGGTTTTGCTCTCTTCGTCTCTAAGATGGGCTGTGGTGAGTTTGTGGAGGGAAAGGGGGAGGAGGGAGCGGACTTGTAATTTTGAGGCTGCGAGGTCTTTGGGCTCACATTTGCAGGTGGGGGGATGTCGTTCGACACTTTCTGGTGTTGTGTTTGTAGTGGTAGATGGCGATGAAACCGACGCCGGTGGGGATATGTTTCTTGGATTACTGTTATTCCATTCGTCGTAGGGAACCCATGGATAATCCTGCGTAGTGAATAGTCAGTTCAATTTGAGGTATCTGAGGGTCCTTTGAAATGAAGAGATTGGGCATGAAAATAGATGGAATACAGAGCCTTACAATCGCAGTTAACCCCTCCTCCATTTCCAAATTATGGAGCTTGATTGTTGGTCTATAAATATGTCTGAGGGTACTCGTGTTAAGGCAATTGACCCGTTTAAGCGCTGTTGCTAAATTATTTGCTATAATATGAGTAGATCGAGACGGCAGATGGTTGCGGTGGCGAGACAGAGGACTTTATCGCAATTATTTGAATCCCAATCTTACTTTTCCATCTTCGTCATGCTGCCGCATGCATACATGCCAAGTATTGGCGTCAAGAAAAACCTCAGGGGAAAAGTTGATCCTTGTTGAAAGGAGTGACTGAGTGACGCCGAGGTTACGCTCTCCTGATACCAGTGGACATTTAACAGAATGTTGCACTTCTTCCTGGGCCTAGCGTAGCCCGAAATGGGCATCAAGAATATGGTGGCCAATCATCTGGCTCCCAGCAAGAGACATTCTGCAGCTGCACGTGAGGTCGCTCGATCGGACCCATTTGGGGCTTATGCAGGTTGATTACTCATACCACAGGAAAACAAACGCAGCACAACACACCCATATTTGTGGATGATTCAGCTAGACATTGGTTCAATTGGACGAGCTCCTCCACATAGTTATTGCAAGACCCTCGGAGATGTTAGAATTCCATCAATTCCTGAACTCTTCAAAATTTAAATCCACTTGCAAATGGCAAATCTCGAAAGAATTTTGATCTAGCATTATCTTAAATGCTCGGCTTACCTGGAAAACTATTAAACACGTAGTCCCTGCACTTTTGGGAATCTGTATACAAATCTCTTTGCATGTACACGAAGGTTCGGCTCCCGAATGAGATTATCTAGAAGGAGTTTAACGTTTTTCAAGAAGCGCGTTTCAGCTTAGTCAACCATCTCTGGGGTTTATGGAGGGATTCCAGTAGGCGACAACAGGTTTCTGTGGCTATTCGGCTTGCCAAGCGCTGCACTGCAAGCACCTGACAAGGACCTCTTTCCCAAATCGTCCAGCGAGCGCCACACAGCATGATGCACGAAATCACCCTGAAGGCTTGGCGCCTCATTCTTAAAACGTCGACTGGTCCTTACCACTATCTTCTGCATCCAGCCCTACTCGGAGCTTTGCAGACATGAGAATCTGACCTCACAGGAGATGCAAATAACTTGCGCAACGTGTGATAATCGAGACGCCAACATGCCCCGTCAAGCGGAAGCAAGGTAAGCAAGTAGTCAGCTGACATGCGAGACGAGCTGAATTAGCGATTGCAGTTCATTGCCAGGCAGTAAAGTTGTGTTTGAAGCGTTCGAGAGTGAACCTGTAAATGGCAAGCCATCCTTAGCTTTTGTAAATTACACTGGGCCGGCTGCGAAAATCAACAAGGATGCTGAAACTCGGAGATCCATCCGGAGGCATGTTATGAGGGATATTGGACGAAGCAGAAGGGCAACAAATGTTTCCCTCGTTCCTGGTTCGGTTGCCGCAAGCCCACTACAAGCCACCCCAGCCCAGAACTCTGCCGGGGACCTTGCGGGCTATCAAGATCTTACCCCTCGATGCTGTTTCTCCGGGTGCCGCAACCCTGGGCCATACGCCGAACAGCCTATCATGAATGTCTTGAACCCGGAAAATCCAATCATCTATTGCAACGAGCACCAGAGAATCTTTGGAGATCCTGCAGAAGCAGCCACTCTCCAAATTGAGTTGCAGTACATGGTGAACCTGAGACAAATTACTAGGCTTGGGTCGGGGAGGATTGACCCTTTTCTCCCCTACCCAATCAATTTGACTCCCCGAGTCCGCAGATTCATCGATCACCGTGAGTAAGCAGGCAACGTATCTCAGCATCAGCTAACTCAAGTCAGTGTTTGGAAACATAAAGAGAAATACCGTATGGTACTGTGAAGCTATATTTCCACTCGGCACATCTGGTGAAGCTTCTTTCCACCAAATCCTTTCCAACATGGCCCTATATCTCCGTCTATCTCGAAGCTTAGATAACAGTGGATACATTATCAGGGATGAGATGAAGTACGAGCTGACTGAGGAGGTCGCCCACCAAGCAAAAGTTTACCGCCTCGTCAACAACATGATTGCAACGAAGGAAGCGACAAACGAAGATGCGATTGGTGCTGTGGCTGCTTTGACGTGTTACGCTGTATGTCAACTTTTCATAACCAAAATTTAGTGGGAAATAGCATGAGATGGGACTGGTGGCTGATTCTAAGGTATTCTAGCATGTAGCGCAAGACATGCGTGCTCTCACAACCCATATGGGCGCTTTACGAAGGATGGTCGAACTCCGCGGCGGTATTGCAACCTTGGATTCGAATAAGTTCCTACGAATATCTTGTTACTGGTACGTCGACTATATGCATTGCTAGCCCTGCAAATACCGTCTTTACCCGCCAGATCTAACCCGGAGGTAGGATCGAGGTGAATATTTGTTGCACACAGGACAGCAGACCTGTCTGGCCAGTCCCTATCCAATGGTATCCACCAAGAGCACCGCTTCCCTCTGACGTCGAGCTGCCACCCGGGGCCCAACGCATCTTGGAGGCTTGGAAAAAGCGGCGCATCTTCCACCAGCAACCTGATTTCGTTCAAGACGAAGAAATTCTTCAAGTCTTTGACGAGATGGCTCGTTTCAGTATACACACAATAGAAGAGGAACGCCGAACGGCATCTGCAATTTACGAAAATCCCGATTTCACCGGTACCTTCGTCAATATTTTCCTCTGGCACCTACTGCGAGCACAACCGGTCTCGGATGTACTCGACTCGAATGCTATACTTCGAGAGGCTGTCCGCCTGGGGCTACTTTTGTTCCTCGCCTGCGTCAAAAGACGTTTTGGCCTCTACCCAGTCACATTTACGATACATGTTGAGAAATTGGTAGCTGTTCTAAGTCTAGATCAGGTGGTGTGGCAAGGATTCCAGCACTTGAAAATTTGGATCATCGCCATGGGACTGCTCGAAGCAATTGACAAATCACACGTTGGTTCTCTGGCAAGTGAATGGGTGAAAACTTTGAAGGAAGAAGGCATTGAAGACCAGTCCGAGGCAGAGGTAATTGTGAAAGAAATTGTGTGGATCGAAAGTATACATGGCCTGAGGTACAAAGAGGTGCGTGAGAGATTTTGGGGTTAAGCGACGGAACATGCTTCGATTCCATTGACTACTTGAGAATAAAATGACATTCCATAATGTTAGTCAAACAATTTCACTTTTCATTCTTGTAATTGGCGCAATTATCATTCCGGCAACAGACTGTAGTTTGGATTGTGTTTGGATCGGTTCTCGAGTCGGGCAGAAAAATTATTCAGAAGGGCCAGTGACAACAGCCGAGCTATACAGCTTTCTTCTTCAACTCTCTTGATCCCACGGTCTTGGCTTGGCCAAATGGTCAATTCCGCTCACCCCACCCGTCACCGAGTCTCACACCCGTGGACCAAAGAGGAACACAAGAAATTCGCAATTCTTGGAGGCCAAGTCATGCTTCCTACACTGAAGCCAGGAGGAGGCTTTGGTTTAGTAAGTCTGGCAAACACATTCTCTGCAAATTCTGATGCTGACATAAAGTTACTCACTGGAGTCATTAATATCTCCTTGGTTGAGAAGTACAAAGAGGTTTCCGGAATGGTTTTCGGGGGCATGTTTTCAAATATATGACTTTTGATTATCCCTACTATTAGGCTTGCACGGCATTGCAATTAGCTATGTGTAAGAAGAGAGTCAGAACAGAACATACATGAATTACATGCAGGGCCAGAGGCTCCATCTCTTGTCTCATAGTGTGGCTTATCATTTCAAGGGCTGCTTTTGATCCTCCGTAGGGGCTTGCGTAGGGTTCTTGGAGCTTTAGAGTCATGGAACCAATATTATCGACTGTTTCTTGTTTTGAGTAGAAGAAATGCAAATTTTTTAGTTGTGGATAGCACTCCGAACACATTGACATCGTAGACTTTCTTTACCAAGTCCACGTTTGCGTCCAGTACGAAGATCACTGCATAAAGTGACGGGATTACAGGCCAATTGGGCTTTGGCACCCCCTCAGGGCACAATTCAGGGGGTTGAATCCACTGTAATGCCCTGAGAAAATCCCAAGAGGCGCTATGAGATATTCGCAAGGTATAAGAAGATCTTTAGGGGTAAATAGCGCTACTAGCGGAGTAATAATAGTGCTTGGACGTTAACTAGGTAATTACTATAAGGATCTAGGGCGAGATACCATTTATATATAGAGGAGAAGCCCTAAAAATGTCTGGAACCCCTTGCTCTTGTCTTGTAGCGTGTTTTTAAGGCAGTGGCCTAGAATATAGGGCAATTAAGTGACCAGTACGCTAGAAACAGACACTGAAGTACTATTAAAGCACAAATGCCATGCAATCCCGTCACTCTATGCCCTGACCTTCGTATAGCTGTTGTGTACTGCACATTGTAAGTAAGCCAGTAAGTCAAATTTCAAATTTCAGTTTGTACGAGTAATTTTGGAACAGAGGTTGAAAGAGAAAGTCATTCGTACCAATTCCAGCGTTATTGATGAACTTGTCTAGCTTTCCGGTCGCTTTCGATTCCACCACTTTCACGGCAGCTCGTATTGTCTGGTCAATTGTCACGTCCGCACAAGATGATCTCGCAACAAATAATTTTCAGTTTCTGGATTTATTCAGCCCTCGAGCTGTTGCAAAAACGAGCAACCCGCGATGGTGAAAGAGTTTCGCCAGGGCGGAGCCAATAACCTCCGCGCTGCATCCGGTAATCAGGGCCAACTTTTGCTTCCATTTAAATTGGGGAAAGTGCTAGAGGCCGATTAGAAGGCAGGTTCGGAGGTATTAGTGGACACTTAACAATAAGTCGTAGAAGGCATACCGCAAGGGAGTCGACTCGTTTGCGTACTCGTAATTGTACTATTGGAAAACGTACTGTAGTTCTTAGATTTCATATAATATGTAGGGCCTTTCGGTGCATTGGCCCTCACCCAGCCATCCCAAAAGAGCTAGGGGCCGGGTGGGTCCGACATTTATATTACACCCAGCCGGCAATGGAAAGCACGTTCAAATATGATTATTAGTAAATCAAAAAGTAACTAAATATAACTTCTAATTTTTAAAAATAAAAGATATTAAGATTTTGAAAAGGCAGAATTTTGGTGGGGTTTTCGCTTCGGCTTCCACGTATTCCTGAGCCCCCTGGTGTCTGACTCTGACCCCTATTACTGACTAAGCGGTTAAGCGAGGCATCGTTAAGAGGAATATCTCGACGCCTCTCCCCGCCAACCTTCCTTTCCATCAGCTCACCTTTTCTCGGAATGGCTTCAGCGACGGCTTTTAGCTAAGATTCGCCATCGTTAGGTCCTATCCAATGAATGTTAGCTCCCCTGCAACAAAAAGGGAATAACAGACGCGGTAAGGAAGTTTGTTGGTGGATTTGATGTCTGCCTTGCTGTGCCGCATCCCCTCGCCCGAATCTAAAAGACATGATCTCTAGCGCTTGAACCCACAAAGGATCTCTCTTTTTCTTGATTCCCTAACTCAGAAATGGTGTTTCATCACGACATTGTCTATTTTATTCAAGCCCTGCTTATCTTCTGCTGTTTTGTGGATGCGGCGAGTTACGACATGACTGGCCAGTGGGACATCACCTACGGAGACACAGCACCTCAACTTTCGCACATTAAGGACAGTCGTGATGATGGAATATCGTTCGAAGCCAACCAAGCGAGGATGTCCATATACTCGAAACACATCTACCAGGGGAAGAAGCTGGGAGACTTTTCTCTCCCGGGGACTCAACACCTGAAGTTGGAGTACTGGGATGAACCCCCGCACAGGACAAGTGACCATGAGTTCTTCCTCCAACATCTGGAGACCTTGGAGTTCTCTTCGCAGAGCACCTGGACTGTCGAGATCAGGGGTAGTGGAATATGGCCGGGAAACAGGACTTTACTTGCAACTGTGCTCCATAGACTGCCACTCATCACGTCGCTTTCCTGGATCTTAGGCGAGCCGATTCCACTAGAGACAGTCCAATTTCTGGAAAAAAATCATCCTCTCTGCCGACTTTACTACGAATTGGACTTTGGGTATTGGAGGCCTGAAGTTCTGGCAACGAGTCGCAGACGCGCCACCCAACGCAGACGCACCAAACAACTCAGTTCAGAAGATGACAAGTCTTTGGCGGCAGAAGAGCAGATTAGAGTTATTGAACGCGAATCGATCCTTAACTCAACAAATCTCCATTCGCTCAAGGTTAGCGTGTCCAATGGAGGGAGGGAGCGAGAGCCGGACAAGATGGATCTGATTTTGCGCATTCTCACGACCTGCCCCAACATCAAGGAGTTGGACATTTCGGTATCTCGACGCAGGGGATGCGTTGTTTACGATACGGATGACCTGTACGCCTTTGATTTCACCACTTCCAATGCGACTTTAGCTCCTCTAGAATCGTTGACTGTTGATGGATACCTATTCCACGCCAACCCGAATGGTCTGAAGTGGAAGGAATGGGAAGCAGACCACCCAGAACGAGATATCCTATACGCACCCTGGAAATACCTACCCGAATCGATAATCAATCATGTCGGGTACCCAAAGATAAAGGAGTGGGGTGGGCTACAGAGTTCGCATGTCAAATTGGATACTTCGTCATTGAAGCTTGACACAAGAACGAATCTAGATATCTGGCTTCAACGAATGGACTGGTCACATCTCCATACCTTGAAGATCAAAGACGCAACTACCAAAGACCTTGAAAAGGTCGGAGGCAATACACTTCCGAGTCTGAGGAATGTTCAATTTTCTGGATATTATGCACATCACCACGCCATCCTCGACTTTATCGGCAACAACTCCTTTACCCTAGAATCCATCCAATTTGACGGCATTAACTTCTGTTCATTGAGCCAAGTTGTAAGCACGATTGTCGAACATCACAGATCAAGTCTTCACACGCTGGTGATCAAGCATTTGCAGCCCCGTAGATCGAATTATGTTTCGCCGAGAAAAAATGCCTACCGCTTTCCGGGCACTTCTTTCCTCAACGTCACCCATCTTACCCACCTCCGCGAGAGTATACCAGGGCTTACCACTCTAGACCTCGATATTCTGGTAAGCGAAGAATGGAACCATGAACTGCTCGGTATCCTCGTGTCATTCTCGGAGCTGGAGTACTTGACTTTGCGATTCGAGGCGCAGGCTGGTGGTTGGGATGATGAGGGTGAGGACGGCCGCCAGCACGGAGAGGAGAGAAGCTACAAAGAAATTGACAATAAGCTATATTTAATGATGGGTTTGAAGGAGTACTTAGCGAAGCGGAAGGTTGGAAAGCAATTTAAGAGGCTAGAGACTTGGGTGGGATCAGAGATTGTTGGAGATGCGGAGAAATATCCTGATTTACATTTTAACTAAGATCATGGGAACGTTCTCGAGGACCTTTGGGCTGGCGAGTTCTGACCTCGTCCTTCGTTCTTTCATTTTCCCGATACGCCAAATACACGAGACGACCCCAACGCATGCTGATGATTCTGCTTGTTCCTTCGCAGTCGAAGCCCGCCCTAAGCAAAGAGATTGCAGATTGGAAATTTTGTTCGTAAAACAATCTTCAAACTAATAAAGCCTTTGCTCTTGAGGATTTCGAACAATACTTTACTCACTGTATAAAGTTGGTAGATGGCTTGCTGACCACTCTCTTCCTGAACCGCAAGCCGTTTTCCACTCTTACAATCAATTCACCAAACAAACAGTGTTAGGAATGTCTAGCTTCTACTCAAACATACGCCACCGCATTACCAGAAGAAACGACTATCTCGATGAGATAATATTTGCTCTGGATACAAGCTGTTCACGATACGCAAGCGGTGCCGAGAGCCATTTGGACACTAGTAGTATCTCAAATTTCGCTAGCACCCCGAACCGTTCTGGAAAACCAAGCCCAACTCGCATTAAAACAACATTTGGAAACAATTCAGGCCGTGGATGGAACACAAATCGAGTTCGGATCCTCTCTAGTCCTGGAAGCGTTTTTATATAAAGAGCAAAGGAAATATATCTTGATTAATTCTTATTAAACTCTTATTTAGTTTATATAATATTTCTAAATTAGAAATATTTGCTATTTATATTTAATAAAATTTTAATATTCTTTTAATTATATATTAATACTAATTAAAATAATTCCAAAAATATTATAAGATGTTTATTAGTAGGTAATAAGATAATAGAATGAATTAGTGTATTATGAAACCATAGTATCAAATTTAGTATAGAACTAATCTCTGTCCCTCCTATAAGGTCCAGGGAAGCCCCCTCTAAATAGGAGACCCTAATAACGTATATATAATTAGTGATTTATAAGCCTAATACTTATAATATAAACAGTAGTTAGTTATAAAGTCAAAGGGCCGCCAATCTCCCTAATTAATACCTGTAATATCCGAGGTTTATTATATAACCTTAAGTTACATATAATCCTGTATATATTATAACTATACCCCCCTCCTTAGATCTTATTCCCAAGATCTATTAATTCATTCTAGTAAATATTTAATCGATTATTTATTTAATCAAGGTAAACTTCTAGTATCTTGGGAGGTAGTTTTACTAATATAATCTGGATAAGGGATATAAAAATCGTCTAATTAGATCAGGGCTAAGTAAGCGAGAGAGAAGAGTAATTATATCCCAGGTATAGGGGCTAGCCAGTAATTGCGATTTCGTTTAGGACCTGAATATTCTAATTAGCTCGATCCAAAGTACTAAGGCACTACCTTACAAAATTAATACTACCTGTCAGATCTCGTATTAGAATAATCTAAATAGCTATATAGAAAGGATTTAATAAATATTTATATAAGAAACCTATATAAATGTTTCTAAGATCCTGGAGATTATTTACGGGCTTCTGGGAGCATATATTAATTAGTTATACTAAATTCCGATTAGAACTAGTACGAAAACTAGTAGTTAATCCAGGTAGTTCTCTACTTCTATAAAAGAACCTCTTTATATTACTATATACTTACTTTCTTCCTTTCTAATAACCACACATATAATAACTTATTCTATTATTACCTTCTAGCCTCTTCTTCTGCCCTTTTCTAAGTTTTCTTTAATTATTTTTAATTAATTCTATAATATCTTCTTTTAGCTTTATTATTCATTCCCGTAATAATAAGTATAAAAGTAACCTTATAGCCTTCTTTCCTATTACTAGCAGATACTTGAAATATTTCAAGTATTTACTTATTAATTCCTTTATCTTATATACTATAGTACCTGGTAAGAAGAATTATAACCATTATAATAAGGGTTCTAAGTCTTATATATTAGTAAGTTCTTTAGCTTTAATATTTATTAAAGCTAATATGATTTCAGATTCCTTATTACTTATTAGAGGCTTACCGGTTCTAGGAAAATACTATTATAATCTTTAAGAAATTTCTTGAAGTATATCCTAAATAGTATTATAAAAATAATACTATTAATTGGATTTTTAAAGACTAGAAAAACTCTAATAAGCTTTGGAATTTTTCTTCCTGTTTTAATAAGGCAGAGAATAATATTACTTGGGTTAGTATTCTAAAGGTAAGTTTTTTCTAATATATTTAGATACTTACTAATTCCTTAAAAAAATACTATAAAGTTTACCTTTAAGGTATTAACCTTATTACCGAGATTACTACCAAGATTACTAAATAGTCTATTACTAGTACTTTAAGTACTAATAATATAATATTTATAGCTATTCGGGACCTGACTTTAGAAGTTCGGGCCTTCTATAAGATATATATAGTAGTTATAAGTTCCTTACTTATTTCTTTTAATATTCTTAATACTAATATTATTATAGTATAACTATATCTTATTAAGAAATAAGCAGATTTTAAAGAGTATTAGCTAATTCTTTACTAAGTCCTAAATAGAGCCGGTATTTAGTATTTTTGCTTTAGGAATTAGGAATTTATAGGAATTAAAGTTTATTTATTTGAAATACTTATAGCTAGTTTATTTATAATAAATCTTTCTTAATCCTAAACCTTTTTCTAATAATTTAAATATAATTCTTATAAGCCTTAATAAAACTCTAGAAAACCTTTATAAATAAAAAAACCCTAGGAAAAAAGTATTTCTATTACTATTCCGGGCCTTTTCTTAGCTATCTAGGTTTTCTTTTTCTTTTAAATAGCCTTTTTCTTAGTAATTCAGAATTCTTTTTAATCTTAAGAGATTATTAAAAGATAGTTTTAGATTCTAAGCTATAGTTTCGGTTATATGATTTCAGAAGTTCCTTAAAATTTTCAAGATTAGGGAAAGCAGGTAACTAGGTATTATAATCTTTAGGCTAGGCTTTCTATTTAATTAAATATTATTACTTCTTATTTCTATTATCTTATTAGTAATTAATAATAGCTTCTACTTCCTATTTTTATTCTTTATTATTATTTACTAATTCCGGAAGTTCTCCGGAGAAATATAGGTATAGCTTCTAATTCTTTTTTATTATATATTTTTTAAGGAAAAAAATATAAAAAGTTAGATATAAATAATTATATATACTTAGTAGTTCTAACTTATATACTAAATTACTAATATATTTAAAGATCCTAAATAGACCTATAAATTTTGGCTTAAGCTTTTCTATTTTAAGTTTAATATTCCTTATTAATAGTATTACCTAGGCTTCTTTAGAATAATATTTAGCTAACTAATACTTATTATAATAGGTTTCCCGATTATTTTATATATAATACTATAAATTCTTAAGCTTTTTCTATTTTACTTTAAGGGTTTCTAGCCTCCTATATATAGCTAGTATCTTTTCTATAATTCTATTCTTAGGATTCTATAGAAATTAAGGGTAGTATCTATAATATATATAAAAAGATATATTTTATAAAATCTAATATTTTAAGTTATTATATATAAATTCCGCAAAAAATAACTTTTTAAATTAGTTATTCTTTTAGGTATTATAATAATATCTCAGGTAATATTTCAGGGCCTAGTTTTGCCTTTCTATTTAATTATTTATTTAAGAATAATAAGCTATACTTAAATACTATTTATATATTAAGTAAAAATAAAAAGCAAACTAGAACTAGCTAGTAAATACTATTTCTTAGTTAGAAATAATTTTATTAGAAAAGCTAAAAATTAAGAAAATATATTTCTATATAATTTTAGTAAGCTCTAAAAAGTTAATAGTTTTATAATATATAATATACTTTACTATTTTAGAATACTAGTTAATAACTATAAGAATTATATTAAAATCGGGATCTTTTACTAGGTTCTTATATAGTAATAGACCTATAATAAAATCTATAAAGATCTTATTCCAGGGTCTCTTAGGCTATAGTAAACTACTAAATAGACTATATAGCAAATACTTCTTTATCTTAATTCTTTAGTAAATATTATATTCTTAATAATAATTACAAATATCTTCTTTTATATTCTCCTAATACTAGAACCTTCTAAAGAATTCAAAAGTCTTCTTTATTTTATAGTATTTGGCTATTAGGTTATTATAATAAAGCTTTATAACTTCTTAATATAAGACAGGATTATTAGATATAATAATTCTTAAATAATACCTAAATAGGTCCGAATTATTTTTCCAGATTTTTTTTCCCTTAGTATTTTTCTTACTAAGCCTTTATTTTATAATATTCTAATATTAAGAATTATTTCTCTAAGTTACCTAGATAATATCCAGAAAGAATTTAGATAGAAAGGCTAATACTATAGCTCTTTTAGTAGCTATATATATTTATATATAGGAAATTAGGTATTTATAATTATTTAATTCAAAAACTTAGGGAACCGAAAAATCTTTAGTTCTATTAAGTAATATAGTTATAAATACCCTTATTACCTTAGCTATAGTAGTAGAGCCTTTAAGGCATCTCCTTATACCTTATTTCTTAACTAATTCTATAATTAAGGGACCTATAAGATAATCTATCTACTTGTCTTATAGTAAATATTTTTTCTTAGCTACTATAGATATAGCAAGTATTAAATAATATTTATTCTAAAAAGGGAACTTTTAAGATATTTATAAGAATCTCTAAATTATAATTATAAAAGCTTTTTTTAGCTTATTCTAAAAGATTAGAAGCCAAGTTATATTAATAGAACCTTCTTTATAATTAGGTTTTCTACTAGATCTATTTACTAGATTTAAGGTACCTTTATAGTAAATAATATTAAAATTATATATTATAAGATATATTACCTAATATACTTAATAGCTTTCTAAATACTTTATTTCCATAAAGTATTAGAGGTTATTATAGTCTATAATAACCTCAATTATAAACCTGGACCCTTTAAGGTAATAATACTAATATTTAAAGGCTTTAATAATTATAAATAACTCTCTATTATAAGTATTATAGTTATATTTAGCTCCGGAGAATTTCCGAGACTAGAATACTACTAGATACTAGTATTTTTTCGGGCTATTACTAGAATTAACTTATTATAAAATAATACTAGTAATTACGAATTTTAATATATTAGTTTTAATATAAATCTTCTTGGAAAAATTAAAATAAACCAGAATAGGTATTATAATAAAAGCTTTTTTTAAAGTCTTAAAGCTTTTAGCTACTTTATTTATTTATATAAAGGGACCGGATTTCCGGTCCTTTTCTATTTCTTTTAAGAAATCTATTAAGCCTATAGTTACCTGAAAATAATAGTAAATAAACCTATAATAGAAATTAGTAAATCTAAAAAATACTTAAATATTATAGAATAATTCTAGTTCTGGTTATTTAATAATATTATAGACCTATTTAGGATTCATATAAATACTTTTTATTCTAATAAGGAAGCCCAAAAATTCGATTTCCTTAATATTAAACTCATATTTACTAAGTTTATAAAATAGGTTATTTTTATATAGCCTAGTAAATACCTAGTAAATATAATTATAATATTTACTTTTATTTCGGGAATAAATAAGAATATTATCTAAATAAATAACTATAAAATAATCTAGAAGCCCTATAAGTATAGTATTAATATATACTTAAAATATAGCTAGTATATTAGCTAGCCCAAAAGGTATTATAAAATATTTAAAATAGCTATAGCAGGTCTTAAAAGCTATTTTTTACTTATATTCTTTATAAATTCTTATCTAATAATATATATCCTTAAGATCTAGCTTTATAAAGATCTTGGCTCCTTAAAGCTAGTTAAGGGTCTTATTAATAAGAAAAAGCAGATACTAATTCTTAATTATAACTTAATTAAGTTTATAATAATTAATATAAAGATATAGTCCTCTATTTTTCTTGAAAATAAAAAGAATAGGTGCCCCTATAGGGCTTTTACTAGGCCTTATCTAATATTTATAAAGTATATCCTATAAATACAAATATAATACTTCTAGTTAGGTTTCTAATAGATTATATAAAGGCCTATATAGGACTATACTATCTATATTAATAAAGTATTTAATACTATTAAGATTAGGAAGTTCCGAAGCTTTATTAGGATTAAAAACCTCTGAGAAGTCTTTATATTTATTATCCCGGAAATAAATAAATATCTCTAAGGCCCCTTTCCGGAAGGTATTAATTTGCTATATTAAAAACTCCTATTTAGTATTACTAGAACTATATAATAAAGCAGAGATCTAGTAACTATTATAAATATATAAAGCCTATTATCTAGAATAGTTATATTTGCTTTTAGTTAAGAATAAGACTTAAGGTACTAGCTTAGGATACTAGTTAAGCTCCTTACCGAATTCTTTTAGTATTAGGATCTTAATATTATTAGGCCATATAGGTATATATATCTATTATTTCTTAATATAGTCTATATATTATATAAGGGTTACTTTATAAAATTCTATACTAAAGATAAGGCTATAAAAGCTAATATTCTTATACCTATAAAACCAGAGTTTAAAAAGATATATCTTACTATAATTATCTATAATAAATACCTTAAGATTATAGGCTTAATAAACCTTAAATTAGTTCTTATAAAAAGTTATAAATTCTTGGTTATATTTAGCTAAGGTAATAAAGCCCCGGCTTTAAGCCTAATTATTATTAAGAAAGTTATAATCTGATCCGGTATTACTAAGTCTATTATATATCTCTAAGGTACCTATTTCTGGCTATATTAATCTTACTTAAATAGTTATATAAAGTAATATGCCTTTTTTATTATAGCCAAAATTATTAATATTTAAGATTTGGCCTTTCCTTTTCTTTATTTCTTAAAAAAGTCTTTTTTAAAATACTTCTCTATAGTTATAGTATTAACCTGCTTTTATAGATACCTTAATTCTTTTATAGTTTTGGCCTTATTAGGGTTTTACTAAGCCTATTTAGTATACTTGAAATATTTTATATTTCCTAAGAAGTATTTTTTCTATTTATAAGTCTAATAAACTATACCTGAAATAGAACTAGTACTTTATTAAGGCCTTAAAAGAGCTAAAGTATTACCTAAGGGTTTTTTATATAATTTTCGGAACTTATTCTTTCTTTTTTAATAGCCTTATAAATTAGAATTTACTAAGTTAGGGTTTTTAGGGGCAAAGTTACTTTTATTAGATTTCCCTGTCTTTACTTTTCTTAATTTAGAATAAATAATATATTTTGCTTTCTGAGCTTTCTTAAGCTATTTGGAAATAGATATTGCCTTATCTTCTAAAAAAATAAATATAAGTATCTAATAAGTCTTATAATTAGATAAAATAATATTAAGAGTCCGGATCCGGTTTCTTTTAGAATATAGGTCCTAGTTAATTTCGAGACTAATTATCCGAGTATATAACTTAGTAACTATCTTACTATTCTTCTAATAAAGATCTCGGAGTTCCTTAAAGGCATTTTATTAACGGGTTTAAGGTACTTAGAGTATATTAGCTAAGTAAATCTTAAATCGCTCCTAATAGACCTTATATAATAGTAGGCTTTACTTTATTATAGCCTCCCAAGTATTATAAGGTTTATTCCTAAAGGCACTTATAGTAGAGTTAATTCTAGAAGAGTATCTATTATAAGTTTAAGGTTAGGTTCTAAAGACTACCTTCCAGGAAAACACGAATATTCTCTATTTCTTAAGAGACTTTTTATAATATAAGTCAGGTATCCGGATCTTGAGAAGCTTCTTTTAGTCTAAATATATCTTTAGGATATTATATAATAGCTTCTAATAAATAGTATTAAGATTGCTTTTAAAGCTTATTATATTAGGAAAAGAGGTGAGTTCTAACCCTATTTCAAGAAGTTCCCTAATAGGAATTACCGAGGAAGATGAAGTAGACTTATAAATAGAGTTTCTATAAGATATAGTAAACTATAAGGTATTTCTAAGGATACCCTTATATTACTCTAACTATAGGATATATTAATTAATTATATCTACTAATTCTTGCTTTTGTTAGAGCGCTTTGACTTTAGTATATAAGCCCTATTTTATAGCTTGGGCGGTAGTAACTCGGGTATTAATCTCGGTATCTTAATTATTACCGGGATTATTTATATCATTATTACTGGCTCTCGGAGGCTCCTAAGGGGCCCTATTAAAAGTATTAGATGAGCCTTCGCCATTACCTATATTAGGGTTAATCTATTCAACTTCCTCTATAGAAATAGCTTTGGTAAGAAGTTATATATTTTGCAGATTTCGAGATATAATTACTTATTAAACTACCTTCTTTAAGGGTAGAGAGATTAGCTTATAAGGTATTTATTAGTAGGTAATAAGATAATAGAATGAATTAGTATATTATGAAATCATAGTATTAAATTTAGTATAGAACTAATCTCTGTCCCTCCTATAAGGTCCAGGGAAGCCCCCTCTAAATAGGAGACCCTAATAACATATATATAATTAGTAATTTATAAGCCTAATACTTATAATATAAATAGTGGTTAGTTGTGAAGTCAAAGGGCCGCCGATCTCCCTGATTAATACCCGCAATATCCGAGGTTTATTACATGACCTTAAGTCACGTGCGACCCTATATATATTACAAATATATTATATAAAACAATAATTATTTTACTTCTTTTAATTTTGTATACTTTTTCTTTAAATAAGTTATTTCTTATTTATTATCTCGCAATTTTATTAATTGAATTTATATAATAAGCTCTTGTATTATTTCCTTATTTAGCCTCTTTCCAAAATTATTAATACGCTTAATTTTCTTTATAAAAGAGGCTAGCTATAATTATATTATAATAAATAATAATATATATTACTTTAATATATATATATATATTACTTTAATATATATATATATATATTACTTTAATATATATAAATAAATAAATAGCTCTTTTAAATTTTATATTTAAATTTATTTTTATTTTTAAAAAACCTTAATAATTTTAGATAATATTTTATTCTTATATATTTCGTTATAGCGAGATAAATATTACGCGTCTTGTATACTTAATGTACTTATTGTGTCACTCCGGTTCGCTGCGAGACGAAACAGGATTAGAGTAAAAGGAGGGACTATGCGGTAGAGATATAATGTTGAGGAAGTACGACTCTTATCCGATAGATTCGTCGGAAGAGGCAGGGTGGTGTGGAGAGGGGGAGGGGCAAAGGAGATTATTAGAAGCTTCTTTAGGAGTTAAAACATAATCAAGCTACTTGACGTCAACATGTGTGTCTTCATTTGAATACAAGGCAACTAGTCGTTACGAAGTGGTTCAGTCCTCAAAGTTTTGGGACTCATGAGTAAATACACGTGCTGGGATCCATTCGCCCCGTACTTTAGCTCACCCCAGCAAGGTTGAGCAATCCCGGAGTAGCTCCTGAGTGAGTCAAAAGCTCTTTACCTAAATCTAGTATCTGAAATTTCGAATATCTATGAAGAACTTGAAGATTGTACACCACTAGTATATGATGCATTCGACCTTGTGCTCCGGGACCTGATGAGTCGCGCCATGTACCTATGTCCTTTTTGGGTCGCAAGATCGAATGCGGTATGGCCATAGATATCCTTCAACTGAATAGTCTTCCGATCATGCATTTCATCCAAAGCAGTGAGAAGTATCTCAGCAGTCTCAATAAAATCGTTTCTTGCTGCCCACGAGAGCGGCGTCCTCTCAAAAATCTCATCCTGGGCCTGTAGACTCGCTCCTGCGTCAATCAAAAGCTTGGTGATGTCCTCACGCCCGCACAATGCTGCCAGTATCAATGGGGTAGCCTTTAATTCGTCATCCAAACACTCAAGATCCGGGTTGCATTCGTCCAGTATAGCACAAATTGCCTTGTCTCGAAAACGTTCGGCCTCGGCTTGGAATCGTTCCTCCGTCGGTTCATTCAAACCCGCCAAATCAAATAAGGCGGACTGGATATGCTCTCGCTTCAAATGGGGCCTTCGGTCAGGATCCATGATCCAATTATGGATTAGCAAAGCATCGAGCGCCTTCACTGCCTCCAGGAATCGATCGTTCATTTCTTCGACTTCGGCGATTGTAAGGGCACTGCTGGTTAGGGGTACTGGCTCGGAGTTGGGGCTTTTGATAGTCGATTGGCTGTGCCTCTGCGGAGTATCTTGGCTCCAAGTAGTCGATGCCGTTGAGCCCCGGTCTGGATTACCATTCATACCTGGTGGTAGCTGTCGAGAGTTAGAATGCTAACTGGGCCAGTTTGCAGAGACTTGCCTCCGGGCTGGAAAGTCGGGCTTCTTCCATTGGTACCAGCACTCGAGCTACGATATCTGAGAGGTTTGCCTTCACTATGTCGTAGGCGTTCTCTCTTTCTCCAAATTTGCAAATATCACGGTGATTTCTGTCCAGATCTACGCAGACCTCATCAGGTGCGTTAAGGATGGCAGAATCCCTGTTGACCACAATCTAATAGAAGCTGAATTAAAAAGATATATCATATCTGGCTTAGAAAATACATACCTTGCTGAAACCATGGAAATTTGTTGGTCTGGTTTCAAAGAAGGTCAGTATTTTGAATTTCTTCAATTGTTTACTGAACCTCTCAGCGGAATCTTGAGTAAAGAGCGAATTCGGTTTTAGGCACATCAAAAGGTCGTTTGCCGTACTGCCATTGGCAAACAGTTTTGCAAGTCGTACACCAAATTCTTCAAGAGCTCCAGTATTACCGCCGCGGTGAGGAGTGCCAAAGAACACTAACCCACGGGTAGCGTTCCATGTTTCGAGATAATTATCGGGATCATCTCTCGCGTTCAGGAGTGCCTAATAGACAGATGGTAAGTTCAGAGATGGTTGAGGCTGATCGAAGGGAGCATACCTGTTTGATTACAAGGCCTCCGAGGCTGTGTCCAAGAAAAATTATTGGGATCTTACTGAGGTCCTGGTCGTCCTGTGCTTGTGTTAATATCTCATTTCTTGCCGCATGTGCCATAGTTCATACACTGCCAACTATCTGACCAAATACTGCCGTCCTGAGAGATGGAATATTTTACTTACTCCAAAGCGAACCGACCTCTTCTGGCGGAGAAAACGGAGTAGGTTATTTGCATGATCTGATATTCTCGCCGCAGAGACACCCCTGGTCACTTTGGAATTGTATCCAAAGATCCAGACTCGAGCGTTAGGGAAGTCTGGGCCCAGGAAATCTCGTGGCCACTGTATTCTGCTCTCGGCATGTGTCCAGGTCTCGAAAGGGTGATTTTCGCGACCAGAGGGATTGAGACCGTGAACAAATACAAAGCTGCGCAGTATATGTCAGCATCCATGGTTGCCTGTTCCCATGCGGTCGTGCGATTGGGGGTGGTTTCCAAGCTAAGTGCTTTTAATGCCAATGGATTCCAGTGAAATTAAACAATTGCGAATTCTCAGACCCGAGGAAAGATCGTGCGACCGGGTGCACATAGTTTGGTCTTAATACTCACTCTATGTTGGGGGTATTAGGACTTTCCGGGAAGTAGACCTGTTGCAAGAACGGCGCTTTCGTCGCCATATCAAATGAATGCCGACTTCAGTACAAGTACTCGATGACTGTAACATTGTTACTATAGAAAGCTGAAATGGATGCTATCCGGTTGCTTGCGCGCTAAACCAAAGTAAAAATGCATAGGTAGGCCATGTAATAGTTGTTGGAGTATGAAAATGTTTAAAGGCAGGAAAAACTGGACGAACATGAAGGGTTTGGCTGAGGGTGCGCTGTGGTCAGGCTGCGTGCCGTGTTTTGAGCACAGCCTGCTGTAAGCGCTTCTAATAACCGGATGCTCGCATGCCAAAAGCCACACTGTCGGTGACCAGATCGAGATCCAAAGTGTGCCACCGAAAAAGCCTTCATGCATGGCTTGAGATCCTTTTCAATTCTGCAGAAGCTATTGAGTCACCATTATTTATTGATTTCATAAGCCGCCTCAGTGGGTGGTTCAGGCGTCTTTCCTCAGTCCACAGAACCACGGAAGACCCCACGCCAAGTAGTAGAGCCAGGTCATATGGTTCATGACAGCCGTTGGACGGTACGTTCCGTCCGCTCCTTGCATCGAACAAGCGCCCAGGTACTTCCAGGCCGCACTCCGCTATTCGTTTGGCAGCTCAATCGAGCCCCAAACTGAGACATCTGGCGCTCTCCGCACCCCTGCTGGGCGTTGACAATCTTGGCCAAAGTTGTTTCCGTGACCGACGATTCGATAAGTTTGTGACCAAGTATTGTGTTTTGGCACTTCGGGGCACATTTCCTGCAATTCAGTTGCTCTTGTGACGAGGACTTGCAGTCCGAGACCCAATTCCAGCAAGCTATATTCAGCCTGCTGACTCGCTGAGATCTTTAAAGATGCAGCATCTGGCACAGGCGTGCCTCCTTAAATCATCACCGCAAGAATGACATGTTATTATCCTGATGGTGCTGTTGCCGAAGGACTTCAGCCCTGCAATACAACTGCAGGAGCTGTATCGTCGTGCTGCCGCGTAGGAGATGTTTGTCTCACGAACGGCTTCTGTTTCTCAGCCGGACAGAACTCCCTTGTTAGACGAGGCTGTACCGATCGAACTTTTAACAGTACCGATTGCCCCCGCATATGCATCACCGGTATGAAATCTCTACCTATCATCCAATTTTTCAATCTACAATCCGCAAGTTCTAATAAGCATCATTCTAGGAGTGGTCTCTTCCGTAGACGTGGTCATGACGCCATGTGGTGATTACACCTACTTCTGCTGTGGCCAAGATGATGCGGCGAGAAGTTGTTGCACATCGGGAAATGGGACAGTTCTCCTCGCTGCTGGGACTGCCATACTTCCCACGGCTACGGTCACATACAACAACACGATCGCAGCCACTACCTCACCTACTGGTTGCCCCTCGGACAACAGTACTGCAACATCAAACATCAACCAGCCAACAAAAAACACAGTGCCAGTTGGTGCTGCTGCTGGACTTGGGGGTGTATTGGGTGTTGCACTCATTATCTTGGCCGTTCTAATAGCGATGTGGAGGAAGAAGGTGCATCGAGCAACCGAAGCAGAGCAGCGCGCAATGGTAGCAGAGCAGCGCACAACAGCAGCAGAGCAGCGCACAACAGTAGCAGAGCAGCGTGTAATAGATGTACAGCAGCGCATAGGTGAAGCAGAGCAGCTCATAATGGAGAGGGATCGGCGAATAAGGGAGTTAGAGCCATTGGGGAGGAAAGCAAGGCTGACAGGTCAATGAGAGGGAATTGATATGACTTCTTGAGTGTACCCAATTTCTAGTGCCGGGGGTCACTTCACCTAGCAAAAGCAGGCATTTCCCCAAGCGTTCTGTACTGATCTTTGAGATCGGTACCACCATGTGAAGAGACAATTGAGTTGCAGAGTCTTTGCTAATCCGGCTTTGGGAGGCCTTGGCAGCGAGGAGGAAGATTGAACGAAGTAAAGAAGCCCTCCCAGTCTTAAAGTAATTACTTCTTCCCTCACCAAAGCTTCAACTACCAGGTCACCAAAACCCCGCTTGCCAGTCTACTACGGGAGTATTTGAGACATACTAGAAGCTACCTTGGACAAAAGAATAACTACAGGTATACCTTCGTCGAAATTGCTACCAGTATCATCAAAGAGGATAAGTGGCATGTTCCTAATAAGCCTTGCTGTTAGTGAAAGCTCTTGCCCACCAATCTACCCCACCACCGCCCAGAACTCACGAGCCGGACGTCTTCACTCATCACTCAGCTGGGGAGATCACCAAATTCTCATTTCATGGAACACATCAAGCGACGCCTATTGTGATGTGATATAGGTAACCGTAATGGAAACTCCGATCAAGCCTGTTTTATTGACTACAATACACAACGCGAAATCTTGCCGGCCTAGCTCTCCAAATATCGGCGACTAAGGGCCCGTTTCGTGCGGACGCACGTCTTTTGATTACTGGCGTTCGCTAATAACCAAATTCTAGCGTTTAATACTAGTATTTGGGAGCTAACTTTTAATAATTTAAAAGTGTTCTGCAAAATGCAAAAACTCAATAACTATTGCAATTACGAAAGTTTTAGAGTAATCTCCGATAATCTTAAATCTTAAGTCTTATTTCTTTAGTAACTATTTCCTATAATTATAGGATATTATAACCTAATATTTATTTCTTTTCTAAGGCGAAAGTAATTAATTAATTAATTACTTTATTATAGCTTTCCTACTAAGAAAAATTTTATAATTGAAATTATGTGAGAAGTGTAATATTTTTATAATAATTAAAATTTTATACCTTAAGTGCCATAAAGGTAGTTAAAAGCCAGCATCCAAAAGCCAGCATCTTCAGAACCACCTACTATAGGTGGTTCTGGAAAAACTGCGATTTGTATGGGAGCAAATGCTGGCAATCAAATGCTAGTATTTGGTTGCTAGTGTACAAAAAAAAAGCGAAGCACTTATTTTTGTAATAACTAAAAGCTAGTGTTTGATTGCCAGCATTTGCTGGTGTTTGAAGTTTACGAAACGGGCCCTAAAGCCTCCCAAATACGTCCCTCTGCCGACAAGAGAGCAAAGCCAGGTTTCTAGAATAGGCATGAGGCCAGGGTTGAATTCGAACCGCGCAAACAAATAGCGGCCCTGGTCAATGGGTGCCTGCCGATCATGTCGCGAATTTCATCGGCTGCCCACAGAACAGAGCTTCTATGCTATCCACCAACTATCTACCTCACCGAGAGGTAACCTATCGCAGGAATTGTCGTGATCGCAAAACAGGTAGTGATGATGGCCGTGTCATCCGCAAGAACTTGTGGGGACACAAATCATAGGAGGAAAATTCACGAGCTAAAGTCTTTAGCGCGTTACCTACGTACGTGGACAGTGTTCTCGTTGATAAGAGGCCATACAGATTTGACATCCAGAGTCCTGCAGAAGGTGGGTTGTCCATGTTTACTGTCACTGGTTATTTGGGTGAGTAGGTCTACATGCTCGACTATACTATGACATTCCGAATTACAGCCGTTGCTAAAAGCGGTGCTGGCATTGATGTTGCATGGTTTTCAAATAGAAGCAGTAGATGAATCTTCGATGGAAATCTCATGGCCAGGCTTGGTAATGTAAAACTGGTTGGGCATGGTGAACAGTCTTGCGGTGAGAATTTCAAAACTCGGGCAGGAGAAACTCACTGATATCGACGCTCGGTCTTGACATTCTAACAGGATAAAGATTCAGCCATCCCAGCGCATTCCGAAACAACTCTGGCTTGCAAACCAAGCTCACCGGTAACCGATACTGAAGTTTTTAAGCTGAATCCAAAATAAAGTCAGAGCTTTTCTCTTTACAAATAGAAGCCATTGTTAAGAAGCGACCTCCAAACGGCGAGATATCTCGCTTAACCGTTTGTAATTCTAGCCCCTGTTCTGCTCAGCCTTATGTACGGAATGGTGGAGATCCTTCCTTCTCACAGGAATCATCGAACCACGGCCGCGGTGAAGGGTCGCTTAGGTACCGGGGAACTTCAGCTGAAAGAGTGTATATTCACTACCTTCTGACTGGTTTGTAAAGTAGGAGCAAACCAATGATTCGACTTGTCAAAGCGAGGTGAAGGAAAATGCAGCGTTGAGAAGAAGCTGAAAGATTTGCTAGTACTGATTGGGTGCTTTGCTGGGAACATCGCCAATTTATACCCGAAAAGTGTAGAGCCTTCAAACTTTCGAATGTACGATTTTCCGAAGAAGATTGATAGAAACAGCTTTCAGAATGTCTAACACGATGCAAAGTGCCACACGACTACGAAGAGTGCCCAGGCAACCCCGCAAATCGCTCTACTTTCCGTTACTTGGAACCCTCCCAGAACTTCTCAACCGTGCTCCAATACCTCTCCCCATCCTTGACAAGCGCCGTCATATGCGCCGTCTCCGTCTCCTCCAGCGTTGACACCTTCACGCCTTCCAATTTCGCCAACCTGGCATGCTCTCTGCAGTCTCTAGCAGCAACAACCTTATCCGCGTCACTCCAAATATAAAGTCTCTTTGCCCTCCTATCCACCAATTCCCAATCATTCAGTTTCGGGAAAACCCTATCAAGGAACGTCGGAATGCCCAGGCCATACCGCCCAATCGCAATCACGCCAAACATCAGTAAGATACCGGCAGCAGCAAGATACCAGAGGATGCCCTTGGGGAGGCCGGTGGATATTGCGGCCCATCCCTCAGCAACCGTCGGACGTCCGGGGCAGGAGTCAAAGATGATAGCTTTTGCGCGGAGAACGTGACCTGTCCCCTGCTTGTAAATCTCACTGATATCCGAGAAGCTCAGTGACCCGCCATTACTGAAGAGATGAACGAGGAGCCGCTTTTCAGGCGCGGGGTCTGAGTCGATGGCGGAGATTATTTGCTTGAGAGAGGCGCGACGGGTTGATGCTGTGGCGGTGCTGAAGTATTCTGGGAGGGACCGGACGGACAGGATCCTGGAGTTGGGATAAAGGCTACGGTATTGGTTATAGGCCGTGTTGAGAGAGCGCGACTTAGGAGAGATGCCCATCCATTGGCAGATGAGGATTGTTGTTGGATCTGTGGAGTTCGCGGGAGGTGTCGTCGGAGGGGTGAAAAGAAAGACGGTTTTGCTGAGTTTTTGGAACTCGAAATTCGGTTGTCCAGGGGTTGGGGTTGCCATTATCGGCAGTGGAATGGAATTTAGTTGTGATGAGATGGTGAGTTTGAATGAGGTAGGGGCATAAGCTTATATAATCTTTTGGGTGGAATTATGGCACGATCGTCGTGAGACGTTGGTGCTCACGTAAGACTTGGCTAAACAAATTGGCAATCGTATTATCCGACCTCTCATTTTGAGGCCCTCGCCTATCAAATGCCACAGAGGACGTGCTGACTTGAGCAAGAGAGAAGAAAATTGTTCGCCACGCCAGGCAGATTTTACCCCTGAGTCCCTAACCCAGGTGCCCCATATGCCAGTATCGATAGAGAATAGTAGGGAATGACATTGCTGAATTCAAAGAAACTCTAAAACAGAAGACGCTAGATCGCAATCTAACCTTGCGATATTACAATACTCGCGGTGAGCTTCCACAGCTCAGATAGGCTATGGTCACGTGTCTCAATCTTCCCCTCCTCTCGCAACAGACGATGAAAAAGGGGAAGGGGAAAGAAGAGAAGATCGAGTATACATTCCTTCCACAAATTTTGCGTTCCGTCAAATCTAAGAAGCTATTTTTAAGGGAGCTTCCCAGTGTCGACATGGCCCTTAGATTTCGCTGCCCTCGACTAACAATCGTCGATACTCGCTCCTACCGCCATGGTAGATCTTGGTGCGTCTGCAAAACCAACCTAAACCATCCCAATGGATCTTGGGACAGACTTTTTCATTCTTCCCGTGTCCAAAAGTGTATAGTTTCTGGGTTGTTGTCAGCTCTTATTAGCTTGCGATCTCGACTCGTCCCGCGTTGGCCCGACTCCCGAGGTTGGAGGTTTCCCGATAGTAACGTTTCGCATCCGAACTTTAAGGAGAAAAGGTTCATCCTTCCCACAAACAACTGCCGTGAAGTATCCACGATGTGCATTCGAGCCATGGATTCGACACGCGGGTGGATGCATCCGGCATGTCTCTAGACAATCTTCTTCGAAGACACGGCAAGTGAGGTCTGGACAACTGCCGAAAATACTCCGCTCACTGCAGTCTCGTGATTTAGGGGGAAGAGGGGAGGGGAGGGGGGAGGGGGGGAGGGAGGAAGAACCCACATGCAACTCATCCTTCAGGGCCTTCACTTCCAAGGCCTGAAGCCCCATGCACGCAAAATGCATCATCACTCACCCATCCCCACAACCGTTTCCCACCCACCAGGTCGAATGATCGCAACACCCTGGGAGCCTGCACCATTACCTGCGGGGCCTGGATATATCAGGTCCAAGAATACGGGCTCGTGAGGGCTGAGGGCACCACTCCCTACTCCGTCCCGCCACAGACGCAGCCACGAATGGCGGGGTAAATTTACACGCTGTTACATGTCGTTGGCCGATCGATCTCCCCGGATCCCTCCCACTTCAGTAACAGGCCAACAGCCAGCACTTACTCCGTAATCCTTTGAAGGGCCTACTCCACCATACAGGTTTCTCTTATCCTGTGCTCTAGCCTCTCGGCCTCTCGGCCTCTCGGCCCTTCCAGGACGTTGTTGTTCCGATCCCATCTGCCGCCCTGTACATACTTTTATGGCGAATCCGTGTGACAGCGGCCACTATTCCCGAAACACCGTGCGCTCCACGTCAGAGGAAAGCATGTACTTCCGTACCGTGTAATAGCAAGTGCTTAGCTCTAGATCCGCGAAGGCAGGTCACACAATCGAATCGGCAGCTCTCCAATACGTTACAAATCCTCCCCGACAGGCCCCGCCAAGCCGAGTGGCGGCAATGTTGGTGAGATGGGAAAGCGATTTAGTGGAGATGACCTCCTTCTGGGACACGGCCATCAATGTTTTGCCGTCCTGTGTATCTGTGCCGCCTCTAGGCCTTTTGGTTAATATCTTTGTGTTCCCGCGTGTCGATGCAAAAATTATGATACAAAGCCCCACAGCATTTCCTGCTTCTTGACGCCCCCTTTCTTTTACGCGGGAAGCAAGTGTTCACTTAATGACGACATACGTAATTTTTCCAATCAACATACACACCACACTTTCACCTGCTTCGACGAATCAACCCTTTGACGGGATCGCATCATAAATACCCCGCCATTTTACCCCGCTATCCCAGAAGTACGCAAGATGGCAGCTCAAGCTCTCATCGAATCGGTTCTACAAAATTGGCCTGCTGTACTGGGAATTGCGATCACGGCATACCTAATCAGCAATCGATTCAACCGTGGCCTAAACAGATATCCGGGCCCGTTTCTAGCTTCCTTGACAGACTGGTGGAGATTCTGGGTTGTCTACAAACGGAGACCTGAGGTCGAGCACATCAGACTGCACGAAAAACATGGCGACGTCGTGCGATTGGGGCCAAACGCCCTCTCCTTCTCAGACCCAAAGGCATTGAAAACGATATACGGATTGAATAAAGGATTCACAAAAGTATGGATTTTTGCCACACCCTCAAGTACTTGGTGACTGACAAAAACACAGACCGAATTCTATCCCGTCCAACAAGCTGTAGCATCCGGGCACCGTCTCCCCTCACTCTTCAGCACCACCTCTGAAGCATTCCACGCTCAACTCAGGCGGAGTGTCAACAGCGCCTTCTCCATGACTACTCTCATCCAATACGAGCCTTTCGTCGACTCCACAACCGAGCTTTTCCTCTCGCAAACCGAGAAACTTTATGCCAAGACGGGCACCGCGTGTAACTTCTCGCGCTGGCTGCAGTTCTACGCTTTTGATGTTATAGGCGAAATGACATATAGCAAACGACATGGATTTCTAGAGGAGAACAGGGATATTGATGGGATTATTGATTATGTCGCTAACTTGTTCGATTATGCTGCTCCAGTACGTCCCCTCCCACCACACACATCGACCAATATCCCAACCTAGATCTAACGATTGAATTTCTAGATCGGCCAAATCCCCTTCCTCGACCTCCTATTCCTCAAAAACCCCATCTGGCTCCTCCTCGGAAAATATGGGCTAGTAGATGGCACCTTCCCCGTCGCCAAATTCGCCCGCGCCCGCATGCTCGAACGCTACCCCACCTCCTCCGACCCGAAATCCGCCACCATCCTCCCATCCACGGAGCCCACCGCCGAATCCAAGAAACCTGACTTGTTGTCAAAATTCGTACAAGCAAAGTACGATCGCGCGGAATTCATGAACGATAGTCTCGTCATGACGATGGCTATCTCTATGGCCTTCGCGGGCAGCGAAACGACGGCGATTTCTTTGTCGAGCGTGTTTTATTATTTATTGAAGAATCCGAGGTGTATGGAGGAAGTATACCGGGAACTGGATTCTAAGGCCAAGGAAGGCTTTTTCGGGGATTATGAGAACGGGTTGGTGACATGGACAGAGAGTCAGAAATTGCCATATCTCGATGCTTGCATCAAAGAAGCATTCCGACTTCATCCCGCTCCTGGACTCACATTGGAAAGAATTGTGCCACCGCAAGGAGCGGATATCGCGGGCCATTTTGTAAAGGGAGGCACGATTGTGGGGTGCAGTGCGTGGGTTATGCATCGACGGAAAGAGATCTTCGGGGAGGATGTTGAGGTTTATAGGCCCGAGCGATGGCTTGTCGACGAATTGAAAGACAAGAATGCGGAAGAGAAGCGGATCAAAGAGATGACAGGGACAATGTTGCAGTTTGGAGCTGGAGCTAGGACGTGTATTGGGAAGAATATTAGCTTGTTGGAGATGTATAAGGTGGTTCCCAGTTTGTTGAGGAGGTTTGAGGTCAGTAGCCACCCCTCCCCCTTTTCACATTTTCTATCCATTGCCGCTGTTAAAAGAGGGAAAGAGGAGAAGTTGACCTTTTATAGATCCGCCTCGAAGACCCAACGAAAGAATGGACTATCCACAATGCATGGTTCGTCCGCCAGCTAAACTTCAACACCACGTTCCACCGCCGAGAACTCGTCAAACCCTCTGCATAGTTTGAGCCCCCATCAGCATTTGGGTTTCACTATCTTTACCCCAATTTGGATTCTAGCGCATAGATAGCAAGCAAGTTTATGTCACCGATTCGGCACCGTGTCGAGCAGCCCGTGACGAAAGCAAGCAATATTGCTGCGCAAGACAATTGAATTGTTGCATATCGCATTATCTGCCTTATGAGATAAGACAAAAGATAAGATCAGTAATTGCGGCCCGTCATCTAGCTCCCGCTTTCTTGGGCTTTCTGGTACAGGGGGCGCGGGAAAGGGGTTATCACGTGACAAGTAAACATTGAACATTGCTGGTGTGATGACATTCACGCTCCCGATGATGTGACACACATGTAAAAGGGTGGAGCTTGAGCGAGTTCAAAAACCACGATATATTTACGATTCTAAATTGTTCCCTAAATTGTTCCAAAATGCGTCAAAACCCGCTCAAGACCAACGAGAAGTTACGAGACCTCTGAAAAAAAATTGCCACCAAGCGGACCCCCTACCAGGGAAATTGGTTGTTCACATAGCTGTAATACCGCCGGCACCGGCAGCCGGGAAAGTGGCCATTTACCCGTTCGTCGATATCGCCCGTTCGACCATCACATTCCCATGTCGGGATAATGTGTTGAATGGCGTAGATGCGGGGCTCTTCTAACTGGTATTCTCGCCATGTATGCCGTGGTAGTAGTCTGGAGGTTGGGCAGCACTTGTAGGTGTAGGTCGCTTGATTGCACGTGTTGACCGTTGTTGGTGAAGTCGGTTGCGGTCATCGTTTTTGGCAAAAGAAGCTCTCGGTTAAGGACCTTGGTACAGGAAACTTTGAGGTGGTAAGAAAGAGAACAAACGCACACAGAGGGAAGAGTGGGGGTATTTGTAGACGCTTTGCCTTGTCCTTAATTAGGATAGTCCGTTGAATGACAGAAGATATTTGGATCTCCTTGTGAATTAAGTAGTAGTGATGGGAGACTTATTCGCAAATGACATGAGAGTGTGGATGTGAAATGGCAAGAAGTTTTATAGCTTCCCCAAAAATCTGCTAGTCTTTACTTTTCCCTTTTCAACTCGCTGTAGGCGGTTTAGAAGAAGAGGCGACGGAACTGATGACTCCAGTCCACATTCAAAAGTACTCATAAGGGCGCCGTATCTTCCGCCTCGTCTGATATATGTGATTCACATTCATCAAATACAGTCGTTGGCTCAAATGCTTAGCGATATATCTATAGTGACCTTGGTGAGCGAATGTTACACACCTCAAAGCCTTGACTCAGAGCCAGGCCGGCATGGCTATAAAATGCCTCCAATTCTCCCCGAACTTCCAGTTTCTCCTCTCCAGCAACTAAAATTTCAAAACCTCAAGACAATTGATCAAAAAAACCAAACACAATCTTCTATTATTTTGCGTTCGATCCGTCGAACAGATTTCAGTATTAAGTCTTGTCCTCCTCAATCACTTCAGCAGGCGCCCAAAAACATACACAGCATACCACAAACGCATCTCCGAACCTCTCACAATGTCTCCGGCGCCAATACATAAGTAGCATTCTGCGAGTCAAACCTAACGTTCCCAGAGCACGACAAAAAACCGATCAAGCATTGTCAAATAAGATTCGCACTGTGCATGTATAGAAGTCTACGGGAACTGGACACCATATGGTCATATATCACGAATGTGGGAGAAGGATGAAAGAAGTGATTATGAAAAGGGCAGCGGCTATACCGCCTCCTTGTGCCTAAAGCATGGTAGCACTATAAAATTAGATTCTGAAGAAGGTGAATGCCCCCAATGCAAAAGGATACAAATACAACAACAGTGGAATAGCATATGCTTCGCTATTTCAGGGTTAAGTTAAGGTATCTATATTAACAAATCAATTGCCCTTTTCCTAGAATAGAAAATAAAAGATACTTGGCTACAAATAGGGGTTCTTTATTTATTATCGGGATATAGCTTAAGTTAATAAGTAGTATAAAGAAGTTTAGTTATAAAGGAGTAGTTATGTAGGTTTATTTTGTCTACTAAGGCCTAAATTTAGGTACTAACTAGTGATCTTATACCTATAGTTATTCGATCTAAAACTTCGGCATCTGCGGGTCTTCGCTGCGTTAGGGGTTCCTCTTCGTTACTTTTCCCTAATTTATTACTTTTCCCAACTCACCTTCAACACCGCCAACGCCAAATATGATTTAGCAGAAACCAGGAATCGCGATATGCCTGGAGGCCCGATAAAGCTAACTGCATTCTTGCCCTAGGAATCCGTGACTTCACCTATGACTACAATACAGCCACGCCAAAACTCAAAGTAAATCAACACTCAAAACAAAAACCATCTGATTCAAGATATTCTCTCGCGTTATCCGTGCACTAATGGTCATCCGTCCTGAAGGGGCTGATGCATTGGGCAGAACAACCTTGTCATCCACCATCGAGCCCACTCTAAAGCCATTCAGTGGACCTTCTCTAACCCATTTCTCCAGGTCTGTACGATTGCCTCCAACTGGCCCTGCGAAAATCTTGATTGAAGCGCGTATTTTCCATTTAGAATAGCCCAACTCTCGTATAAGGGTGATCACAACAATGAAACAGCTTTTCTTTCCTGGGTTGCAGAAGGCGATGGCTGTTGGACGATGTTCCGGAAACCCTGCGTGTTCGTGCTTCATATGTAGCACTTTTGTTGTTTCGTTCCAAAGGCCTGGAGATGAGGCAATTGGGAAAATATCATACCCGTTATCCTCCACCGACGCCGCTCGGATTATGCAGGCTTCTCTTTCTGTATATTTTGGTGCCTTATGGGAACTTTTTGCAATGTATATTGTATGAGACTCAAGGTCCTGGAACTTCAAAGCAGGAAATGTTGTTCCTTCTTCAACTGTGTCTCTCAAGAAAATTGAAGTGTCGAGTGTTGGTAACAAAGGAATTCCAATAGCGCCAGAAAAGTCATCTTTTATTTGGCAGTCGAGTATGGCAAATTCACATCTGGGGTAAAAACCAGACTCTGTATTGCGCGTTACAGGTAGTTCAATACGGACTCCTTTGTTTGTCACTGAATGAGGTTGTCTCCGCGGCTTGCTGGGAAATGGTACTACGTCTTCAGATCCTAGGAAGGCGTCTGGGCTGTTGGCGAAAACTCCGGTGTCCATCGGGCGATCCAAATTGCGATTCCCAACTAGGCCCCAAGCGAGTAGGGATTGGTCATCGGTCTCCTTTAATATCTCTTCCTGCAACCTGGTAAACGCTCCTCGGCCTTCACCATAAAGCAATGGCATATTGACGTCGAATATCCCAAACAGTGAATACGCGACGTCTTCAATTCGGGTTGTCTGCCTCTTTGCCGCCCACGCCATTTTCTTTGCGACGCTACAATCTCGTCGGTTTTCGGGTTTTGTTAAGACATCTTCTGGTATAGAGGTAATTCTGGACAGAAGTGGAGAGAGGTCCTCCTTTCTGCCCAAATATTGCCATTGATTATCGAAAAAGTCGACCTTTGCTGGTGCAATCAACTCCTGGAGTGTCCAGCCTCTGGTGAACCACCTACTTTCCTCAACTGTTTTGTCTTTATTTGAAGGGCCGTATGATGTTTGCGTACTTAATGCGCGCCCGACGTCCTCGAGATAAGCGTAGCAGACAACCGAGCCTTCATACCACCCATACATAGAATTAATAGCCTCAGACAGCTCAGCACTACTGCTTTTATCGATGCAGCAAGTATCAATCCAGATATAACGAAGACCTTCTTTTTTGCACTGTGAGCTAGCATATTGGATTTTCGTGGCCCCGCACATGCCATGCCATTCCGAGCCATTGATATGCTGGAATTCAACCTCTTCCACACCCCACTTGAAGATAGTGCTGTCAGCCTTTATTTCTCAGAAAAAGACACGGTCGGGACGGAGACGCAATATAGAGAGATCTTACGCAATGTGATAGGATGGCATATTTTGGGATTTGAGAACCGAAATACTCCTCCAATTCATCGTACGTACGTTGAGTAGCCGCATCTTGATCGATCAGAGAACCTTCCGTGAAAATTTCACGTCTCCTTATGCGAGGATCTGAAGTGTTGGAACTGAGTGTACGCTGGTACACTGTAGTTTATATACCAGATGTATATATAGAGTGCTTACCCCGCGTAAGCTGAAAAATCAAGTCGTCAACCTCCAAAACATTGCAACATGAAGCGTTGAGTAGCCCACGGATGTGACAGATCTCATGGGCCAACTGAAGATGCTTCACAAGGACCTGGCATTCGTTAAAGTTGGGAGCTGCGCAAATTGGATTCGATATCGGAAATCCGAGAGAATCATTTAGATTCGCATCTTTGGAGTCGAGGTCTTGCTCCCATGTGGGTGATGAAGCGGTGACGCCCGAGAGGCTGAGCAAGGCGGAGCAAGTATTACGGTAGGATTTTAGGCGGTGAAGGGGAAAAAGTAAAACGACCCCCACCCCCCGCGGGTGTCGATTTGGGTGTCGATTAGGGGGCCACTAATACCAAAAATCTAGCTTTCTCTTTAATTTAATTTAATTTTATAAGGAATTAATAGAATTTAATACTTTTTCATTTTCTTATAGCGCTAATTAAGGGTTATTCATTTTTTTTATATAAAATTTAAATTACTAATAGTTCTTCCAATTAAAGAAGCTAAAAAGTAAATAGTTTATAATATAAAGGTAAGTTTAAGAAAGCTTGGAAATTTAGCGAATAAGTTCCTAAACCTGGACCTGAGAGCCTTTTAAGCCCCTCATTTATAGGGCCTTCTAGGGCCTATAAACTAGAACTTAATTAATTAGTATATAAAGTTTTTTAAATTAAAATTCTATTTCAAAAATCATTTTATTGTATATTAAGAGGCACATGATTATGTTATAAGCCTTATAATATATTAGCCTACACTTATATTAAAAAATCTAGCTTAAGGTCTCTAAATACCTTGGCCCCCAATCGACACCCCAATCGACACCCGAGGGGGTGTCGTTTTACATATTTCCTAGGTAGCCAATTACAAGTCGTCCCCATGATTCCAGGCGAGAAGGGGGAATGCGAGTATCAGCCGCGAAGCAGCTGCTCGTGGCTTTGAAAGGCCTCCACGAAGTTGGACTTGTGCATCGCGGTACTTCCCCATCCGCAATCGTCGTCCTAGAATTTTTCGGGGTTTTCGGTCTTTTCGGGGGTTTTTATCTTTCACACTAGATGCTAATCCAGCCTGCAGACCTTGACGAAGGGGCACTGATGTGGGAAATGCACTCCTCCCTGGCTGAGTAGGACACGGTGACTAAATACCAGCGGCTCGGCCGGCCAGAAAAGGTGTGTTGAAATTGGTACGCTACCATAGCTAGCTCACCAGTCCTTCCAGCACCAGGTTCAACCACTAATTTAGGGTTCTCCACTCTCATTTGTCATGCGTCACTCGCTGAGCTTACCAAGCTTACTAGTATATCGTCATTTTGATTACTTTTGATTTATCAGCTGATTAATAATGTATCGGAGAAAGCGGGCTCGGCATCACCGGTATCGCGAAGGGTAGTGGGAATAAATCCCTTACTTTGGACACTTTTCCTCTGTTTTTACACTTCACTCTCCTGTATCTAGTCATTCTACAGATTGTCAAACTCCAATATATCGATTTTCCATCAATAAATCGATCACTTTCCAATAAGGTGCTTCTCCGTGATTACCTCTGGAAGCGGGGCGAGCTCGCGGAGCAGGTGACTATCCCCTTGGACTTACTTACTTACTTGGGAGCAAGTTCTACCTAGTAGATTTCGGCCTTACGATCAAAGATGGAACCTCGGTGCGCATCAAACAGCAAGCACCTTACTGCTTCTGTGCCCCGGAGAGGCTTCAGAACGCAGATTCAAGCTTTGCAAGCGCAAGCGACATGTGGAGTTACATGTGCCTCTTTGCAGCTCTGTATCTTGGCTACAACGTTTTCTACGGCAACGAGGGCGGGTCGACGGCGTTCAGCTGGGTCGAACAGCTGTATGTGCGCGATGCCTGAGCAGTGGAAGGAAAGTTTTGGTGGCTAAAGGAAGTCAATGATGCTTGGTACGATCACACAACGACTCCTGATCCTGAGAGAGACTTTGCATATGGGATCGCACGAATGCGACCTGAGGCCAGCCAAGCTGAACGAGAGCTCGTTCTATCTGTTATGCACAAAGCGTTCTGCTATTTGCCCGAACGTCGCATAACCGCGGAACAGCGTTGCCGGATTCATCGTTTAGAGCCATCATAGAGATATATCAGTGTTGAGCGTATTAGGTTCAATGGTGCTAAGCAGGGGTCAGAGCTGGAGGCAAGTCGAGAATCAATGGCAATTTTGTGTTCATAGTCATAATGTCGTTCTCTGCTTCGTACCTGCACTAGAAACTTCATTCTTGTGGTTGCCTCAGCATTGGTTTTACATAGGCCCTGAATACCCAACTTCCGACTCAACTCTAGCCACTTAAATGTGGCTACTGGGTTGCGTTCCTTTCATTTATATAGTTCATTGGCTATACTCATGAGCTGATATCAATAGTATAAAATTCTTGGTTGAAACCAGGATCGTGGATACAGAACAAAGCCTATAAAAAAAGACTAAAATGCAGTTTATGTAGTGGCTACTGAAGATGAAGATGGTGATGGTGATGGTGATGGCGATAATGGCGATAAAGTGCGCCGTTTGATTTGTGCTTGCTAAATCACCTAGCAAATGTGAAAGTCCTGCAACGGATCTGGGGCTATATCTTCTCGAATGGTCGACTTGTCGATACTCTCAAAGGCTTCGCCTTGCATGAGTCCGTAAACATATGACTCCCCAATTAACTTGAAGCTTTTTTCAGTTCCCTTGCAGCAATCCCCAACGTGCCTCAGAACGTACGGTACCCCAGCACCTAGGAAACAGCACACAGTAACTCCTACTTCAACATGCTTTGGAACAACACCGAAGTATCCGCGGTCGGTTAACACGAGCTGCCGACCGCTGCAGAAATGCGTCATTTTCTCGCACATGTCATTGTCGGTCTCTGCAGTAGGACATCGAATCGGGATCCTCCAGACTGGGCGGCTTATCAATATGGCATGCTTGTCAATCTCGTTCGTCCGAGGCCTCCACTTCTGTAATGCAGGTTGCTTGGCAGGACCCCTGGGATTCTGAGTCTTGTATCTTCGACGATCGGACACAAATTGAGCCAAGTCACCGGTCTCTATTGGCTTATATTTGATTTTGGATCTGATATTAATGTCCTTGCTCAGTTGGCGGATGGTATCAATTGCAACGCCGCGGACCTTGAGCTCAGCAGTACCATCGGTGATGTGTAACACTTTGGCACGGTATCGGTACTGACGCTGGCTGAAAGCTGATAGCACACGCCGCCAAGCCCAATCATCCATTCTTCGCGGATAGAGAGACTCCAATCTGGTACCCATGATGGCAAATCAACGAGAGTCGAGCCCTCTTTCAAGCAAGGCAGAAATCATAGACTAAATGCTGATAAAAGAAATGTCGCTATTTCAATATATACTTATTCTATTATAAAGGGGTAATCAGCTTGCAGTCTCTCCGCATTTGCATCTGCCAGAATAGGGAGTAGCGCGAAGATCTTGTCTCGTGGGTCCGTCGCTACAGAAGTCCGATTTTTGCAGAGCAAAGGCAGTAGATCCCTCCGAGCGGTATATGTGCGGGTCCTGTGACGATAGTCGAGAAGTAAGACTTATCGGAGTATGTGGCTAGCGTAGATAGATGGAACATTCGTAGATAAGTATGTCTAGATGAGATAGATGAAAGACCGCAGGTAGAATGGGTTGGTGAGCAAATCAGTGCGTTGCCTAACGAAGCCCAACTTCATGATTCTGTGCGCACAGGCTATTAAGCGTGCATTTTCGGCTTCACTCAAAAATAGTCCGCCTAATTAATCGTACTCTATCCTAGCTCTTACTACGCTACCGCCCCTCGCTTTCACCTATTAGAAAGACTATGAGATTTCTACTAAATATAAGGAGGCAATACGCTAGCTTTATTACTTTAATAAAGTCTCGGTTGATACATTAATAATATATTATAAATCTAATAACATTATAATTAACAAGATTCTAAGATACTTATGTAGTCCCACAGATGTGGCCCGGAGACAAATTCCACAACGAGGCCTACACGAAAGCGTCTCAGAACAGTTGGCGACACCAGGAATACAAAAGCACGGGCGGCCATAGAACAGTCAAATCAAGCACCGGCAGTAGCGCTCAGTTATGTAGGATTTGGAAGACTTGTACTAACGCTGCGGCAGCACCCTGATGTGCAACGCGGCAGCGGATGGGAGTACTGGACAGAACTAATACTCGCGCACCCTAGAGCAAATGGCAGTACTGCACCTCCATCACTAAGTACCACTAGAACAAAGGCAAAGAGAGCTGGATCGACAAACAGCGATAATAGAAAACGCTGACTAGACACGGTCAAACACACTTAGACCTGCCAATACAGCAGCTCTGCTACGCCCGACACCTCCTCTCACACACTCGGCGCCTCTTCCACACCCTACACAGCCCTTAACAAAAGAAGAACAAGGAGTAAAATTGCAGGCCTACAGAACAAAAATCAACAACGAACTGAACTAGTGCGAGGACACAAAGTTGAGGCGCGAAAACTAAGGGAAGTTAGGGGAGAAGATTTAGCAAGGGAGACGCGGTAATGCGGATCAAAGACGGTCAAACGAGAAGCTCAATGGCAAGAAATAGTGCGGAAATGCGGGGCAGCTGCTGGTGAAGGCGAAGCTCAAAGAGATGCAACGGAAGCGGCGGAGAGAGTACAATTTGTAGAAAAGACTGTGAAAGAGCTTTCAATAACCAAAAGGAGCCCCAGCAGTGGGGTTTAGATGTTGTACGAGTGGAACTGCGCGGGGTGGAATAGTGAGGAATAGATTGATACGGAATCGACATTCTGGATTTGGTGTTTGAGATTTGAGAGGATACGTTTGTTCCTGGTTTGCGGCTGGGGTGTGGGGGTGGTATATTGTTGAGTGTTCCCCTTGAAACAGGTCTGGGTGTCTAAATTGTCCTCGAAGTACCAATCAAGCGCTGCTCTACAAACTTGGTGAAAATTCTGACTACCTTAACGATACAAATCCTTCGGGGTGAAGTATGTACCGTATCATGCATGAAGAGTGTTTAATAGCGCGCTGCACTTCCACCAAGAACGATTAATACTTTGACCGAAAAAAAAGCTTGGCCTAAAAACTGAGGGCTACCCACGAAAATCTGGCCAGAAACTACAGGAGAATATTATACGCATGGCCGCTGATCATTATCGCGGTTCAAAGAAAAATGCACTAGCACTGACCGGCAACAGAAAAGATGGGCTAGAAATGCCAGACCGACAGCCTGGCATCAGGTGATGTGCTAGATAGGACTGACTGATCGGGATCAACAATCCTCCGGTAATAAGACCACTCAGTCAAAGCATGAATCAGACCAAGTTGCATAACAAGAGCGAGCTGGTAAATAAGAAATCAACCAAGATCATCTCACCGGATAGATGATATTTCCCATCGGACGGACTATCCCAACGCAGTCCATCCACAACTCCCCACTGTTGCACATCGCGCCCGCCTTACCAGACCCACATATAACCCAAACTGCATGTTTCCACACCCATTCGTATCATCTGCATTTCCCCAGACCTGCATCTTCCCTAAAAAGGGAAGACTCGTGTCTCACGTGACGCAAAACCCCGGGTTCAGGAACAGCCGAGACACTTGAACACCTAGTTTATTGACCGGATAAGCCTGTTCTGACTTCTCGGGCCATTTTCTCTTGAATTTAGATTGGTATCCGGAAGGTACCGGCTTTGGAGTGTGTCCTTCATTTTCGTGGAGGCAGTGTATGTGAGCGATCATCAGTGGGCGTTCCACATCTCCTCTGATTCGTCAAGGAACGTGAGGAAATATTGGGAGGCGTTGGATGGGATCAACAGCTCCCGAAGCCCCATGGGGCCGTGTCTCTTCGATCCTGTGAGAAACGTGGTGATTGGGAGTCGCTGCCGTCATCGTACCACGGGGCTGGGAGGGAGCTCGTTGTTCCGTTGCTAGGGGGAATTACCCGCTGCACATATAGGCTGAGTGCGCATTCTTGCGATTCCGATCTATTGTTAGCCGCAACTTCGAAAAGCACTTCTTTGTCTCGAACCCAGTCAATTGATCTCACCTCGATTCAAATAGAAATGCATCAATCGTTGATTTCTCTGCTTGCGTTGGCGGCGTGTGTTAATGCGGGGACACCGCATATCATTGATGTGGGAAAGGGTGGAGCTCTTACATTCAGCCCGGACTCTTTGACTGCAGCTGTTGGTGATACGTGAGTTATTCCAAATCTCTTCTTCGAAGCCAATTAAGGATATGCTGACAATCCTGGCTACTGCAGGCTGGAATTCCATTTCTACAGTGGTTCTGGAGGCCACAGTGTCGCGTCGTCCACCCTCGAGAGCCCTTGCGTGCCAGCTCCCGACGCCTTCTTCTCGGGATTTCAAAAGGCAGACACCACGGGGGTACGTTTGCTCTAATTTGAAGTCCGTCGAATGTAAGCTGACATCGACGCAGGATACCACTTTCGTCGTAAATGTAACCTCAACCGACCCCATCTGGTACTACTGCTCCCTTTCCTCCCATTGCCAGGCTGGAATGGTTGGGGTTGTTAATCCTCCTTCCGGAAAAACCATCACAGACTATACGGATGCTGCTAAGAAGGTTGCGCAAGCTTCATCACCAGCGACGATGGCAGGAGGTGTTTTGACGAGCATAAATGAGGCCGCGGAAAGCACAATGGTGGGCACGAGTAGTAGTGCAATCACTGGCAGCGGAGGGCCATTGCAACCTGCCACGACCACAACAAGTACGGGAACATCAGCTACGTCGGTCCAGACTGGCGTTCAGGCTTCACCCACTTCATCGACAAGCACTGGGGCCACACCATCACCCACCAAGAGTGAGGCGAGAAAGGGCAGTGATTTGTCGATCCTGCTTGGACTGAGTGTTGTGGTTGGAGGATTGGTGGTGTTGATGGCTTGAGAATGTGAAGTCTGGCGGGGTTGGCATGAAGTTGTGGGGGCTGTCATGTGGAAAACAAATACAGAAAAGGGGTTCAACAAGACAAACAACTAGTTTACCATACCGCCTGTGGAACAATGAAAATGTTTCGCAATATATGATTTCAGGAGAAAATTAGAGAAATATGAAACCCGAGCACAGTAATGGGAGCAGAAAATAGCACTCACGTGACGTGGCTGTTCAGGCTCTGAGTCAACCCCTCCACAAAATTATTTACAAAAAGCCTCCAACAACGCGTCACAAAATCATACGCAGAACATAACACAGCAACCATGGCGGACGCAGCAGGCGCATCCGCTCCCACAGAGCCCATGGCCAACCTCCATCTCGACGAGGTCACCGGCGAAATGGTCTCCAAGTCCGAATTGAAGAAGCGCAACAAGCAGAGACAGAAGGAAGAAGAGAAGAGAGCGCGTGAGGCAGCAGCACCTCCCAAGCCTGTTGCGGCCAAGAAGTCAAATGCCGAGGCTGACGAGAAGGAATTGAATCCAAATGTATAACCATATCCTGATCCTCAAACGCGAATTAGACATTGTGACTGATGGCGGGGTAAACAGCAATACTTCGAGATTCGATCCCGCAACATCAACAAGCTCCGAACCACCAAGAACCCAAACCCATATCCTCACAAGTTCCATACAAACTATGATCTGCGGGATTTTGTCAAGGATTATGGCTCCCTCAAGTCCGGAGAGCACAAGAAGGACAAGGAGATCCGAATTGGTGCTAGAATCTACAACAAGCGCGCGTCCGGAAACAAGCTGGTATTCTACGACGTCCGGACTGAGGGCGTTAAGATCCAAGTAATGTGTCAAATGCAAGAGGCAAAGGAAGGAGGCGTTCCGTTCGAGGAGCAGCATGAGCATCTTCGACGCGGCGACATCATTGGCATTGTTGGCTACCCAGGACGAACCGCACCCAAGAACAAGATTGAGAAGGGAGAGGAAGGAGAACTGTCTATCTTTGCGACGGAAATCATTCTTCTGACACCATGTCTACACCAACTTCCGGACGAATACTATGGGTTCAAGGATCAAGAGCAAAGACACCGCAAGCGTTATCTGGATTTGATTATGAATGATCCAACCCGAAACGTCTTCATCACAAGGTCCAAGATGGTCACCTATATCCGCAGGTACTTCGATGATAAGGACTTTGTCGAGGTCGAGACGCCCATGATGAACCCTATCGCAGGAGGGGCAACAGCCAAGCCGTTCGTAACTCACCACAACGACCTCGACATGAACATGTTCATGCGTGTTGCTCCTGAGCTATACCTCAAAATGCTCGTGGTTGGCGGTCTAAACCGTGTCTACGAGATGGGCCGCCAATTCCGTAACGAAGGCATCGACCTAACCCACAACCCAGAATTCACAACCTGCGAGTTCTACATGGCCTACGCAGACGTCTACGACATCATGGACATGACCGAAGAACTCGTCTCAGGCCTCGTCAAGCACGTAACGGGTGGCACCACCACCAAGTTCCACACTCAACACGGCGAAGAGTACGAAGTAAACTGGAAGGCCCCCTGGCGCCGAGTCGAAATGATTCCTGCTCTTGAAGAAGCAACGGGCGAAAAGTTCCCCCCAGGCGAGCAACTACACACCAAGGAAACCAACGACTTCCTTAAGGGCGTGCTCAAGAAGATGAAGGTCGACTGCTCGCCACCCCTCACCAACGCCCGCATGCTGGACAAGCTAGTCGGCGAGTTCATCGAGGAGACCTGCGTGAACCCGACCTTCATCACCGGACACCCGCAGATGATGAGTCCGCTTGCCAAGTACCACCGCAGCAACCCAGGTCTCTGCGAGCGCTTTGAAGCCTTCGTCTGCAAGAAGGAGATCGTGAACGCTTATACCGAGTTAAACGACCCCTTTGATCAACGACTGCGCTTTGAAGAGCAAGCACGGCAAAAGGACCAAGGAGACGACGAGGCGCAAATGATCGACGAGAACTTTTGCCAGAGTCTTGAGTTCGGACTTCCTCCGACTGGTGGATGGGGAATGGGTATTGATCGATTAGTCATGTTCCTGACGGATAACTATAGTATTAAGGAGGTGTTGGCGTTCCCGTTCATGAAGGAAGATGTTAGCATGAAGAAGGAGAAGTTAGCGGCGGAGGAGGTGGGCATCCAGCCTGTGGCTGAGGAGGGGATCCGTGAGTCTTCCAACAGAAGACCATCAGAGCTTTACTTACAGATGGTTAGCGCACAAGTAGATGATCCGAGTCGGGTACGGGATGGGTGGATCATTGATCGATGAATGGATGATTGATGATGGATGATGGCTTTGTTGGCTTTTAGGGCCTGTACATTGCACCTCAGAGAAGCGCTATGGAACTTATGGCTTATGATCGAGTATAGAGGAAGCGAGAAAGCAAACAAGTATGAAAAAAGTTGTTAGTTATCTACAGAGTTGAGATTCATACGCTCGTGACCACAGACCCCTTTCTATGCCGCTAATCAATACATCACACCCATCATTCACACATACATCACACATCCCCCATTCCCCCATCATATTTACACATCCCCAATCCCCTTTTACAAAACAGGCGGTCCATTCCTCCTCAAGGCACTCAAATCACTCTTCATAGCCTCCTTCCCCAACCCAACTTTCCCTGCCCCTGTTACCGCAGACGCCTGCCTCACTCTCTGCCTCACCAACGCCATCAATCTCCTCGGAACCCACACTCTACTCCCAAGCACCAGTGTTCCAGTGAGTAACGCCAACGCCCCCGCCTGATGCGCTGCCGCAAGAGGGACAGGAACCAGATAGATCAACGTGCTAATACCCAACGTGACTTGTAACAATACTAAATGCACGACTCCCAACATGCCCTTTCTCGCTCCATTCGGCAATGCACCTCTTAACCTCCTGTTAAAGCGGGAATATGCCCACAAAGACAAGATAGCGGTGAATGTTGTGGTGGCCAGAACGCGGTGGTTGAGCTGCACTGTCGACGGGTTCTCGAGCATATTTCGCCAGACGAGATCGCTTTGATCGGATTTGCGAGAGTAGAAAGGAGAAAAGAGCTCCGCCTTTGGGGGGTGGAAACCAGTTCCCATGCGTGGGAATTCGTTATAAATAAGTCCGGCGTCGAGACCGGCGACTAGGCCGCCGGACAAGGCGGTTGTGAAAACGAGGAGCGTGAGGCCGGCCACGGAATTCCGGAATACGCTGAGGGAGGGGGAGGAGAGGTGCGTTAATTGTGCCAACCCTCGCGCGGGGTGGGAAAGAAGGGCGTTAGTACGGAGGATGGAGAGTCCGTTCCATAGCATGGCGGTGTAGCATATAAACGCTGCTCCTAGGTGGGCTGTCAATCGATGCTGGCTGACTCTTGGGTGGCTCCCAGGAGCGAAGAGATCATCTTTTAATCCCGATTTGACCATATACCACCCCAGAAATCCTTGGAACCCAATCAGTCCACTGATTCCAAGGAGGCGCAATGACATGTTTGCTGAGACTTTCCGCCGGGAGACAAAGTAGATGGCGGGGAGGACGAAGCTAAGGCCCACGAAACGCCCCCAGAGACGGTGTCCCCATTCCATGTAGTAGATCTTCTTGAATTCTTCCAGCGTCATGTGTGGATTTAGGAGCTTGAATTCGGGAGAGGCGCGGTACTTGTCGAATTCGGAGGCCCAGTCCGAGGCGGAGAGGGGTGGGAGGGAACCTGTTACGGGTTTCCATTCTGTGATGCTGAGTCTAGCCAGTTATTAGACTTGGATCGTAGATTTAAGGGAGGAAGGGGGAGACGATGTACCCAGACTCCGTCAATCTCGTCAAGCCCCCAAATACCACAATCCCGAATACACCGCCTGCAGAAGCTAGCAGCCAATATGCGACTGTATTCGACGGAGTCTCGGGAAAGAAGCCCTTCTTCGCCCCTCCTTTCGCCCTCTCCTTCTCGGCATTCGATATCGTCTGACTGAGCGAGCTCAATGGAGATGTCTTTTTCGGCACGAGTTCAGGGAATGTTGCAGCGCTGCTGTTGAATCGGATGGTTCGAGAGAGGTTTGTCTTTCTGGGGATTTTGATCTGTCGAGCTGCGGGACGGGCATATTTTTGACAGTGGTGACATATGAAGAAATCGCTGGCGAGCCGGGGAGCTGCTCGTCGCAGCCCGGGCAGAAGTGAAGCCATTGAGGAGAATGGGAAGTCTGAGGCAAGAGCGGAATAATGGGACGATAAATCATTTATCGCGAGCTTCAATTAGGTCAGCATGGTGGATCGAGAATCGCCGGCTTGGAGGAACGTTTTGCCGCGCAGGGAGTCAAGCTGCAAGGTACATCCGGCCACGCCAGCTCCTGGAATTGACCCCAAGTTTTGTGCAACCTCAGAAACGCCATTACGAACACCAACCATGAGATGAAATCATGAAGACACGAGAGAGAGAGAGTACACTAGGCGCACATGTTCTCTCCTCGGAATACCGAATCCCCTAATCCTTTCCGCCCTGCTCTGCAATATCTCGTTTCTACTGGCAGACCCCGGTCAAACCACCGTCAGAGTAGATCCTCTGGCAGCCTCGACTCTGACGGCGAGGGGGAGCGCTCGAGAATGCCTCCCTCCGGTTACAATGAACTCCACCCAGCTTCAATTCCTTTGATCAACATCTCCGGATCCGCCTCTCCTGCCCGCAGACAATCAGACTCGACTTTGAATCCAGACACAGACGATGACGATTGGGGGGACAATCCGAGCTCAGCACAGCAGCCATTCTTCATGCAAGATGGAGCCAAGTACACAGGCTGGAGACTGTTCGTATACGGTGGAGGAGCCGGACAATTCTTCTTCAATACACCACTGGGCTGGCAGCTATACATCGGGATACTTGTTCTCTGGCTAGGGGGCTGTCAGATTAGTTTGGCGATTATGAATCGTATTATTCTGTGGAGTGGGTATTTGCAAGAAAACTACACCTCACACACCAACCTGATCCCCTTGATAGCCGGAGTATACAAGTTCCCCTATCCCTTGACGACAACGCTAATCGAGATGCTAATCGCACATGGATGTCTGCTGCTTTCAGCATACATTACGCGTTGGGTTAGTCCCTGTTTGAATAGTTCTGGGTTCTCTGGGGGAGTTGCGCCTTCGAGGCCGTTGCAATCGCCCTCTGCAGCGGGGTTTCATGAAGGGAAGGATGCGGGGTTCTGGGACCATGTTTCGAGGTGGACCGCATATAAAACGGGAGGAATCGCAGGAGGTGGTCTCTTCGAATTCGATTTGCAGATTGCAAAGCTGGTCCTACCTTGTGCGGTCATATTCGTTGCGAAAGTGGTACTCTCCAACCTTTCGTTTGCATATGCCCAGCTCCAGATATACATCCTAGCACGGATTGCCATTGTACCTTTGGCGTTATTCTTCACTTACTTCCTGGGAGGAACACAACACAGCGTCTCCACGATCGCTTCCGCCCTCACTGCAACCCTTACTCTAGCCATTGCCACAGTCCCGCAAACCAGCATCCAAGTCACATGGGAGAGCGTCGCATCAGGAGTATTCTCTTCCATCTTCGTAGCCCTTTATCCAGTCCAACTCCAACGAACCTACAAATCCCTCGTCGCGTCTCTGGTCCCGCAAGGCGATCTTCTCGGGAGCTTCCCATCATCCAATACTTCCCCCGATTTCTCCGGTTCTAGAGAAGAAGCTCGCGCTTACTGGCGTCTCCTCCACTACACCTCCCTCCTCAGCATCCTGATCTTCACACCCATCGTCATCCTATCCGGTGAACTCGCAATCATCTGGCGCAACCGCTACATCCTAGACGTCTTCTTCCACTGGCTGATGGTGCTGTGTAGCGGTACAGGAAGCTGGGCCGTGTTCTGGGCAACGATGGCATTGACGAGAGCTACGAGTCCGTTGACGACGGCTTTCTTGTTTGTGCCGAGAGCAGCGTTCTTGTTGCCTGTTATGGCGAGGTTCAGGATGCCGGCTTATGCGTGGGTTGGGATTTTGATGAGTTGGATGTCTTGTGCATGGTTCCTAATAGCCCGAAGGAGAGATGGGAGGGAGCTTGGGCGGTTAAGGTGATATATTTGTGGGTAAGATTGGGTGTACGATACGTGTGTTGTATACTGGGCATTAAGCGGAAGATTTATATATGGGTGCTGATCTACAAAGATGATGAAGGATTACGAGGCCTGGCCAGTGGCCAGCTGCCATATACCAAAAATGCTTCTTCAGCCTTCCATCAATCTGAATTTTGCGGCTCTAACACAACCCAATCTTCTTCCCGCGCCTGGCAAGTGCCTACCGAGAACATACTCAGGTCAACATTCCTTCACATTATAGATCGCTTTTCAACGCTGCGTTCACGTACCCTTCGGACCCAGTACGCCTCTCATTTTCACTCGCTCCTGAACTATATCCATGACCGTTAATCTTCATGGTTAGGCTCGAGTGGGCGCTCTGCCATCTGCAGGTCCAATATTCCACAACGTCCCGTACATTAGGCTCATCCCGGAGTCCTCCCGAGTGGAAAGGGTTGAGGTTTATTTCACATCGTAACTGAAGTGGAAGTGACCCCCGGACATGGAATTATGGGGTGTGGAGTGGAGAGTGAATGTCCGTCTCAACATTGTTTCATATAGCTTCAATTTTCCAAATGTTCCGGGAACATAGAATTCCACAAATGTCGGCGTGATAGAGTTCCGCCGCAATAGCAACTGCCTGATTGCGTTCCTACATCATCGAACCCAAGATATGATTAGTCGAGTGACTAGTCGGGTTTGCTCGTGTCTTTGTGTTCGGTGTGCATGGAGCTCTGACTGCGGGTCATTTATGCCTCACATAGCTCACTCAAACCCCTTTGAAGTATCATCTAGGAGACAAATCCCTTCTTGCCCTCCGTTCTTCTTCCAGCATCTCCCGCTGTACCGCAGCTTCCAGCTCATCCAGCTCCTGCAACTTCAGCAATCTTTCCTTCTCAATTCAAATCTTCTCCCGCTTTTCTCTCAGCTCGTCCATTCGAGACGAACTCGCGCCACCGAAAGCGGGGTACTACTGGAGGCGCCCAAGGACACTGCATCGTGCGCCACTCTACTTTCGGGGTTACTCCCATAACTACCGACAGAGGGTTCTATGGCCAGAGGCTGGAAAGGTTGACTAAACGTCTGTTGAGGCGCCTGAGCTGGGCTTTGAAGCTCCGCCGTGGAACTCCCCTCTAGCTCATGACCATTTGCCGTCGTTGTAAGTTCTTTACTTTGAACAGCGAGTATTGGGTTCTCTGCCGCAATACGGCTTTCATCTGGTTTATACCTCTTCGCCAATATAGCAAGTTCTTTTCTTGAGATGGAGTGCATTGGTTCGTCCGTTGGGAGAGACCATGTTTATGCTTAGGGGTGGTAGGTCCAGTCGTTACTGGTGACGATGTTGGAGAGCCTGATGAACTGCTCCTGCTCGCAGTAACGGCTGATTTGGCCACGCACGACTGCTGAGTTATTAGCTGTATGACTCAAGAGAAAGCTACTGAAAAGACTATGGGGCTCTCACAGCACACGTTGGAAGGGCTGCTTGTGCAAGAGCTCACGCAGCAAACAAAGTCACGATGCGGAATGCCTTCATCGCGCCGCCGTAGCCTCGTGTGAACTGCCACAAGAACAGACGCAACCTCAACCGACAACTTTAATATATTCCATGTATTGCAAGGCGGGGTTGGTGCAAGGCACTTGGAGAACAGCTGTTATGTCTTCTCGTGAGGAGCAAGCAAAATTGAATGGAACAGAGCAGAAAGATACAGAGATCCTGCCACGCAGCCTCTTCCCCTCTTTAATTATCCCCCTGTCATTGTTGGCGGAAATCATAGCCGGTAATCCGTCGACAGGTTCAGCTTAACGCTGCAAAACCAAACGCTCGTCCCACACCGGTTTGCGAATAGAGAAGTTAAGTATCGTCAGCCTACATCGCAAAAATACTAGGCCAGTCGAAGACATACTCACATGAAGCATCACGGTCTCACCCGCTCCCGCTCCCGCAATCCACTTCTTCACTCCGCCATCCAAATGCATACAAATAATCTCCATCTCATCCACACATAGCCTTCGCTCTTTCTTCCCAACCACCCTTCGTATGTAGACCATCCCTCCCAATCCAGCCAATTCAGTCCGCCCAAAATCTCCAACTACAGCCCTCTCCCATTGGCGCATGCGACAGTGTTCCCTCGTGGCATTCGTCAATCGCCATTTAGGCCGTGTGCCTCCTATAGCATTGTCGTACAATCCGCCCTTGCTTCTCTAATGCCATAACTTATCTACAAACAGGCGATTCATCAATAAACTTAGCTTCTGCGTCAGCTCCTGGGGTTTAAATCACACGTTAGCTACAGAGCACCGAAGATAGAGAAAGGCGATGTGCACGAGGCTGCGCATGAGATAGAGGGGTTACAGAAGGAGGACGGAGTGGAGTTGCCTGCTCCTGAGTCCTGATCAGGTGGAAGGGGATATAGGTGCAACGGAGGGGAGTAGTTCTGGGAGTTTGAGAGTTCCTTTTGTCCTATTTTTGTCCTTAAACTTCCAGCGTTTGTTTTGAGAAAGGAGAATAAAAATGGACAGGAAAAGGAATGGCGAAATGATAGCGCCTTCTGACTTGGAGACTGACACGGAGCAACAGGTTGGTTCAGATGGTGATTCTGGCAGTGGCAACCTCTACGCTCTGTTTTGAGTGTCCCAGAAGACAAAACTCTCTCCTATTCAGCTATTCAACCTTTCTTTCCACGGATTTCTCGAAAGGGAAAGATGGCCGGTTTCTTGTCAATAGCGATCAAACGCCTGGTCATGAAATCTACACGGAAAGGCAACAGGTAGGGGAGGAAGGGTATCGACGAGGGAGCACAGAGTGTTCCTTAGCTGCTCTAAGGCTCGTGAGAGCTATCGACTCAGAAATTTGAGCCATCAGGTTGGCCGACGGATACTACGGAAGCTACAGAGACTCTGGGTTTGCAGAACCCTCATTGGCAAGCAAGTGCAACATGGCTGCAAATCGGTTTATCCAGTTCATCAAGGTTGCCCACAAATCAAAGAATGGAAATTCGTGATTAGCTTTAATTACAATGTCCTGACCTTCTCCGGTACACCTAATGCCATGTTCGGCAGAGGAAAAGGAACAGTTTTCTTGTTTCCCTTCTGACATGGCTTCAATTTGACAGCGGGGGCAAGGACCAGCTTTTGTGTCAAGGCTAGTTACATGCTCTGGCGCTGCATGCTGCATTACCATTGGATTCAACCAGAACAACTCTAGATGCCGTTAGGCGAGAGGCCCCTTTTAGGGGTCATGGAAGTTGGAACACCCTGAAACCCGCGACACGGTACCGAGATCTAGTACGAACACCAGCTAGAACGGAACGTGCATGAACCTGTAAGCACCTTTATAGGCTCCTGTTACCCAGAACAAGTACTGCACGCGAAATTTAAATTTTCCACTAGACAGGGAGTTCAGACTTCTAGACAACACGAGTACTCGTACCGCTGCGTCATAATTGATGCAAAATGTATTACGTAGAGCGGGAATAGTGAAATATGTGCGAAGATTCGGTACTCGTCGGAGAAATGAGAGCCAATTAAGAAGAGAAATATGGAGTCCTCGTCTGCTAGGAGCCGACAATGTTATCCTAAGCCATGTCTAGAAGGGGGCGTTGTGGCTGCTTCTATCGAGTAAAAATATTCAAGATATTACACTGAAGCGAACGAATCCATAGCCCAATAAACCTAAGCCCTAGAGATCGTCCCAGGTTTTCTCTAATGTCCGTACCCCCATCCCTTACGTCTCGTAGCCGGAGTATTTGGGCCCGCCATCTCATTCCATGGGTGCGTCGTGGTATTGCTCAAAGTCGTGGTATTCCCCATCCGGGGGTCTTAGATAGCGTGCACTTCCGTGTAAGCAGGAGGTTAGAATCTATAGCGATAGTAGAGTGTCCTTATTTGAATTTCACAGCTGGTTGCCGGGTGAAGATGGGCGCAAGAGCTCCAAGACTTTGGGTGAAGCAGATTTGGAGCGAATATCTCGAATACCAAGAGTCGTCTTGCTTGAAGAGGAATTGAGTGTCGGAAGACTGACGCCATCTGAGATTGGGGCAGGAATAAATATTCTCAAAACTTGGACGTGATGACTTGCGCACGGGCATGGACTTGTTGTCTGGGGAATCACGACCGATATTCAAAACAATCACAAAGTGGATGACTGGCCGTGGTCAATGCCGGTGGGTAATAGTGGAGATAAAATGGATAATGTGGGTGGGGGAATAGTAGTAAATTTATGATCATGCATGTTATGTGAGCGATTGTCCCACGTGATCAACCCCCCTTTTTCAATTCTCATTTTCAATGACCAAGGTTCCTTTCGGATTCTTTCGCATACCTGCATGGTAGAAATGCTGCACTGTCTCTTTCATTTGGTAGAAGAACTATTCTGACTAGACAACAAGGAAACTTACAGGAACGGCTCTGCAGAATGTTGTCTGGAGTCTAGACTACGTTGGATATGTGGAGAGTATTGTCTAGTTGAGTTATCAGTAAATTCATAATTAATACGCAAGGCAGATATCAATATTTCGACATTGGAAGTGTAATTGTGAATATATATACATAGATAATACGGTGGTCAAGACATTGGAGTACGGCATCGACTCGACTTTGCAATATCTCGCCGCCTTTAGAAGAAAAAGCCCGCCATTTTTTCCCTCAATTTTTCTTCGACCTACTCCACCAACCTAGCCCTTCTTGATTTTTCTTTGTCCTACTGCTCCCTCTCCTCAACATCAACGCGTCATTATCGCAATGTTGAGTCTTCCGGAGTTGGCGAGCATTGCTCACAAGCTCCTCGTTCCCTTTAGCATTGCTTTCATCTTCACAATCTCTGTTTGCACTATCATCTGCTCTGTAGATCTTTCCATACTCCTCCCCTCCATTCTGCGCCCACAGAAAGGCCTGGCACTGCCGTCCCTCAATCAATCACGGTGGATGCAGGCACGTTGCTGGAAGGATAATGCCGCCAGTCTGGTTCAACAAGCGTACATAAAGGTCTGTCACTGTCTGCCACTGTCCTATTCTGCCTCTGGGCAGATTGTTTGCTCCGATGCTGTGTTGACAGTGTTTTTGCTGCAGTTTCCCGGCAAAGTCTTCCAAGTTTTTGATCCCGACGGCCCTCAAGTCTTTATCCCCCCTAACCTGATGGACGAAATCGAGGCCTTTCCCGACAACGTTCTCTCCATATCCGACGGTGTTAAGGAGGTAAGTTCTGTGAGTGTTTGGATAAAGAGAAACCCACTAATGGGTTGCAGTTGTTCCAGACCGAGCATACCATGTTTCCTGACCCTGGAAACCAGGAATGGATTACATGGACAAAACAAAATCTTGACAAGAATGTTGGTAAGTAATTTCCTTTTGACGTTGAGGATATTGCTGACATCTTTGTAGCAAAGTACTCAGCAATTGTGAAGCAGGAGCTTTCAGGATTGTTTCCTTGGCAGTTCCAAAGGTATGGCGGTAAGTTTATGCAAGTCAGTTTCGACGTGGAGTTTATAATAATTCAAACCAGGTTGGCAACCAATTCAAGCTCATCCTAAGCTTGTCCAGATAGTCGCCGCAATCGCTTCCCGAATCTTCCTTGGTCATCCTATCGGCACCAAAGAAGGCCAACCAAGCCGAAAGAACCCGGAATGGATCATGGCAACAATCACCTACCCCCGAGACCTCTTCATCGCAATCTATTTCCTCAACTTCTGGCCTCGCTGGCTCCGGTCGGTTGCCAAGTACATGATCCCACACATGTGGGTTTCCTGGATGCACGCCGGTTTAGCTGCACGAGTTGTTGAGGAGGCGCTTCAACACCCTGCAAATGGAGACGCGGCCCATGGGGTCTATGAAATGCTATCCGAGGAAAAGAAAAATGATTATCTGTCTCAAGGAAGAGCGCAACTCGGATTTGCCATGGCGGGAATGCATACTACTATTCGAGTCATCTCTCAGGCTCTCTTCGACCTTGCTGAACACCCTGAATACATCCCCATGCTGCGAGAAGAGATCAAGAAAGTTTGGGGCCCTAGGGACGCTTACAAAGAACCTATTATGGAACAATTCGCTTCGCTCAAGAAGTTGGATAGCTTTATGAAGGAGTCGATGCGTTTGCACGGTGGTGTCAGTGAGTCTATGCTTCCTTCCCCTTTATCCTCCTTCCAGAATCAAACACTGACAAATGAGAAAGCATCCTTCCGCCGCAAAGTCCTCCAGCCCATCACCCTCTCTGACGGCACCTTTCTGCCTCCAGGGACCTCCGTCTATTTTCCAACCCACGCTCTCTCCCACGACCCCTCAATCTTCCCCGACCCTGACAAATTTGACGGCCTCCGTTTCTACAAGTTGAGACAGCGCTCCCAGGCAGATGCGAATAAACACCAGTTTACGGCCATCGATAATCATGCTACGTACTTCGGCGCGGGAAGACATGCATGCCCTGGCAGAACGTTTGCAGGTGTGTTAGCGAAGTGGATCTTGATTGCGCTGGTGACGAGATATGATTTCAAGATCATCGAGGGAGATAGCACGCCGAGGGATTTCCAGTTTTCGGGGCTTTTACTCGTGAACACGAAGAAGATGATTATGATCCGGGATCGAGTTGTTGTTTGAGATTCTTCACGTCAGCTGTCTGCAGCAAACTTGAGGCGAGGCAATACATTGAGGAAGAGTATAACTGTTTACCACCAACGCCAGGAGGACATCCAGTTCAGAAAGAATCCGCTGCGGTACTACCTATCTGATCTCCTTCCCAGCAGTGTTTGTAGTAGTCAGTCAGGGATATTCAATGAGTTCTGAAACCTACCCAGTGCCCCATTTCCGGGGACGATAGTACAATCGTTACATCCCGTTGCAAGGCAACTGCATGCAGTACACGTGCGTAGTTGCACAACATCAAACTTTAAAACAGGACCACCTCACTCCACTCTTTTCTTTTCCCACTGCATCCCCACTACATCCCTCTGCTCGGCGACCTCATCAAATCCTCCCACTCTGCAACTCTCTCAAATCCCCGACTCGCTCCACTATCTCAAACTCCAACACACCAACAGCAATTTTATAGGGTGGGTATAGCTCGTATTTGACCCGGATCGACATGCGTTCATGTCTGAGATGGCCTGCTGATCGCCAAATCATGACAAAGGAGGGGGCGCCACGCGATAACTAAGGAATAGCGTGCCTAGCACGTCATTTTTGCGCGAATAAAGAACATGATAATGTAAACGTGATGGCTTTCTTCTTGAGGCCGAAATTGAAAATCGAAGCTGTGATATCCCTCTGTTTGTGAAAATAGATGGTGGAGGCTATGCGAAACGGTTTATGCAGTTGTTCGGACGAGGTCAGATTTACCCCCCTATCTCGGATCGCTTCAGGGAAATGTGGAGCCCGGCTGGCGAAGGTCAGACGGGAATAACCTCAACGGGCAACCTCGATCACGCAATCAACGGTGGATGAGAGTGGGAAGGAACCGGACAACGCCACTTCCCTGACGCCAATCTCGTTTGCCTTGTTCTTTAAATCATTCCTCTGCCTCATCCATCGTCTGATCCAAACCAACATCAACATCACGATATCTATAGCTGAAGAGCTGCGCACAGCCATGGAGACATTATCGCCAAGATGCATTCTCTCAGGGGTGCTCTTCGGGGCAGCTTTGACCGCAGCAGGCATCTACTCTCCAACAGTCATCATCCAACAAATGCACTTCGAGGATTTCCACATGATGAAGGCATTCTTCAGCGCTTCTGCCACCTCTGCGTATGTTCCCCCTTTCCCTTGGCCTTCCCCACCCACCCACTCCAAACTCGCAGCTTACCATAAGTGAACAGGCTAGCAATCATTCTAGCAAACCGACTTCACTTCTCCGCCTGCAAACCAAGGGCGCCCAACACTCTAAACTGGTTCAGCAAATACGACGGCAACCTCGTAGGCGGTGCACTGCTCGGTGTTGGAATGGCTCTCACGGGTGCTTGTCCCGGGACCGTATTACCACAACTCGCGACCGGTATCCCGTCTGCCTCTTACGTACTTCTCGGCGGCCTGCTAGGCGGGATCCTGTACTCTCGATACGGAAAGTCTCTCATCCGACCTGCTCAGGCCGAAGTGAAAGCCGATTCGAAACAAATCGAGGAAAGACTAACCATCGATCAAGTCCTGAAAATTGATTCCACCAGAGCCTTGGCCATCTACGAAACCCTCTGCCTCAGCATCGTCGCCTCGGTCAGCTACCTCGCTCCCGACAAGCCTGACGTCTTGCTCCCTGGTGCCGTGGGGGGACTTTTGATTGGGCTGAGCCAATTCGCATCTCTCTTCCTCACTAGCTCCACCCTCGGTGTGTCTACCGCTTACGAACAACTCGGCAATGTTTTCTGGTGGGTTTACCGAACTATCGTATTGGGGAAGCGGAGTCCGAGGCCGAGTATCAAGGCCACTTCTTTCGTCTTAGGAAGTGTTCTCGGATCTTGGGGATTGGGCAAGGCGCTGGGGTTGAGTGGAGGAGGAGGCAAAGGGGAGGTTATTATCGGCACACTGAGGGCAGTGGCGGGAGGTGTGCTATTGACGTTTGGGTCCAGAGTAGCTGGAGGCTGTACGTCTGGGCATGGGATTAGTGGGATGAGTTTGTTAAGTGTGGGCAGTTTTGTGAGTGTAGGGGCCATGTTTGCAGGAGGTATGGGAACGGCTGCGGTTCTGAAGTTTTGCGGAAGTGCATAAGGGAGGGTTCCTATCTGACTTTGAGCGTTGAGTATAAGTGTTGCTAGATATACTATTGCAAAGGTGAAAGGCTTGATTTCGAAGACTTTAACAGGAATCAAGTCTATGAAAGATAGAGAAAGTTGCTAACTGACAGATCGTACGCTAATTCTTTATCACTTGATGTGATTTATCAGCAAGAGCCCCCTTTTAAGCAAACCACCACAAAGAGAGTTGTTCCCGATACGCCCACCACACTTGTCAAGAGTTGGAAATGCGTGTTGGAAGGATCAAATTTCTGCCATCCATATCTAATTGAGGAACAACACAAATCTCTTGCAAGCAAAATAGACCCAATAAATTACCCTTCCAGACTTATCAAGTTTGTCTGGCGCACCCGCCCAATTATCCATAACCGCTGCCACAAGCCAATCAATATAGAAGAGTGCATAGATGCCAAGCAGGAGAAAGAATTTCATTATCTGCGACCACCTTGTTGAACGATCCCCTGGCTAGCAACGGGTGACGGTGCTAGAGGCGATCACCGCGAATACAACGCATCCGACAAAACCGAACGTGAGATTTCTTGCAGCAGCCACGGTATGCCAAGTGATTATCAGCGTGTTCAAAGCAGCGAGGAGCCCGAGTATGCTTCCTGTAAATCAGCACGATCCAATCAAAAACCAGGAGAGCCACTGTCCATATTTCGCACGCTTCTCTAAGTTTCGTCCTGGTTGGGTGACATCAAGTGCAAGCTCTGCCCGCTGTTGATATTGATATTCGTCAACCACGTCCTGAGATCGATTCTCCTCTCTTTCTTTCGACCGAATGAAAATCCACCTTCCTCTACCAAGCAAGCCAGCCAGTGAACTGGCGATAGAAGTCATAATCAGCCAAATGCTCAGCATGATGAACTCCGATGCATGCTGCGCGCATCGTGTGGTCGCCAACATAGACGTGATCGTCGTACTGATCAATTGAGCTAGTCCAAGAGCAAGGTTGATATGCGAGTTCTTTTGCATCTTCCATGGCATCAGCGGTCGGCGACCGAGAATGTTGATGATGAGGCAGTAGTAAGTTAGGACGTGGGATGCGAAGCCTAACCCGCCGTAGGGGAGAGCGAAGCATTCAGCGCTGTGGCGAAGGCAAGCAAGCTCGAATGTCCCGTTGCCCCCCGGTTGCCAGTTTGTGCAGGTGTTGGGTAATCTTGAATCGGACATTGGAGATGCGCAGGTAACAATCAGGTGGGTTGGAGGAAAGTCGATGTCATCTGGGAGGACAGAAGAGGGAGGGATAACTCGGCAGGGTCGTTGAAAAGACAAGACAGAAGAGCAGTCGAGGAACTGCAGCTCTTAAACTCAAGTAGTAACTACCTGCGACGTCAATAATGCCAAGGACTTCTCTTCTGCATGAAAGTCCGGTCAACCGTCGCGGATGGCTTGCAGTCTTCCCCAGCTGTGGCTTGCACCTGTGTCTGTGCAATTAACCTTATTCGCAGCTACTTCCTCTCAAGCCAACCAGAGTGCGCAATCAACCATTTTGAAGTCAATATGCAACCAATACACTGGCCAGTAGAGCGCCCAAAACCCTTCCAATATTCACCCGCACGGCGAGTCTCATGGCGTTGTGTATGATTCGCCAGAGTCCAAAAGTGAAGGTCTGATAGGAAGAGGTAAGTCGGGAGAATGACTCGCCGCAGCTCTATTTTTGTCTTCTGCGGTTTTCAAGCGAGGTGGTACAAGAAGGACCACTCAGCAAACAAGCATCCCTCTCGTATGTGTTCCTTGGGACTCGCTGCACAGTGTGTTAAAAAAGTATCCAAGGTGTTCAAAATATTCACGAATTATTCATGAATATTTTGAGTAGAATATGAGTAGCGTAATGCTCAAATAATTTGAATAGAGTAGAATATATATTCATGAATAATTACCCGCCACGTGACTATAGCAAATCACTATTTACTTAATAATTATTAAATAAATAAGGCACCTATTAATTAAAATACTTTAAGCTAAGCTAGTACTTATATCATACTAGCTGGATACCAAACTTATATAATGGTAAACTAGTTATATTCTCCTTTATTACTAAGCTTTGTGTTACGTGGCAACAGTCACGTGGTGCCGCTGCACGTGACTTCGCGTATAGCCAGGTGCTTCCTTAGCCCGGCAGACAGCCTTCAGCTCAATTCAAGTTCTTTACCACCACTGCAACATCACCTTATCGTGACACTTTGGTTTGCTTACTAAGCGTTTCTGCTACTGGGTAACGAGGTGCCACTAGACCTATAGAGGGCGGGAGCTTTACCTAATAAGGTATGCTTGGGATGGTGAGATTTTCAATCCACCCCTTCGCTTACTCTTAACCCCTCACTTACTCCCAAAATAATTTTAGCGAGTTTGAGCTTCCAAGGGCTGTGGCTGTGCCACATCTTCGTGCCTTGCCGCCCTCGTCTCTTGAAGAGTCTTCGCCGTCGTACAGCGTGTTGCCGCCCAATGAAAACCACATACTTCTGAACTAAGATGAAGGAAACGACAAGTTCTTCGTTTCCGGGATAATGCTGATCTCAATGTGGTATTTAGAGGTCACCGTGTGATTGCAGGGGCGCTATTCGCGGAAGCTTTCCCTGTTGTGGAGGCTGAGGGCTGAATTCAGGGGTCCTGAAACAACAAAATTCGGATCTCCACACCTAACCGAGTCGCCGACTTCTCACATTCAAACTTCTCTTCCTCGAAATCGAAGGTACCTACACCTCCGAGGCTGGGAGGCTGAGAGGCTGAGATGCAAAGCACGGAGTGTATCTGTTGGCAAATTCTGTTGGCTCCTCAGTGATTCTTATCGGCATTTTTCTTTGAGCAAACTGCAGAGCTCAGTCCGTATACCGCAAACTCGCCCGATAATAATAAACCATGGGGCCGAGTTGTGGGATCGCCGTTCTGGTGGTTGGGGGGCGCAAGGAAGCCTGTGCCGCAAAAGATTTCCTGGGGGCCAAGCGAGGATTTCTTTACGGGTACGAACGACCAATGGGAGGAGCACAATTGAATCTCATCCAATCACAGGAATCCTCCAGGCCATTTCCAGTACCAATAACGAATCCTCGATCCGCTTCCCGTCGATCCTTACGGCTATTTTCCTCTAACTGGCTGACTGCGTCAACAGAAGCCAATTGTGAAGCAGATTCCGTTTGCCGTTCATTCCGATGACCCAGCACCGGCACAGCAGTGGCTTGTCTCGGACTTTTGCTCTTCAAGAAATTCATGCGTGTGCCAGATGTGGCCCTTAAATATTTTCCAACACTCATCATTCAACATTCTCTTCGATATAAGAGCGAGTCCCTCAGGACCTTTCCCGGTCATTTATTCATTCTCTAATGTCGACTTTCTACTAGGCAGTGGCACAAACTACGACAAGCACTACAGCTCATCATGAAATCCTCTACCATCATCAGCTTCGCTTGTGCTTTGGCGTCCGTATCCGATGCTGCGTTCAACCTTGTTAAGCCAAGGGGAGCTTCTCCAATTGAATACTCACTTATTCGCAGTGAGACACCAAGGTTGCGGAAGCGGGGTACCATCGAAGTGGATATGGGAACGCAATTCGTATGTTTTTAGTTTCGAATCCAGGTGCCGTTGGCTCACAACTTTGGCACAGGAAGGATTCAATTACTTCGTGAATATCAGCGTCGGGACGCCACCACAGAGTGTCTCGGCAACTTTTGACACAGGCAGCTCAGACCTGATTCTCAACTCTGCTTCCAGCGACTTTTGCGCAAGTGCCAATCCCAGCCCATGCCTCGGTGGGGCTTTCGACCTCAACTCCTCGTCCACAGTCAAACAAGTTGGAAAAGGCATGATCGATATATACGAAACCTCAGAATATACAGGCAACTGGTACACCGATACTCTGACGCTTGGCGGAAAATCAGCGGAAAATTTCGTTCTTGGGGTTGCCGACACGTTTAGTAATACTACCACAAATACTTTCGGCGTGGCGTATTATCTTCCAGAAGGCAGGCCTGGTACCCCTGCTCCAACCACTGACAACAGTCTTGGCCAATTGGTCAAGGCAGGTCTTATCCCGTCCTCTGCTTACAGCATCTGGATGGACCGAAACCCAGCAAAAGGAGGCAACGTTCTCCTCGGCGGGGTAGACACGTCAAAATTCGTTGGCGAACTGCAATCGTATCCAATCGTCCCATATGTTCCAGCCGAGAACCTCTATATCACCTTGAGTCTCAACATCACATCAATCGGGGTAGGAGGAAGCAAACCACTAAACGCAAACTCCACCGAATTGCCAGCAGTCGCAACGCTCGACACAGGAAATCCAAACCTCCTTCTTCCCTCAGGCTTGGTCGGGAATATCTACAAAACCTTCGGTGTACAAGCTCTCACTCTCCCCGGTGGTGCTACTTTCGGCGTCTGCGATTGCGCGCTCGGAAGCTCATCCGCAACCCTGGACATCGGCTTCCCCGGTCTGAAAATCTCGATCCCCTTTAGTGACCTAGTCATCAGCCCAACCGACGATTTATACAAGGGCTACAACATACCAGCATCCAGCCACCTGCCCAATGGGACCTGTCTCTTCATGGTCAGCCCCACCAGAGCTGGATTCGGTAACATCCTCGGTGACAACTTTTTGCGTTACGCGTATTATGTGGTTGATCTCGATACCCACCAGATTGGTCTTGCGCCCTCGAATCCGAACCCTGGAAAGAGTCAGATTATGGAGATCGCGGCTGGTACTAAGGTGATTCCTTCATTGTCTGCTACTGGGGCGGTTGCGACGGGAACGAATACGCCTACCAGTACGAAAGGTGGGCCAAGCAGCACGGGCTCAGCGCAGCCGAGTACGTCTACGAAGCCGTCGGCTGGAAATCGTTTGAATGGTGTGGATTTTGGTGTAATGGTTGGGATTGTGGGCCTTGCCTGTTTGCTGTAAGAAGCTGAAATAAAGTCTAGGGAGTAAAAGTAAGATTACAAGCAGATTTGGATATTCCATTCCAGTGACCGGCTCAGTGCGACCCATGACACCGACCGTGAACTCTTCTGATCAACACCTTTCAAACACTTTTGAAGTATCATCATCGCTAATTATCACCATTCCTAGTGAATGCTTCGTGAAGTTTCTCAAATTCCTAGCAGAAATGTAATTAAATAGAAACACCGAACCAGCGACGATCAAATCATACTGAACTGTTTATTAAGTTCACTATAAAACATTAATTCATGGTGAGGCATTGAAACCTTGAACGACTTGTGAGCGAGGAGTGGGAATTAGCGAAGCACAACTTGACGACGGCCCTCTTGAGACCCAGGTTAACACTTTTACCGGTTCTGTTAATAAGTTAACTTGTAGTCAATTCGATTACAGCTTTTTGGGGTTGCGTACATATATGGCCCTATGGCAAATTCTCGGCACTCCCATCCATCAGTCAATCCATCCGCGATTCTTGCAACACCGATCCGTTTCCACTCGTCTGCATCTCCAACTACTGGCTCTAAAATTGAAGCCCAATTCTGATGCTGAAGCATCCCTATAAAAATGTTGCCGAGGGTAGTTATTGAGACCAGGTATAAGAAAATGACTGCTAGCAAGAAAGGTAATATGCACAAAAGCAGCTCCACTCACGCCTAGATGGGAATATAACACCGCGTAATCTCCTTCAAGGCGAACATCCAGCCAACAAGTTATGGTAGAAGGCTGTAATTTGCACACGAAAGGTTCGAGTTCCTCACTCGATAACGGGACTGTATCTTCGACCCACGGAAGTCTAATCTCATTCTTCGCGAACGAGCTAGTCATATTGAAAGGGGCATTGATTCGTGGCTTCCCAGATACAATCGGGCCAAAGTCATCTCCCCCAGCGTAGGTGAAGTGTGTCTCAAGAATTTTGGCAGTAGGCTTGACGATTACGGACTGATCGAGGTAGAAAGTTTCGTTCAGGGGAATGCAAGCGGGATGCACAAGACGTCCCATTTTGATTGATGCCCAGCTCCATGACGGCGCCACGTAAGTTGAAGGATACGAAGCGTGGGCACCTGCTGAGCAGAGGAGTCCGTTGTAAATGTCATGAGCCCATATTCCAGCCAGGTACTCCTTTCCAAAATGCGGATTAACCTCTTTTGCTAGACCTGAAATAGCTGATGGGGAGTCTTCCTCGAAGGTGATACTTCGAGCGCAGAGCTGGATAACCAAACGGTACCAAAGTTACAGAGGATCACATTCCCGACCTTGCCGAGAGTACTTCTCCTTGGCAATCTGTAGCCCCTCCTGTGGCAAACAGATCAATTTGGTTTGGTAGAGGTAAATATCGTCTGGGGGACCCTTCGGCTGAGACCCAGATGGATCTTCCTCTGAGCGAGTAATACATCGGCAGCTCCAGGCAATTTGCAAAGGCGTCCAGTGCAAAGTGCGAGGTGAAAGGACCTGCTCCTGAACAGCCCAAGCGCGGGAACCCAAAAGGCTGTGATTTGACTTATAATTCTGATTCCATTCGCGTTGTCTGAAAGCGTGCATTTCGCTATGATACTGTGATTTCAAGCTGCAGCATCTCTGTTTCACATAATTCATCTGAATAGGGCTGTGTTGTCTCGACTATCGCGGCAATTATCAGCCGAAATCGTAAACACAGAGTGCTTATAGATATTTTTCCATGTGTGCGCTCTCCCGCATCCAATCTTCTCTGCTGTCTTGAACAATACCGGGGAATCAATCCAGAGATATCTGTACCCCAAGTCTCTTGTTATCAAAACGGCGTCATGGAAAAGCTTAGGGAGTTTATCTAAAGGTAGTCCTCGTTGATGATCCGGAAGCGATGATACGGTCATCTTGAGTGGTGGGTTCTGTCCCCAACAGTGGCTCAGAGTAACCCATTCTTGGAATTCATCTCCGCACGTGCACAGGAAAGGAATCTCGGAACCGTCTGATGGCCAACATCAATCACCCGGGTTGGTGGGAAAATCTTGTCCGAGGATTGATGGGAACAGGTCTCATGACTGGAGATACACTCTGTGAGCTAGCCAGCTACGGTACGAAGCCAATTTCTCCCTAGCCTCTGCGCCAAGGGTCGAAGTCTTACGTAGCCGGAGCTTCAATCATCTATGCTTATCGTCAATACCTGACGCCGGAGGATTGCATTGGAGAAGGCATAGAATTGCACATAATACGCATCAGAATTTGCAGCAACCATCAAGAAACACCAGAGATATGGAGACTCTGGAGAGATATAATCACTCAACTCCGATATGTTTGCCTCGTTCAGCCTTGTCTGATGTCTTTCGTACCTTGTTTCTTGACCGACCCGTATTCTTTCGTAACGTCCCGGGATTGGGTTTACTGCTCTTTCAGTTATTTGCGTGTCTAACGAACCTAGATCATACCATTTTCCAAGATCTCCTCCTACAGGTACCCACTGCGACTGCCAGATCAACTGACACGACTCGCACCCATTTTGGGCTGCCTGAATCAAATCGGCGCAACTTGGGTAGTGCTTGTAGCCCTCGGGATTCGCCAACTGGTCTAGATCAATATTTGAGCAGAAGTCGCATAACGTGACGAAGAGTTGAGGCCAAGATTATTATGATGAAATCTGAGAACGTCAAAAGTTTCTCCGACGTTGTTGCATGCCCAATATAACCGAAGCCCTAGTGATTCCAAAGTAGTATGTATTAGGGTGAATATGGCCCAGTCATTTCGCCGACCATTCCCATTAAATCTTACGCTTTCTCTAACTTCCATCTCCTGTGAAAAGTTAACCCTTTCTTTTAGCTTTAACTTTTTATTTCTCTACATTGCTGTGTGATCAACTTTATATGCGGGTATATACATATTCCAGACGTTGTCTCGCTTCCTCGCCTATCAACTTCCTTGCTTCCCCATCTTGCTGCACCTCTCAACCCGTGATCTTAGGCAGACGCAGCCTCATTTCTGACACCCCAAATCTCCAACACCAACGTCATCAAGTCTTGATATTGTCCCCAAAGCCATACAACTCCCAGATACTGCAGGAGCAAACCCAGGGTCAGCTCAACCTGACTACCTTCAATCGCTAGTGACCCAGATGCAGCGATGGCCAAGGAGTTCAGCCCCGAGGACTTCGAGCCTATTTATCACCAGACAATCGTAATTACCATCGCTATCCAAGAGAACCCAGAGAGCACCCTCTCGGTCCTCAGTCCTTATCTCGTCGATATCCATACCAAACTTTCGTCCCTTATCTTCAAGGCCTCGAACCCCAACTCGCTCCTACGAAAACGGTGCAGCGATCGGCACGGAGAATGGCTACAGATCCAATACGACCTCCAAAATACTCTTTGCGAAGCCCAAGATCTGATTGACTCTCTCAGCAAATCAGATGTCCTAGAAATCGGCGATCAAGGGGGTGCTGGACTCGAGAAAATAGAAGAGGAGTTGGCTGTCCACACTTTCAATATAGGAGAGTTCATAGATAGCTTGGGCTTATCCAAGCTAGCTAGGAAAGAGCCCGCGCTGGGAGAGATCGAAAAGCTTTTGGTCGACGCCGCGAGGGATGAACGGGAGAGATTGGGAAAGAATAGAGTGGCTGAAATACCAGATGTGAATCGGTTGGGGGGACTGGGTAGGATTATGGAAATGTTAAGGGCGAATGGGGTTGACCGCAAGGAACTCCACAGGCTCGATACAAAGATCAAGCAATTGATAGTGTGGGTGTTGAGGAACGAGGAGGAGCTTACGATGGTGAGGGATCTGGAGGGATTTGGCGACTTGGGGAAAGGGAAGCACGTGGAAGCAGAGAAGGAACCAGAGCTGCACAACGAAGATCAAGACAAGAATTTCCCGGGGTTAGGTCCAGCTGTGGGTCACACCGAGCAACATAAGGAGGAGCATGATGACGAAGCCAAAAAAGCCGAAGAGGCAAGGCGGCATGAAGCTGAGCTAGATGATGATTACGACACGGTCTCTATAGACTCATTCGTCTTAGTCTAAGCCGCGGGCAGCCTCACGCAACGTTTTTTTTACCTCAATCAGCCGAGTAGCTGCGATGAGAGTTCACAGTGTGTTCTTGGTGCCAAGGCAGTTGCCCCTGGTTTCATGCTATGTTTTAGTACTAAAATTGCCCAAAATCAGAAATGTTTCGTCTGTGTATTTTGCTATGCCTTTTGGTTAAGCACCCTTATCTTGTGTCGCAATTCCAGCACAGGTTCACTGTCCTTTCAAATCAGCATACCATCTCCCCTCCACAGGCCTCCCGGCCTCAAAATTATTAAAACAACAATATCCCACCCCAGTCGCACTCTCTTCACTATTAGCTTCATCAACCACACCCCACATCACCGGTTTCCCATACGCCATCACATCAGCGATGGGTCTATGTCATTGCTGCGTTAATTGCGGCGCTGCAGCTTCCCACCACTAGATAGATATCGAGGTCAATAGCGACGGTCAATTGAACTGTCTATAGTACGGGTCACAATCTATTGACGGTTTTTGGCAACCCAAAATAGCTTTCGTTTTCAGTATTACCTGACTAACTCACGTGCCACCACAATCACTAGCCGGCTGGAGGATCGCCGCCAGATCGATGATGCTTCGGCACACCGCCGTTCAAGGATACGAGAGCTTCGGCTTAACACTCAACATCAGACAAGGGCTGAGAATGAAACAGTTGGATACAATATGTGGGACCAGGAGTTTGGATTGGATTGCAACCAGCTTTGACAGAACAACAGAACAACAGAACAACAGAACAACTTCAGCCTTCCACCTCATATGGTGTCTTCCAGGTCAATTATCTACAGATGATAGGACGAGAGTACGGACTATGGCAGGGTACCTTTGGACTACGAGTGGGAATAGCGACCAATATTACTATCTTTTCCTGTGTGAGTAGTGACTGAGCATTATCTCCCTTGGGAAGAGGAACGGACATAGTCGCTCTTGTAGTTAGCATTCTGCTTCCTGCCTTAAGCTTTCCCCCCATACCTTAGGCGATTTAATATCCGTCCCAAAGAAAAGACAGCTTAAGGATTGCTCGAAGGCGTTGAAAGAAGGCAGTTGCATTAATATTATTCTCATGCTGACTACCACAACAGAAACGTTACGTGCAAGAGAGGAACGGTTTGAACGGCTATCAAGATTTCAGCTCCACCTATTGGTAATTGGAACGTCACAACCCCTGGAACTTTATAAAATGAAAATAATATTCATTAGGAGTCATTACCTAACCCGTCAGCTTGGGACATAGATATGACTCCCATCCTGGTGTTATCTCGAATTCCAAGGCCGCAAACCTGACATTGGATAACCTCTGGTCAACCGCTTCGGGGCCGCTAACCGAATCAATATAACCTACCTCTTTCTGATTTTATTATACAGTACGCATTGTCTTCTATTGTCTCTAGTATCTACACACCTTTTCAAGAATCCTTGAGATGGATAATTTAACTAGGAACGAAGAGGTCGAGAGAGGATCAATACGATCAGTGTTAACGGAGCCTTCAAACCCTACCTCTACCGAAATGAGGCTATGTGTGGGCCAGATCTCTCTTATCCGAGCAAAAGTGTATAACCTTCAAGAAGAGAATCGACTACTCAGAGCTCGATCTAGACACTGGATACTACCAGACTCCGGTTGCCTTAAACAGGGGATATTTCAGAAGAATCCTCTCGAAATCCGGAGATTAATCTGGCAGTACACTCTCCCAGCTTCCCGCATTATTCAGTTTACTGTCTGCGGAGGCTATGATAGCTTCTTTTTCAGCGGTAGTACTCCTCCAGTAGTATTGCATATCTGCTCGGAATTCCGCCAAGAAGCCCTCTCCACAGGCTCGGCAAAAATACCTAAATTTCCGGTATCGATACGTATCGATGCCAGAATCGTAAGGTATCGATAGTATCAATAGTAGTATCGATTCCCTGAACCTAATTTTCCCTTTTAATTACAATTAACTTTCGAACTACTTCTCTTATAAGAAAACTTTTGGTAGTACAAATATTCTCCTTAATTTAGGCTTTCTATCTAGCTACTTATCTTATACTTTAGGCTAAAACTAATCTCAATGCGGCTATTTTAAGTAAAAATGAGCTTTTGAGATTTTCGTAAGGCTCGCTTATATATTTAGTACCTTGATAAGAAATACGAATACAGGGCTTAATTCTCCGAATACAAGAGGTATTTTAAATTTTAAATTTTATTAAATTTTATTAATAATAGTAAATAAATTTTTTAATAGATAGACTAGAAATAAAAGGAATTATATATGAATATATTCTTATATAAATAAAATAATAAAATAAAGAGATAATTTTTAGGGGTAAGAATTAATAAGGTATCGATACCTATCGATTCTTACGATACCTGAAAAATACCTAATACTATCGATACCGGTATCGATGCCTCAGGTATTTTTGCCGAGCCTGCCTCTCTATTTACCGGCCTTTCTTTACGTTTGACCGCGAGATGGAATCTGTATCGAGGCCAATATATTTTTCTCCTGTATGCGATACTTTCTATTTCACCGAAGGAAACGTGTTAATAGACGAGGAGTCTATCTGTGGACTTCCTGAGATAGAGGAAATTCAATTGATAGCCTTGTACTATGATCCGTATAGCCATTATCTGACCGAATTATTCGACCTCTGCCCTTTTCAAAATCTCACCGAATTGATCTTAGTTGTGAGATACTTTAATAAACCGGTGTTTGAATTTAGATATTGTGGAAGCATGACATTCTTTGACTTTGATGCCGAATCGGCTCTTGGACCCGAGCTACTGCGGAGATGAGAAGCCCTGGAGCGCAAGTTTACGGAAGCTCTGCGGAAGCAATAACCAAAAGGGACTACTCCTATTGCGAGAATTGTGAGGATTAGTTAAATTCCTCAAAGGCCATGCTATGCCAACCTTGAATATACTAGATTAGAACCTCCCAGTCAAACATTTGTAGTATATAACCACTAACAATATTAAAACACGAAGAGATACAGAAGTCAACTATAATGTTATATGTAGTTCCTCTATTTGCCGTAAATTTTGGGTTTTGCAGATAAGATAAATTCAATCCTTTTTATCAGCTTTCTTAAATCGATTTTGCCTTAGTTTACGGATTACAAGCAATGGATTTTGGGTTGGATACTATATTTTGAGAAATATGTAATGGAAAAAAAAAATAGCAGCCATCGTTTAAGTTTCATCACAACTGAGCTCGGAGCGTCTCTAAAATTTCATCTCTGACGGCAGCAACGGCACAAACTCAGCATCACCTTAGAAATAATACGAAGACAATGGCATAAAGTATCGGGAATACAGGGCATTATTTTGTGAAGGCCACTAAATGCCCTGTAAGGTCTTACTTTAATCTCCCTGTAGCTAGTCCTAGTCCCCTATAAGCCCCTATAAGCTTACTAAAAGTGCCCTGAAGGCTTAATATGGGCTTATGCAGCTTGACGAGTACTAAACGCCCCCAAACGCCCATAAATATAGGCGAGTCCACTAATTGGTAGCGAGTAAAGGGGAGGTAATTAGCCCTAATACATACCCCTCTATATACACTTCGTTCTGAATTTTAATTCTAATTAATTAGAAAAATACTTGATACCTTTCGCTTTATTTTAGCTATTATTATGGCTACTTTTAGAGGTTTATTTAATTTTCCTAATTTATTAGATAACTAATCAGAGCTTTTCTCTCTTTCTAATTCCTTAGATAATAAATACTCTAACGAGTATACCAATGATAAAGAGAATATATAGTATAATTTATTATTAGATTCGGATAATTCAGATAATAATTTAGCTAAACTAGCTCTTCTACTACCCGCTTTATTAACTGCTTTTATACTTGCTACTCTTGGGCCTAAAAAGTATTTTACTAGTACCAGAATTAAGGCTATTTATATATTTGAAAATAAGAAGTCTTTAAGATAAATTAGAGAAGCTATATAAGTATTCAGATTAGCTATCTATTAACTTGTAGCTATAGCTAGAGAGTATAAATAAAGAGAGAATAAGAATATATCTTTAAAAATCTCGTATATACTTAATATATTAAGATCTGGTTAACCTATAATTTCCTTTAAAATAATTAAGTATATTTTAAAGATTATTTTCTAAAATTCTGTTATAAGAGGCTTTTCTTATATTATAATTATAAAAGAGATAAAGAAAAGAGGTTATAAGATTATATTTAGAATTATATAAAAGATTCTTATTTATTATAAGAAAGAAACTATAATAAGACAAAAACCTATATAAAGTATACTAGAGTATAAAACGTAACTTAATAATAAAATAATAAATTAAAAGTATAAATAGTAAAGTATAAATAGTATATAGTATATAAAAGCTTAATTAATTAAATACTCAGGAGGAATTATTTTTTAGGACTATAGAAAAACTAGCTTTCTTATATAATTTCCGCAAGTTATATATAAAAGGCCATAGCCTTTATTATATAACTAAAATCTCAAAACCGCCAAAATAATATAATTTTTAGAGAGTATGGCCTATTATACTATATCCGATCTCTTATTTATTTATATTTATTCCCTAAATACTAAAACTAATAGAAAAATCCTACTCAGAGTCCGAAATAATAAAATAATTAGGATTCTTTTCTATTAGCTAATCTAATTTTTCCTTAATATATCTAAAATAAGATCTATTACTTTTAAAAAGTTTTATTTCATATTTCCGAATTTACTTAAAGGCAATTCAAATCCGCTTAGCTATATTCTTATACTAAATTTAATATAGTTTTCTATATTAATTAGTATTTGCCTTTAACTATTACTTAATTTCTATCTTTACTATTAGATATTAAAAAGGCTTATTATAGTAAATTATATTATAAATTATACTAATATACTTTAAATAAATAGCTTCTTCGAATTTTGTATTATTTATAATATTTTTAAATTAACCTTTAATAAAAGGGGAAAGCTCTAGATAAAAGGCTTTAATAATCTTGTAAGAAACTCTATTTTTATATATTCTATTCTTAATAGTAACTAGACTTATTAGAATTGTAATAAAAGGCCTATTAAGTAGCAAATTATTATTAAGCTATCTTTTGACTTCTATATTATTCGAGAATTATTACTTACTTATAATTCCAGACTTATAGATTATTTAGCTAAAGGTATTTATTTATTTAGTTAAATAAACTATTCTTAAAGTCTTTTCTTTTACTATTTTTAGTAAATATTTACTTATTTCCTTTATTATTTCCGGCTTAAAATTATTAGAAATAGAAAAGTAATTAATATCCTTAAAGAACTTCTTATTAAAGATAATAGCCTTCTTGCGATTTATAAGAAAAATATAGCTAATATTCTAATACTTTTTACTAAAATAGAATTTATTACTTAAAGCTTTAGTAATAGCCAGATCTTTAGTATTACCTTTATACTAATTATAATTAATATTTCCAGAAGTATAATATCTAGCTAGCTAAAAATAAGTAATTAGATAAATAGAATACTTATTTA